CAGTCATGGAGTAGCGGCAGGTTGGGCAAGTAGGGCTTAGGGGCAGAACTGATCCACTCCTTGATACAGTGGAAGTGAAATTCATGACCGCGCTCCAACTTGGATAGAGGACGGTCCAGGGTATCCTGACAAATCACACAAATGGACTCATGACTTATTGCTGACGAGTCTACCTTAGTAGGTACTACATTGGTGTACTGCAGCTCCATGGGGTGTATTGCCTGGTCTTGATGGTGGTCACCGTAATACACCCCGTTGAGGTACCACTGATAGACACCCTCCTCCTCCTGAGAGATGAAAGCAGGTCCATCTTCCCTATGCCGAAGGTTGTATCGGTACCACTCCCGTACACGATTGTTACCTTCCCTGCGTATCACCGCTGGCGAATTCTCCCTGTGGAGCCTTCCGTGGTGATACCACCGTAGAATACAGTATGTGGCGTCACAATAACTGACTGCAGGACCGCCGGCTCTAGACGCCGTTGAGGTAGTACTCGATGCTACCCCGTCCTATCCAAGCAGGTTCATTAATGCGATGAAGGCGACCTCCATAGCACCAGGCGGACACTCCCCTACTATCAACAAGAGCTGGTCCGTCCTCCCGATGGAGTCTACCATCGACGTGCCAAATTTCTTGCTGCGCGTTTTGATCTGCCAAGTCCACAACAGTTCTTATTGGCGTCCGCCTTTCTATTAGTAAAGGACCCGTGGTGAGAGACCACGACCGGTCGTCCACGTCTACACCGAATGTATCAGCCATATCTATTTACTGAGAATAATGTAACAACTCCTCCACAAACGCTTCTACAACTGACGTCTTCTTCATCCCCAGATAGGCGTTAGCCTTTGGGTAATCCTGAAATAAAGATTATTATTATTATCCTGGTTTTTTTTCCTCTTGGTGGTTTTGGATAAGAGTTGAAAAGTCCAAAAGGTCAACTGATGACCTTTGCATTACTTGGTATGATTGGATTTTAGCGGATGATGTCGTTATGCAGCTGGAGAGCGAATTCGACAGGAAGAAGGTAAAGGCCTTGCTTTGCGGTTCACACCTTCACTTCAGTATCATTACAGTATGGCTTTCACATGTCACTGCGGTGTGGAACTTACAGGGGTTATACCCCTGTTTCAGCACCTGAGGCGGTGCGTCAAGCGCCGCCTCTTTCTTATAATATATTGTGACAAATGGTAAGTGTGCAGTGCTCCTAGCTCTCTCCCCCAACAAAAGAGCTCTATGACACTGTGCTTTCTGCGGTTTCTTTCGTTTTTACAGTGGAGAAAGGCTGGTGGGAGGCCAGGCCGTGGCCGCACACCTGGCGGGTGCGGCCCATCGAACCCGTTACTGGGAGGGCCGGCAGGTCGGGCTGCTGTTGCAGTCCGACTACCGGGACGCCATGGAGCGTATCCGGACCCTGTAAGTAAGCACTGCTCTGTCTACATGTATACTTATCCCCCTCGTTATAGCGATACTTACTTGTTTCGTATCCTCTTGTCTTACCCTGCTTCCGTATTCGTGACACTAATAGTGTTTGTGTGCGCTCATGCTTGGTTTTACAGATGATGATGATGTATGAAGGTCTGGAGCTAGCTGCCGTCTTCGGGATGTGCCATTTGTTTTCAAAATTATTTGTAAGTACTTGTAACAGGCGTAGTGTAGTAACTGTGTATGCAGTGTAGTAACAGTGTGTAGTGTTTTGTGATGGTCCTGTGCTATAGCGGTCGTAATGTGTTGGGCTACTGAAGTACACTGCATGAAGGGATATGTGTGGGTGCTTCGACATATTCTCGTGCTTCCTAAATCCTAGATACGTGTATAGCACTATAACCTAGATGTGTGTGCGCGCGCGCGTGTGTGTGTGTGTGTGTGTGTCCGCGCATGCGTGCGTGTGCGTGCATTGTGTTCTCTTCTACAGACTCATCCAAGTCCATTTAAATAAAAGTGTATTATAGTGAACAGTATTGTGTTTTGTTACAGTGAATATGTGGGGAATGGTGGATATGCCTTAGTGTGACTGGATACCCGCGGGTTGTGACTCTTTGCTGGTCACTCTGGATTCTCCAGTATAGATTCGATGCAGTGCAGAGGGGATTTGTGGTGCGTAGCAACACTGCTTCACTGTGACACCCCTTCAATAATTGTTTTAATGCATGATACTCCGGGCGTAGCCGGTTGATTCTAACTGTATCCTGATCAAAGTAGAAATTTGCATCTAATGGACCTGCATGGACAGTAGGCATTTCCCTAATCGGCCGGGCGAAAAATTCGCCGAAAACAGTGGTTTTGAAGAAATTACCCATCTTTTCGCCGAATTTTCAAAAATTCGCATGTTGAATTCCCCGAAAACCGATGCTTCAGTGCTTCAACAGGGTGTATGTAAATGTACATGACGTAATGGGAGCGGTGACTTCAAGTACTATGTTTAGCCGAATTCTGATCTTGGAGCTCATAATATGGCCGAATTTGAACATTCTCGATCGAAAAGCCGATTAGGTATGCTCTGCATGGGCAACTTGTCAATCAGTGCACATCTACGATGTGCGAATAAAACGAATGCAAGGAACGTGAACTTGTTTGCTGCACATCTACGAAGTGCGAATCAGGGAGTAGTATAATGACACGTGTACTAGTACACCTTGTGTTGCACGGCGTCTTTTCCACACGCATAGGACCACTGAAGGTCACACGCTCCGCGTGCGTATGCACGCATGCGCAATATGTCACTGCATGCAATGCACATCTACGATGTGCAAATCAGGGAGTAGTACGTATTTTACTACTCCCCGGTGCGAATGCACCGAACGTGCACAAGTGCACGGTCGCCACGGAAAAGAACATGATGACATTTATGACATGGCAGGGCCAAAGGTCAAACCCTGGGGGAGTCCCGGGGCCAGACCAAACGCGCCCGATACAGTGTGCCTTATTTAACCCAAAGGTCAAAGGTCAAACCCTGGGGGAGTCCCGGGGCCAGACCAAGCACGACCGACACAGTGTGCCTTATTTGGCCCAAAGGTCAAAGGTCAAAAAGTGTGCCAGAACCTGCCCCGCACTAACTACTCTTGTGTGCCGTACGTAACGTAACAGTTTCCTTCTGTCCCTTTACATACTGAGTGGCGACAAACGATCAACTCTCTACATGACCAGTAGATTCCTGGTTACTAGTACGTCAACTGGATGTCGTTATGTGATGTTGACACTTTACAAGTGCTAATGATAATATCAGCCTTGGATGCTAAGCAACACAGGAGAGAGGAATATACGGCTGAAAACAGAGTGGCTAACGTGACCATGGTAAATATCGCTGGTGCATAGCCAGCGCTGCTTTCTCTATTCCTAACTTGCAACCAAGAGTACATGTACTCTTGCTACAACCTAGGTCCTTCTAACGTCCAGGGATTTGCCAACTACTGCCGACATTACCACTTGGACGAAGGGAACTAGATCCAACACCCCCATTCCTTGCGCGACCACAACTAACGTTACTTTGTGTTGAACTTCTCTCCGTTATCAGTGATACGTCATGGCTGAGGCCCACAAACCACCAGTCGTGGTTGCAGGGTACTACTACTAGTAACAAGAGTTATAATCCGACTCAACTTCAAACTTATAATTATACTCTTGCTAGTAATAATTTTTTAGTTCTTTACAATGTCACGTTGTTGGTTGACAGCATGTAACAAGGTGGAGGACACTGTGTTGAGAAGAAACAGTGACCTTTCAACAACTATCCACGGTTGGTAGAGGCCCCGTCTGTTGAGACCATCGGAAGTCAGTCGTGTATTCTGTGATCGCTCCTGGATGTCATAAAAAATAGTAGCAGTTCAGATGGTCTCAACAGACGGGGGCTCTACCAACCGTGGATGGTTGTTGAAAGGTCACTGTTTCCGAAAACGGTGTCCCGGTCCACCTTGTTACATGCTGTCAACCAACATGTTTGAACAAAAACAAGGTTTATCTGATACCATAATTAGTTACTTGTGTCGTGGAGGCTACAATTAAGATGGCTGCAGTGCTAGTACTGCATCCGGTTGTCTTGCAGACGGGAAAGTCCGGGGGAAACCTAAGGGACTCGGACTACGAGTGCAGGGAAGTGTATGCGAGGGGTTCTGTGACTTCTTGGCTGCAGAAGTGCTACGGATAACAGAGGCTGAGCCAATCCCGACACTGCTGCTGCAGTGCATGGTCAAACCACTCGTTACTTGGATTTTGCAGGGCTTTAGTTTAGGCGGGTCGAAGCCTAACGGAAAAAACCCGACATGCATACGGCAGAAGACTCAGATCATGCAGACATGAATCGTGGTGGACCGTGGTGGTGGTGAGGTCAGGAGAGAGTCCGCCGACCTAAGGTCTCAGCTTCAAAGCGGTTAGCCACCCGGGCGCCCTACGTCTATGAAGAGAGAGAGAGAGAGAGAGAGAGAGAGAGAGAGAGAGAGAGAGAGAGAGAGAGAGAGAGAGAGAGCAAGAGAGAGAGAGAGAGAGAGAGAGAGAGAGAGAGAGAGAGAGAGAGAGAGAGAGAGAGAGAGAGAGAGAGAGAGAGAGAGAGAGAGAGAGAGAGAGAGAGAGAGAGAGAGAGAGAGAGAGAGAGAGAGAGAGAGAGAGAGAGAGAGAGAGAGAGAGAGAGAGAGAGAGAGAGAGAGAGAGAGAGAGAGAGAGAGAGAGAGAGAGAGAGAGAGAGAGAGAGAGAGAGAGAGAGAGAGAGAGAGAGAGAGAGAGAGCAAGAGAGAGAGCAGAGAGAGAGAGAGAGAGAGAGAGAGAGAGAGAGAGAGAGAGAGAGAGAGAGAGTCAGAGAGAGAGAGAGTCATGGCTGTATCACCAATGACCCTATCCCAGCCAGTGTCATGTTGTGAGACTCGACAATGCGCAAGTTCACCTGCAGTGAGTGACATACACGACTCCCTAATGCACTTGGCGGAGCGTACAAGCATCACACGGATCCAATGGGTGAACAGAACGGCTTCCCTTCCACTCGAGTGTCTTGCCAAAACAATCATCAAGAGACGTAGGGAATGTTTGCGTAGTACGATTCACCCTCTAGTGTTAAAACTGATGTAATCTGAGAAAGGTTCTAATGGACAAAAAAGAGCTAGGTTAGCAAAACTAAGGGAAGAAAAGGGAGGAGGAATGAAAAAAAGACGAAGAACTCTTTGGAGAGCTCAGGTTACTTACACACCATAGGGCGTTAGTAGAAGTACAGATACTACACTAGAAATTAATGAAAACAATACAATTACATATTCACTGGTTGAGGGAATGGAATAGAATTACATTGTATGGTATAATTATTATGATAAGAAAAAAAACTGTTCCAGCGACATTGCCATCAGCACCATGCTGTGGGGAATCAAGTTAGGAATTGGTTAAAAGTTATCGGACGGTGTGCTGCGCAACAGCAGAAAAGTAAAACAAATCAACAAAAGAGAGTCCTATGCACCAGTGTACAAAACTACAACAAAACTCAAACTAATTTATATTTTCAACTTGATAGATGTGTTTGAATGCCTTTCATTTTTATGAAATATGGAGTGGGCTCTTTCATTTTTATGATGGCAAATTATTATACAAAAGACAAAGACATGTGTTAAATTTCCATCGAACTGATATTCGTATAGATAAAATCCCTCAAGAAAGGTACAGGCGTTGAAAGCGACCATTGGCTCTGCATGACATCGCTTCTCAACAAGTGGTGTGCAGAGCAGACGTGGGAATGAAGTAATAGATTGTGACGAGAATGATATACACAATCACAAGGATGACGCCCTGGAAATAGTCCGACTTACCGTCCATGAAGATATAGTTCATGACGAGCACGCCAAAGATCACTGTCCACAGCTGCGTGTCGTTGAACACTAGGTGAAAGCCTATGCCATAGATAGCATCCACCCAGACTAAGATAGGAATCTGCAGCAGACACACCTGTACAGCTATAGAGCTACCAACTTCAATACTCAAACTGATGTTGTTCTGCATGGCAAACTGGACGCCGTTAACGATCTCCGGAATGTCAGGAACAATGGCCAACAAGGTGACGCCGATAAAATCCGCAGAGATGCCGGAATTGTTTAGTACAGCATTGATATGCTCGGTCACCTGATCAGCCAGCAAAGACATGAGAACGGTGGCTACAAGAAGGATAACAAGACCTTTCAAGCGACTCCACTGGGCACCATGGCCATGCGAATGACCGTGGCCAGCACTGCCCTTTTTCACAGCAAACTTGTCGTCATCGTCATGAGATGGCTCATCGTAGATGTAGCGATGTGTCTTCAGCGTGAAGAGCAAGCCGAGCAGGTATGCGAGCGGTAAGAGAGCCGCACAGACATACGATAGGCTGCGCACCTGAGGGCCGATCACGATGAAGCCGGTACTCTGATCCATTGAGCACTCTGAACAGTTGAAACCAGTCGACGACTTATTCGTGCCAGCGGTCACAGATGTGGTGCAGTTTGAACATGTCATGGTTTCGTACTCTCCGCCGTATGCCTTGGCAAACAGAGTCGGCGCATAGCTACCAGCTACAGACACGAACAGCAGCGAAGAACTAACACCGGCAGATCTCCAGTTGAATCTTTGCTCACGGTGTTTCAGACCACCCACAATCATGCATAAGCCAGGGATAAACAACATGGTTGCAAGAAGCGTGCCAGTAAGGGCAGCCTTGACAATGGCTTCGTAGCATGATGAGTTGTTGCTTTTACCGTGTGCCCTCAGCAGCATGCTGACGTACAGTGTCAACTCCACAATGGAGCCAAAGGTGGCGTTGAGGACGGCACCAACAGCGTACGTGCTCTGTGCCGCGATGCTGGTTATTGCCAGGCCAATGTAGTACGCCAGCGGGATGATGGCTATCAGCGATGTGGCAAACTTGGTAGAATTGGATGTGTACGTATTCTCCTTGTCCAGGTAACCATTGAGCAAGGAGAGGACAACGAACGGGAGCAGGTTAACAAGCACCACATTCATACCATCCACTGTGTACTTGTAATAGTAGATGTTGACAGCCTCGTACACGCATAGGCGCACTTCCGACTGGCGCGAAAAGAACTGCGGTGCCAGGCTCGAGTCGTTGATGCAGACGGAGCGAGGCGGCTCGAACAGAACACGCTTCATGAGCGTGACGTTCATCTTGGCCACAGGTATGAACACAACGAGCATCCAGGACAGGAAAGCAATGATGATATGTAGCGGCAGGGCTATAGGAGCACCCAGTACTAACCAAATTACGAACGATGGGTGGTAGCGTGTAAACTGCCCTGTAGATGAGTGCTGAGCCGACGCCAGGGGAGATGTCGACTGGGCAGTCTCGCTATTTTCAATAGTAGTCGGTAGGCCACCTCTGGACTGATTGACTTCCACCCAGCTAGATGTGAGATGACCAGGTGTGGGCGTTGCGTTGACCAGGGCGGCACTAGCCGAATCAGATTCATCTGATGATCCACCAGTGCTGCGGGTGTAGCGTACATTGGCTGGTGAGTATGTAACCGGTGATGCTGCCATGTCGCCGGTAGCACTTGACGTCGTGTGAACAAACTTGCCAAACGGCCAAGCCATGTACAGCGCTAGTTGACCACACCGAACTGCCATAGGCCAGCCCACAACAGTCAATGCCATCAAGCCGGCGATCAGAAAATAAACTAGAGCCGCCCACCAGCCAAACATGAGGAAGTAGACAATATTTCCAATCTTTAGCGTCGATGCATTTGTTGTCCGCAGTCGTTCTGGGTTCCGATAAAGATCCTTGACAACCTCAGAGCGTGTATCCAATGGACGCTCAATCACTCGACCTTTCCACTTCTTCATTCCAAAGAGATAGTTATTGGAGATGTGGCGTGCCTCTACCGGGCCATCCTCGGATGTAACAATGACAGGTCGTTGTTGTGCGTCTTCAGAATCTGACGGTACAACCGAGCCAGCCGTGCTGTCCTGTGTGCCGATAGCAGTTTGACTGCCTCTGGTCTGAGGGTTTCTCTCGATCACATCAGCTACCCTGTTGGGATCCTCTGGAACAAGACGACCTCCTTCAGCCCTCACCGCCAGCACTGGTAAACTGCCTCCAGCTATCTCTGTATCAGCACCACTGTCGCTGTCTGTACCGCCATCTCCATCAAATGTATTGTAACCGAAGCGACGAGTGCGAAAAGGTAAAGAGCTAGTCACTGGTGTAGGGCGTCCTCCACGAGTATGTCTAGCAGTTATTCGTGAGCTTGCAGAAGACGCCATCCTCACTGGCCAACAAGTGCGATAGAAATGCCTTGCAGGAAACGTGTCCACCAAGTCCACCAAGTAAAATGCTCTACATCCTACTGCAACACCTACACGTAACAGTTGTTTTTTCAGAAAGCCAAGATCTTACAGATCAGCTATTACTACTCCCAGCTATGTCTGGTGAGCAGACGCTCCTTCAAATTTGACTCCTGCTTATCTTCCAGCTCTATTTTCTCGAGTCTCTGGGCATGAACACAACCATTCGATCAAGCGAAAACTAACTTTATTTGAACAAAGTCACCAAGGCGCTCTGCATGTGCCAGACTGCAGACTAGACTGCCAGCGCAGTCAAGTCCATGATCCACTGGCACTGAACAAACTCATGATCCGTCAGAAAAATGCTTTCTTGCACAAATCACGTGCTAACAGAATCTGTACCACGTGATCATTTTTTGAACTTTTTGTTAAAAAATATCTCAAAAATTAATAATCTTTAATCTCTCGACGAACCCCGTGTTTTTTAGATTTCCCGCCACTTGAAAACGCGCGGGAACATGTCCAAGCATGATGCATGCAAAAACAATGTGTACGTGTGCAACCACGCTGAGTGGATCATCAGATCATGGAACTGGAAAGCTATTTTTCTTTGCAGCTGTAGCAAGATTGGAGAAATTTGAATGATATGGCTGCAACGTTGTAAGGTTGATTGCTTGGCCTGAAAATAATTGGTCGTCTTCATTGTCTTCTGCATGGCCGATAGGGGAGAACGACGAATGCTGAGACATGTATATCAAACAGGTATATACAGAGTTCCGCATGATTGTAGCTCTTGCAGCTGAAGTCTCCACGAATAGCAATATTTCCTTTTGCTTGAATTTGAACCTATTATTCAGGTGATAATTCAAGGCTTTAGAAGCTATCGTGACCAAACTATCGTGGAACCATTCAGCCCGCGCCACAATGTAATCGGTACGTTATGCTTGCTTTTATTGCTAGTTGTCTTCTTTCTGTCTTCTTTCTCTTCTTCATTACATCTGCCCCCCCCCCCCCCTTATTTGTTGTTTTGTTTTCACCGTTTTGTAATGTTTTTGTGTTGTTCATGTTCAGTGGGAAGAAATGGCTCGGGGAAAAGTAATTTCTTCTTTGGTAAGTTCAACATGGACAAGCAGATCATGCAATGACTGAGTGTTGTGCAGGAGAACAAACTCTACATTTTAAATGTGCTTCACAGTGCCACTATAGGCTGAAACAACATCAGCACCAAAGCCCTTGCCAACACTGGCACACTACTGAGTATTCAAAATATGTTTGATGGCTATGTGCGGAGATTTATCTCTATTCATACAGAGTAACCATACACCGGACAAATTAATTTGGACACGGATCCACGATTGATAGTGCAATACACGGAATCGTGCCAAGAAATGGTTCACTTCCATGACATCAGGCAGTACTAGTCTCAGAAGGAGAAATATTTGCCACCCGTGCAATCAAGAACCACAATGTACAGTGTGAAGTGAAGGAACTGTGTTTTGTGGTCGTGTGCGTGTGTGTGTGTGTGTGTGTGTGTCCTGAGTGCAGCCATTCAGTTTGTGCTGAGTGACGAGTTCAACAACCTGCGGCCGGAACAGCGGCAGCAGCTGCTTCACGTACGTCCTTCTGATTCCTGCATTTTAATTTTTAATTTTTATTGAAGACGCAACCTACCCGTAAGAAGAGGGTAGAGAAGTAGCAGAACAGCCCAATAATGGGAAGAGTAGGGGCTCCGAAAAGGAACCTGTGCATGCCATACAGTAGAGGCAACTTTGCACATGGCAAGAACGATTGTGTACTCCCATTACAAGTACATGCGAGTGAGTCTATTGGCATGTGTTTCATAATGAATCACACTCTTGTTGAGGTCTAGTGACTGTGTGCAGCATTGCAGTAGTGCAGTGTTGCTGCTCTTCTGTTGTGTCCAGTAGTTGTCTTTCTGATTACTATTTTGGATTAACTTCTGGTGATGTTTGTGTGGTATTCCCCGTGCCTGCTTGCTTGCTGGATTGACATTTGCGCACTGTAGGAAGGGCCTGGTCCGCGAGTTGTATCCGCCTTTGTTGAAATCATTTTTGACAACACTGAAGGCCGCCTGCCGGTAAGACCCCCCCCACACACACACATGTACACACACACATACTATGTCACCACTCACTTTTGTTGTTCCTGCTGGTATAAGAGACGTATTGGCACATCAGGTGTGCCACCACCTGTAAGTGTTGATTCGTTGCTGATATCCTATACTGTAAAAGCCATTATTCTAACGAGGCGCATATAATTATAACGATTTCCCAAAATTGACTAGTTTACGTGTACCAAAGGTAACGATTTTCACTCGTTCTCAACGCTCAATAGGACAGTATATGTATCGATTTCTGTATAACGATTTCTATTTTAACGACAGATTTCTCCTCGTTAACTCGTTAGAGTTAGCACTTCGTTATATATATGGCTTTTACAGTATGTGTGAGGTCCTCGTCGAGCAAATATGCATGTCACCGTCGTTAAAGGGGAAGTATACCCTAAAATCAAATTTTCACCAGTTGTAGTCTTCTGGGTGATGAGTCGAATGGTCTTGGTCCGAGGAAGCTGCGACGCTCCCTTCCTACTTGAATCCCAATTGAACTCGCGCACTTCCACCGAAACTGGGTGACTGCGCCCTACAAGATGGGGATTTGTATGCAAAATGTCACTAAAAGCGCCATTTCGTTCTTGTAAAAGCACGGATGACCGCGATTGGCCCATATGTTGTAGTCTTTTGGACGCCGAGTCGACTGGTTTTTGTCCGAAAAGGCTGCGATGCAGCGTTCCTCCTTTATTCCCAATCGAACATGGTTGAACAAGCGGTCACGTGCTCCTGGGTGCCCAAATCACCTGGTCACCGCGTCAGCAGGCGACAACTTTCACACCAAGGTTCAACTCGAGTGACAGGACTGCACCCAAAAAAGGTCAAACAGGCTAGTAAGTTGTACCCTGCAGGCACGGTGACCAGGTGACTGGTGTACGCAGGAGCACGTGACCGCTTGTTCAACCATGTTCGATTGGGAATAAAGGAGGAACGCTGCATCGCAGCCTTTTCGGACCAAAACCAGTCGACTCAGCGTCCAAAAGACTACAACATATGGGCCAATCGCGGTCATCCGTGCTTTTATAAGAACGAAATGGCGCTTTTAGTGACATTTTGCATACAAATCCCCATCTATAGTCCATTTCAAAAAGATTAGCAATCAGGTTTTGGTCTTAAAAAGTATGAAGATAAGGGAAATTTGGACAACAAAGTACATAGAATGGCTTGTTAGGACACGGCAAATTGTTCTGTGAAGGTTTCGGAACAATTGGACCAGCCGTTAAGGAGTTAGAATTTCGGCCAGGTTTCCGGCCTTTTCCCATGGTTTACAATTTGCCCTGGATGTCAGTATCGATTTTTATCAAAACCCACGATTTATCCCTTCCTTTTTGGCCTTGTGGTTATGAATGCTGTCTGCTGACCATGAAGTTGTGAGTTCAAATCCCAAACTATCTTCAAGTCAAACCTTTTTTTCATAGTTTTGGTGATCACGCTGGTACAAAAAGTACAAGCCAAAGAAGGTGGCTGTGCCAAACGACTTGTTGTTGTTGGAGCTCGCGTTTCCTGCCGAACTTACTGACACTTGACTGCTTCACGCCATATGAACACACCCACAACACTGAAACGGTGTGAGTGAACACGGAAGTCATTGCGCTGCAGCTAAGTGTTGTTGAATACAACGGCACATCGATCGATCGATTTCTCTTTGAGAATTACAGTCAAATCTGCCGTTAGCGACCTCTGCTGTAGGCGACCATCTACCGTTAGCGACCGATTTTCCGTGCACCGACTGTTTCACATACAAACTGATCTGTCCAGAGCGACCATCTGCTGTGCGCGACCAGCGACCGCGATTTCATGCACGGTGGCTGCATTCAAATCTGCTGTAAGCGACCGCGACCCAGGTTCAGTAAGGTGCGAAAATGTACTTGCCAGTGCAGTGTCAACTGCAAAGTGTGAAAATGCGCTGTCTTGCAAGTGCGATCGACTGGCGCCTGGCCTGTACTCAGGCTGTGCTGTAGCTCTCAAGTCCAGGCAGTGTCGATCTACTGCCGTGTCGCATACGCGTACTATACGGGTATGGTCGTCGTTGAATATCCAATAAAATGATATTAAAAATCACATTATTCTCGTCGATTTGAGTACATGGAAGCATATACCTGGTATGCCGGATTTACCATACATCTGTCGTAAGAGACCATCTGCCGTAAGCGACCGCTTTTTCTTGCACCAAGGGGCGGTCGCTTACGACAGATTTGACTGTACATGTATTTTAGTATTTCAAGATCGCCAATTTATTTGAATTTAGGAGTCAACGCCGTCTTCTATCAGCTTTCACAGGTGTCTGCTTTTCTCAAAATGTCGCCGAAGTCACACGGATAGCTTTGCCAAGTCATGGCCTTGGGAATGAGTCTGTGTCGATGTCGTTTTCGTCACACCGTGAGAGTAAATTGCATCGCAGCTCAAAGACATTGGGCACGAAACGAATTGGGACCCATCCCGCTCGTCAACATTTACCACACTTTCGACATGTCCTCTCTGACTCCATGTCGATACGAGGAAGAACTCGTTTGTTGTAAACCAGACGTACATGTACCGACGTGAGTGAGTTACCATTTTTCATGCTTTCGCGCGGATTATTTCTTCGAGTTCACAGTGAGTTTTTCCAGCCAGCTCTCGAGCGCGCATACGGTAAGACGGCAAACTCCCCGGGCGATCGCCAGGATTGCTAATCTTTTTGAAACTGACTGTAGTAGGGCGCAGTCACCCAGTTTCGGTGGAAGTGCGCGAGTTCGATTGGGAATAAAGGAGGAAGGGAGCGTCTCAGCTTCCTCGGACCAAGACCATTCGACTCAGCACCCCGAAGACTACAACTGGTGAAAATTTGATTTTAGGGTATACTTCCCCTTTAACTGCATGTGCGTATTGTGTGTTCGATGGGGTGAAGTGCAATACATGTACAATGAAACTTGAATTATGCATTCTAGAAGGCAAACTAAACTGATCCAATTTACGATATCACTCTATCCCATCCCGGTGCATGTATACCGGCAACACCGTGCTGCTGCGAGTACTATTTCTCCATCACTATTGGTGATCTGTTTCTTATTACTTATTAGTACCAATGGTATTATATGTCCAAGCTTCGCTGTGAATAAATAATATCTGTTGCGTGCAAAACCTTCAAGTCTCTTGTTGGTCTTGCTGCTCAGCGGCCTTGGCATAAGTGTGAATACGCCGGTGTGTTGCTGCTGCCACTTCTTGCAATGGACTGTTAATTTAGTATTAATGATTTCACCTTTACCCATTATTCTGCCTCTCAACTCTTGCAATACACCTTCCCTAGGTGTGAAATTGTTACCTTCCCCTCCCAGGATATTAAATAGTCTTCTTGGCATATCAAAGTGTGTGCCAAAGCATGGGTATATTCAAGTGCGAGCACGCAACAACTCTCACCTGGCTATGCTGGAAGCGGTGTATATTGCTAAGCTGAAGCCTGAACTTTGTGAACTGAAGATGTATGTGCGAAAGTGGTCACTGTTTGGACATTGTTACTTGTAGTACGATGTCATGTACTGTAGTTCCCTTGTTTTGTGTTGTTGTGCTGTTTCTCGATGGTTTCACTATGTAATTAGCGCTACTTGCGCTCCCTTATGTGCCCTTTTCTCACTGCTTTGACTGCCTAAAAAACTGGCCCCATTTGCTGCTGCTCATACCGTCAATATACTGAGTATAAGTCAAAAGCAATGGTGTGAAACGCCTCATACTGTCTTACCAGTGGCTCAGTGGCTTCTGTGCTATGCGTGCTGATGTGCCTTCTTTCAACTAAATCCCTCTTCTTGTCATATCATTGTCTTTCTGAAGACGCTAGTCGAGCTTGGTGACTTATCTTCTCGTGAATTGTGTTATCTGTATCTGGTTGTATCTGGTTGTATCTGGTTGTATCTGGTTCAGCTAGTATTGATAACCAGTAATTGTAAGGCATTGTTGTTGTTGTGTTCTTTTTTGCCTTGTTTTGTGTTCTTGGTCCAAGGTTGAGCGGGATGAGGTCAGCCTCCGTCGTGTCATTGGCTCCAAAAAGGACCAGTACTTTCTTGACAAGAAGAATGTAACGTAAGATGTCAATTACTGCAGGGATAATTTAAAAACATATCGTATCTCTCTGTTCTCTCTCGACAAGGGACCTCTTTTGCTTGTTTATTGTTTGTAGAAGTCTGGGTTTATTTGCTGTGTTGTAAAAAGGATCTGCAATGCGCTATGGACTGTGTGTGTGTCCGTGTGTGTGTGTGCGTCCAACCTGTCGGAAGGCTTCCCTCTTGCCAAAGCATTTTGGAAGTTGGGCTAGTTTCGGCTCCACAATCCAGTGTGTCGTTACTATATAGCTTTCATGGCTGAGGTTGTTGGTACGTCTGTTGGCCCTGGTTTCCCAGTACCCAGTTGCCGAGGCTGGTTGGTAAAATAACTCCAATTTCACTTCAAGGTACCAGTGCATCTAGTGTCTGCTTTGATCAAAGCAGCGTGCTGTCTATACTGGTTAACCCAGCAAGTGTAGGGTGTGCATAGGTAACTGTCTTGGCCGTCCTATTTCGATGTACTCCGTGTGGTGTAGACCAGGTGTGCATTGGGGGGTCGATGGCTTCGCCAGTTGTGTGGATGAGACAGTTATCTGGCGCTTGTCTTGATCTGTTTCAATCAGAATCAGATCCGCTATCGTTGCTATAAAGAGAAAATCTGTGGGTGCACATCCAGTGCATTTGCAGATTTGCGTGCTTCTCTTGTGACAGGCGTATACATGGTACATGGTGTGTGCTTGTGTGTGTGTGTGTGTGTGTGTGTGTGTGTGTATGTGTGCATGTTATACAGTAAAAGTGACGTGGTTAATCTTCTGGAGAGTGCTGGTCTCTCTCGCAGTAACCCATACTACATTGTCAAACAAGGAAAGGTGAGAAGTCATGTCGACCATGTTTCTCATAAAGCTGCCAGTACTAGTATCTTTGGGAGTTCTTGTGGCTTTGTCTGGTGCATTTCTTACGGCTTGTGAATCGCCTAACTCTGCATCTGCTGAACCAGTGTGGTGTTTAGCCACAACGCATAACTGGGGATTAACCCTTTGTGACCCCATCGATCGATATCGATCGATTGGTATACAGTGGCACTAAAAATATTATATCTCTGGTGTTCCTTCCCCGATTTTCATAAACAAAGCGTCTACGTCTCGAGAGGAGCCTTGGCTATCACATCGAAGTTATCCGAAGTATCTACGATGTACGTTGCCGCCGTGGTGAGACTTGAGGTCGGCGGAAAAATTCACTCCGATCGAAAAATTCAAATTTCCACACTGCGCTTGGCAGGGGTTTTCCCCGGAGTGCTACGTCATACTCAAGCATGCTGCACACCAAAATTTTGCGCTTGAAAGGAGCTTTCCGCTGTAGTTTATTTGAAGTCGATGTGATGAAGGAGAATGGAATTGTTACTGAACAAATCAATGACTTCTCCAATCAGACTGTATTCAATATTCCATCTTCGGACAACAAGCCCTAGCTCAAAAAAACACCAGCTTAGAGTTCAACACAACCGTTTCCAAACTCATCTGAAAACATCGTAAACACATCTGACCCAAAACAAAAATGCAAATCACGAATATAGAACCAAAAGAACACCGTACGCACAGGTACGGGAGCACGCAGCTAGAACGATGATACATGTGAGACAATGGTGTAGTGATCAGCCAACAACAACCGCAAGTGCATTCATGAAACAGACAACCAGCCTAGCGGCAGACGCGCACTCATGCTTATGATACAAATAACCAGCCACTGAGACAGTGCACAAAATAGCAACAAATAAGTAAACTACAAATGCACTACTGCACTAATACAAGGCAGAAACATGATGCACAAATTCGAACACACTAAATCGAACATTTCCTCCCTCTCGAACGAAGTCAACTGAGAGAGAATTCACACAGATATACGCTAGAGACTAGTAGCTAATTATCATATGAAAGACAACAAACTAATCTGCATTCCTAAACACTAGTGCCATAAGGAAACTCACATCAGAGTTCGTCATGCTCATTATCACGCTCTTTTCAGTGTGATGTCATACTACGGCAGACACTTCATCGACACCTTTAGAGCTGGTGGCGGGTACACTGGCCGGTGTAACTGCTTGCTCATCATCTGTAACTTCCAGTGGTATGAGGTTGTGCACCGCGCGTCGGTAAGTCTTCCCCTGGATCACGACATCCACGACTCGCACTACGCCGTCCGGACCCGGGAAGACTTCACTCACGCGGCCAAGAGGCCACTTTCCTCTAGGCGTATCTTTCTTCACAACGAGCAGCACGTCGCCAACTTCCACCGTGCGCTTGTCGCCACGCCACTTCGCGCGTACATTCAGCCGCGGCACGAGCTCCTTCAACCATCTTCGCCACACTTCCAATACCAGCCGTTGAACGTAAAGCCAGCGACGCCGCGGGTTGACCACCTCCTGACGATCGGCATTCTCTTCCATAGCTCATCCCAGCCTGTGTCCCGGATGCAGGCCTCTTGGAACAGTACACGAGCCCGTACCGTAAAAGGAGCCAGCTGCCCACGAGGATCGAAGAGCCGGCACATCTGCGACAACACACCGCGACGCGTGAACTCAAACTCCTTGGGTTCAGCATAGTGGAAGGTGAAGCAATCCGTCTGGCACGACCATGACACGCCGAGAGTCTTCTGGGTTGGCTCCGCTCCTGCCTCACGATCGGTGATGGCAAGTTCGGTGTTTGCAGCTCGGTCGGCTTCAGGAACAGTTTGGATGACGGCTGACGAGCTGCTGTTCCACTTCCGAATGTGGAATCCTCCTTGAAGCAGAAGCGCCTGCATATCAGCTCGCAACTGAATCGCCTTTTCGTCAGACTTGCAGGACTTCAAGAGGTCGTCGACATAGAAGTTGTCTGCCACACTTCTCACGGCTTCCTTGGACGTTGTGTCAGCAAACCTATTCGCTGTTTCAAGCAGTGCGCGTCCTGCCAGGTATGGCGAGGCTTTGATGCCGAATACGAGCCTCAGGAACTCGAACGCTACGAGGTTGCCGTCCTTCTCCCACAGAAATCGATGATAGCACCTGTCTTCAGGTCTCAGCCTGACCTGCAAGAACATCTCCGAGATGTCTGCCGCAAGAGCCACGGCATCCTTGCAGAACCGGAGCAGAACATGGACCATGTTATTCTGCAACTTCGGCCCAGCGTACATCAGCTCGTTGATGCTGGGATGGGTCCCGTTTCTAGCCGCTCCGTCGAAGACGATTCTCACTTTGGTAGTTGCCTTGTCTTCTCTAACAACGGCGAAGTGCGGAAGGTAGTTCTGGTTGGCGCTGACAGACGGCACGTCTTCCAGAAGTCTGATGTAGCCTTTGCTAAGATAATCCTCCAAGACTGCCGCATACCGTAGCTTGACGTCTGGCTTCCTCTCCAGCATCCGCATGAGGCTGGTCAGCCGGCCATTTGCCAGTTCGAAATTGCTCCGAACCTCTGGTCCAGGTCCACCGCTGTGCCACGGGATGCCGATCTGGAAACGCTCACCGTCATGGCTCAATGTTGCCGCTGTGAGGTCGTCCGCTGCCTTCTCGTCAGGAGTCATTGCGGGCGTATGCGGATGTGGCTCCATTCCCACAGCCTCCAGACTCCAGAACTTCTTCACTAGCTTATCCAGCTCCTCCTCAGCTCCGGAGCTTTGAGAGACGCCGAGTAGAGTAGTGCTGCCACTGCTAGACTTGTTGACAGCATTTGGGCCAAACAGTACCCAACCGAGGCGCGTCTTCCGGGCTGTCGGGCCTCCCTCCGTGGGGCACGCACGCTCCTCAAGGGACGCATGCATCTCTGCCGCGTCTAATCCGATCAACAAGTCGACGGCAGTGCTGGGATCCACCATCGGTGGCAAGCTCTGCAGGTGGCTCCAGCTCGCCTTCTGCTGCTCCCACTCGACGGGTGGCACGGCTGCAGTGATTGTGGGTAGCACCCATGCCTCCAGCTTGCCTTCGTAGGAACCGTCCAGGCTGGCGATAACAAGGCTGGCCTTTTCCGTTTCCCCGACGATAGAGCTGCCTCCGAGCACCGTCGTCTCCATGCGACACTTCTCTGTCGTGATGCCGAGACTTCGAACAAGACCCCCAGTGACATAGCTGGCTGACGAACCCGAGTCCAACAGTGCTGTGGCTTGTGCTGCCGTACTGTTTCCGTGGACTGTCGTCTGAATGGTCATGAAGGCTATGGTGTGGTCGGCACTGGTTGTACAGGCACTGCTGCAGGAGTCTTTCTGCGTCTTCTCATCAGGTTGGCTGGCCTTCTTCTGCTTGTCGTAGTGCAGCAGACTGTGATGGCCACCTGGGCACTTCTTGCATCCGGCGCTCTTGCACTCCTTCGCAAAATGACCAGGCTGCAGGCATCGCAAACATAGCCCCACCAGCTTCGCCAGGTCCCATCTCTTCTGGACGCCAAGGGTCAGGAAGTTGGAGCAATCTGCAAGAGCATGGCTGCCTCGACACTTCGGGCACGTCCTCCTGTCAGAAGCTGCGGTTCTGGGCTGAGCATAGGCAGCTCTTGATGGTTCAGGCTCCGTCGGCTCGGCTGCCTGACTGGCGTTCGACACCAAGACCCTGTGCTTGCGCTGCTCTCTTTGAGCTGGCTGCTGATCACCGCCAGTTGAGAGGCGTGCATCAACGTGCCTCGACTGATTCACCCGTCTCATCAGCCATTGTGACAACTCCTGAGCATTGCTCCTGTTGTCGTCATGGCAATCCATGTAGCGTGACAGCATGCCACGTGGCAACTTCTGTGTGACCGCTATATACAGCTCCCTGCCTGGCTGCATTCCAGCAGTTGACATGTTCACAATGACATTGCGGAGCTTTACAGCGAGCTTTTGCAGCGACTCAGTGTCTTTCTCCATGACAATTCTGGGCAGACTCATGAGTTCCGTCTGCTGACGTTCTAGCTCGCGCTCACTGCTTCCGTACCAAGCTTCCAACTCCTCCAAGGCCGCTCTATATGCACCAGGCCCATCCAGCACCTCGCATATCAGTTCCTCGGCCTTGCCACCATCTAGCGCCTCTCGTAAGCGAGCCATCTTATAATCCTCGGACACGGAGTAGTCATCATCCACCAGTCTCATAAATCTCTGGCGCCATCTTACGTAGCTCCTCTGCATGCCATCAAATCTGGGCAACTCCAGAGGCTTGACCTGATGTTGATTTATTCCTGCTGGTACTGGTACCTGCACTCTGTCAACCCAGTCTTGCACTCTCCTAGCACTGGCACACTGGTTGGCAGAAGGAGCCTGCAGTCCGGGATCAGCAGCCCTAGCAGTAGGAGTCTCAAAGTATGCACCACGTGCAGCAGCAGCCTCCCGTACAGGTTTGTGTGAGCTGGCAGGCTTGGACCTAGACTTGAATGCAGCTTGCACAGTGTTGGGTGCATGCCTGCTGTCACGGACACTTGAACCTGTCACTCCTGTGGTCAGCTCCGTGCTCTTGTCTGCACTCCGACTTGCACTGGTCTCAGCTGGATCACGAACACGTTCCCTGTCCCCCTTGTGCAACACAGCGGAACTCGGATCTTGAGCACACTGCAGTGACTGCACACGGCTTTCAACAACTACTTTTTTCTCGTCGCTTTTCACTTCATCAGCTCCGTTGGCTGCATGTTCTTCAACGACAAGCACTTCTTCCTCTACGTGCTGCTCTACTAGCACATCACTCCCCTGTAGTTCAACAGCTTCCATAGCTGCACTATCCAGCGGAGCTTGAGGTTGCTTGGGAAGCCCGGTGACACATGTTTTGAATGTCAATCCCGAACTTTCATCGACTGGTGAGCTCGACCGCGATGTCGATGAGAGAGAGACCTGCGCAGCCTCCATTTCCAGACGAAATATCCTTCTCTCTTGCTCCATTTTTTGCTCCAAGAAGGCTCGCTCCATGCGAGCCATTCTCAGCTCTGCCTGTACAACACTTGCTCGTCGCAACGACGACGCAGACGAGCTGATGCTACTGCCAACAACACTGGCTCTGGTTGACACACTGCTTTCAGACACGGAGTCCACGTCCGACAGGCTTCCTGGGCTCAGACGACTTGCGGGTTCATTTCCCTCGTCCTGAAACCGTACAGGCAAGACACCTTGGTTGGATCGCGAACTTCTTCTTGGCGCAGCCATGTCAATCCGGCTCGAAGGACCATATGTTACTGAACAAATCAATGACTTCTCCAATCAGACTGTATTCAATATTCCATCTTCGGACAACAAGCCCTAGCTCAAAAAAACACCAGCTTAGAGTTCAACACAACCGTTTCCAAACTCATCTGAAAACATCGTAAACACATCTGACCCAAAACAAAAATGCAAATCACGAATATAGAACCAAAAGAACACCGTACGCACAGGTACGGGAGCACGCAGCTAGAACGATGATACATGTGAGACAATGGTGTAGTGATCAGCCAACAACAACCGCAAGTGCATTCATGAAACAGACAACCAGCCTAGCGGCAGACGCGCACTCATGCTTATGATACAAATAACCAGCCACTGAGACAGTGCACAAAATAGCAACAAATAAGTAAACTACAAATGCACTACTGCACTAATACAAGGCAGAAACATGATGCACAAATTCGAACACACTAAATCGAACAGGAATGGCGGCTGTTTGAACTTTGCTGGAGCTGTTCGCGCACGGCTGCTGTTTTGAGCGGCATTGTAGGCCACGCAGAGCAAAGGCCATGCAGGTAGCTGGCTTGAGTGTGGTATTAGTCGCTTCGTCTTGGAAATACCTTTCCAGCGGTGGCAAGTTTGTAAAAATCGGTGAATGTTTGGCAGAGATACAAGCGAAAGTGCATGTTATTTGGAGGTGAGTAAATTGTCGTACTTTCAGTGGGGTCACAAAGGGTTAAGAACCTCGGCTCAGCCTTACACTTCACTTTTCTTTTCATCGCGAATACAAGAACCGCTACCACGACTACGCCGAGGAAGGTGACCAATGGCAGTGCAATGTCCTAGATGGGAAATCCCCCAAACTGGCCGTACGGCTGGTGTAGTGTAATGCAAGGTCCTAAAAATTACGGTACTTTATATCGCCATAGTGTGTCCTGATTGCATTGTTTTACTGTATTACTTCTATTCTCCTTGTGTCACACTGTGTGCTACAGATCAATGAACTGGCCACTGCCCCCGACTCACAACGTCTGAATTTGCTGCGAGAGATAGCCGGAACACGTGTCTACGATGAGAAGCGCGAAGAAAGCAAAGCCATTTTAAAGGAAACTGGTAAGGTGATCGCTCTGGGTACCGTGCCTGTGTGCGTATGTGTGTGGTGTGTGCGTGTGGATGTGTGCATGTGTGCATGTATGTGTGTGTGTGTGTGTGTGTGTTAGGCAATAAGTATGGTTTTTGTCGAGCATGCCCCGTTTTTTTGGGGCAGGGCCATGTACCAACAGTGAAACCGGTTCACCACATACATGTATTACTAGCATGCAATGCTATTAGTTATTATCTTTGCACACCTGACTTGTGTGGGATTGGGCATGTTGTTGAATGAGGGTTTTTGCTGGTGTGTGTGCATGTGTACATGTCTGTCTGTGTGTGTGTGTGTGTGTGTGTGTGTGTGTGTGTGTGTGTGTGTGTGTATACGTGCGACTCGTTTTGCTCAGACTTGAAACGTGAGAAAGTGACGGAGCTGATTCAGGCAATTGAAGAGCGACTCTCCACTCTGTCCGAGGAGAAAGAAGAACTCGAAGCTTACCAAAAATTGGACAAAATGAGACGGTCAGTTCCGCCGTATTGCTGCTTCCTTGCTTCTTGTTTCATGCATGACCTTGATTGCGAAAGGGCAAGTGGCAAGGCCGCAGTTCTGCAGTTGAAAATTCTCTGGCTATTCTCTTGTTTAAGCTGCTGCATATACCATTAGAGGACAACACTGGTTTGCTTGTGTCGTTTATCATTCCTCCGTAAACCGACCGCCACCAGAGTATGTGATTCGTAGTAGTTGCGTATGGTGGAACATTGCTTTTTCTTTTGTTGCAGATCGCTGGAGTACACCGTCCACGACAAAGAGTTGCGCACGGCCCGTGAACAGCTGGATGATCTTGAAGATTCCCGTCGCACAACATCGGACAGAGCTAACAGCCTGGCGAAGAAAGCCGCCGAGGCGTCGGAGAAAGTTCAGGTGCGTAGATTTCAATCTGAAGTCACTTTTGCTGCAGGAGGGGGCTCTTGGCATGTGTGTGTGTATGTGTGTGTGTGTGTGTGTGCGCGCGTGTGTGTGCGTGTGTGTGTGTTTCAAAGTACTTGTACTTGGTCCGTTTCATCGCAATTGTCGCTTATCTATCGCAACTAAGAACAGGAGTTTTTTTACCGCTCTGTAAAATTTCCAATACGCATAGTGAAGAAGCATGATACAGGATTCCTGTCCGCCACAAGAAAAAAATTCAGCGATGGAATCTGATGAAGCAAGTCAAAGAAAGGAAGCAAGGTTACAAAAGATGTACTTCAAGTACAAAAGAAAACAGCGACGGAGCGCGTTCTTGCACTCACGCTTTAGTTTATCCGACTCTGGCTCTGTATCACTCGAGGTGATGTCACTTGAGCTGACATTCACTGGTGTGTATAGCTGCTGGCGTAGAGTATCTCTTGCTTTCTCTGCCAGGTCGGACAATGTCTTCTTTGCCACCATCTCGCCATCAGTTTGCAGGCTTGCAAAGAATGCCTGCCTGGCCGTGACTGTCACGCTCTCCAGGTCAGGATGTCGATTTCCCCTGCTACAGTTCCGGTTTTTGAGCTGCGCTTGGCTTTTCGCTGCAGTGAAAAGTTCCCCACTTTCCCATCAAAATCGTACGAATCGCGATGCCACTGCACTGGCGCTAGTCGCGATGTTTTTTTCTTTCTGGTCTCCTTTGATCTTGCCATCACAACCTCCCAAACGAATGTGAGTTAGATATCGAGATCGGACTGGGTTTTACCAGTCAAAAGGTGCGTGAGAGATAAGCGACAATTGCGATGAAACGGACCAAGTACATGTATGATAATAACTGCACTGCGTGGTAAATGCATGGTATATGGCAATTGGAATGTATGGAGTTATGAGTGTGCTGATATATCAGCTTCAGAAGTTCTCCATCCTCCCGTTATTTCCTGTGCATGTATGCTGATACCGTTGTTATCTGAGCGGTAGACTTCTATCCTATTCGAGTAGTTCATGTAGGAATGCAGTAGATGTCTAAATTCGTCATGTTGTGCACATGTACCCGTATGTTTGGTTTTCGGGACACGCTATCCCACAGGGCATAGACCGAGACCTGAACGATGTGTCATCGCGTGCCGACACGCTGACTCGCGAACGTCAGCAGCTGGAAGTGGAGCGCCAGGACTTCATCCGGCAGCGTGCAAAGCTAGAGCTGAGTGTGAAGGACTTGGAAGACGGCGTATCGGAGCACTCCAAAGGAAAGGTAATTGTCCCATTGGATGGGTAGTTTGCTCTCGCTCCTCCTATGCTCTGTTGCAGCACTCTGCCTGTTCTCAGTGACCACTCCAGACTCTGAAATACTGAGATTCTATAGGCAGAGAAACCAGTCCATTGCGCCGAATACCACCGCAGTGGAACATACAGTTGTAATGGTACATGCTACTTGTAGTGAATTTTGTTGATGCTATGTGCTGTGCACCTTTGCCATGTAAACTGTTCTAGCAATACTGGCAGTATGATCATACACACTGTAAGAGTGCATGTGTTGGTGCAAACTCTCACTGTACTGTATAACGTGTACCTGTACCCTCCAGGATCGTATGGAAGGTGAACTTCGGCAGCTGAATAAGAACATCAAGACGAAGGAGGACAGCCTCTCCAAGATCACACCAAAGTTTCAGCAATTGCGAGCTGAGGAGGAGCAGATGTCTGCAAGGTACGCAGTGTGTTGTGAAGGAGTGCTCACTTCTGTGTTAAACTAACGTGTTACTTAGCGCCCTATTACTCTGTGTACTTGTACATGGCAAGTAGCCTCTCTCTCTCTCTCTCTCTCTCTCTCTCTCTCTCTCTCTCTCTCTCTCTCTCTCTCTCTCTCTCTCTCTCTCTCTCTCTTCTCTCTTCTCTTCTCTCTCTCTCTCTCTCTCTCTCTCTCTCTCTCTCTCTCTCTCTCTCTCTCTCTCTCTCTCTCTCTCTCTCTCTCTCTCTCTCTCTCTCTCTCTCTCTCTCTCTCTCTCTCTCTTCTCTCTCTCTCTCTTCTCTCTATCTATCTCTCTCTCTCTCTTCATCCCTCTCCCGCTCTCTTTCCCGCTCCCTGTCTCTTTACTTTGATCCTTTTCGTCCGATTGTTGCATTCAGGCTGAAGATTTCCGAGCAAAGAGTTTCTGAGCTTTATGCTAAGCAGGGCCGTGGGCAGCAGTTTCGCTCCAAGGAGGACCGTGATGTCTGGATAAAGAAGGTACCATAATCCTATCTCTAGTGCAAGTACACCATATACCCCTTCGAGGTGCTGTTTACACACTCTTCACTACAAACCCGGGCATGCGGATTTTTGACAAAGCGTTGATTTAAAAGTATAGGCATCGTCTCCGGTTGATGCTTAGGGTCAGGACGGTCCCGGGGTTTATGATTGAGATAATACGGTATGTAGGTTTTGGTACGACTTTGCAATTCACAGAATTGTGAAACGTATCACTTTGGCACCTTAGAACTGTAAACTCAAAAGTGATCGGAGCATGGCCAGGCCATTTGGTGCCAAGTGAGAATAGGGTTGAATTCCCTCACTCTCCATTCTTCTCATCTATCTGGATCTGTGTGCATCTGCATGTTGCTGGTGTTGTTGGATTTGTTCAGGAAGCCAAAGCGCTGTCAGCAACAATAGTGTGCAAAGAAGATCAGGTACGGTTTGTGTTGGTTTGTGGAGGTTGAGTGTGTCTGTACCATCGCTACATGTACTGTGTGGTGTGTAATGTCCATGCTATGCACCTTGGCAGGTGATGTGTCTTGACGGCAGTGTACTACAAAGTATTGTGGTGCTTTTGTGATGTCATGTGCAGCTTCGGACGGTGCGTGATGAAGCCACCCACTTGAAGCAACGTCTTGAGACGCTGGACACTGCCATTCAGGTATGCGATTGCAGTCTTGCAGTGAACGCTGCTGCGTGTTTACTGTAGTAGCGCTAGTACGCTTGCCGTGTGTTGTATCCCTAGTCTCAGTTAGCATCACTTAAATATCCATTTAGTCTTACGCCTTGCACATGACTCTTGTGAATGAATTGGCGATTGTCCAATGCATTGTGTGTGTGTGTGTGTGTGTGTGTGTGTGTGTGTGTGTGTGTGTGTGTGTGCGTATGTGTGTGTGTGTGTGTGTGTGTGTGTGTGTGTGTCCCATATGGTGCAGTGGTATGTGCAGCGATTTCCAATCGATAGGTTGCGGGTTCGATTCCCGACGATTATGGCCACACACGTCTTTCTTCTCTTTCTCAGACTCCTTCTGACTTTTCTTTCATTCTTCTGGGTGGTTACCAACAGCCAGTGCATGCCGGAGTATGTGGTGTGATGTGTGTGCGTGAAAAAAATGAAAAAGATCAAAAATTAGGGATTCACTGGCCAGAAAAAGCCACTTCATAGCTGTGTGGTGTAGACCAAGCTGAATAGTGGCAGTCAATTCTTCAGCCTTGCAAGCTGTTGAATGGTGCAGTCCCAGCACAAGTTGCTATGGCTTCTGCTGTAGTATCACTATCATCGCCTCAGGTGATGGGCGTCAAATCATGGTCAAATGGTGTGTTCTTAGGTGCATGCTGTCCTGGGTTATGGTTGGTAGTTATGATCTTGTCCCTATCAACCTCCTTGTGGCCTTGTGGTCGAAAGAGCCCTTGCTATTTCGCTGGTGGTCAACCTGTGTTACCTGTGTTCACCGTGTGTGTGTGTGTTTGCAGGAGCGTAATGCGTACCTGGAGGACCGGCGCCAGGCCATGGACCAAGCTAACAAGTCTCACGTTGAACTCAAGAAGCAACGAGATGATCTCACGAATGAACGAAAGTAAGGAAGCTATTGAAATATCCAAGGAGGTACTTGTACATGCTTTGCTGGCGAGTTCTTTGCCAGTGGAGCAGTAGGGTGTCCATTGACTAGAGGTTTAAGTGTTCCATTCCCTGCGTTCATCGCAGAATAGGAGCTCTGTGCTTGTGCATGTGTGTATTAATTTAGTCGGTTTGTCCTCTCCTTCACATGCATGCTTGCACATACATGTACATGCGTGTTATCTTGTTGTTCTGTTGCACGTTTTGCAGAGAGGTTTGGCGAGAAGAGGACTCCATGAAGCAGACGCTGCATTCATCTCGTGAAGAGCTGAATCAAGTGGAGCGAAACCTACGTACGACCGTCAGCAAGGTGGGTGGCGGACACCACGTTCTCTTGTCCTAGGCTGCAGCTGTATACCAGAAGCTGTGTGATCACTTTATACTTGAGGTCAAAAGTGGATGATGGGATGATGAAGGAAATGCAGTGAGCATGTTGCAAAGTATTGTTGTTTCCTTCTCTGACCAGTCTGTGAACGCAGGTCTGGAGGCTGTGCGCCGCATCATCGAAGAGAAGAAGTTGGAAGGTGTGTACGGCCCATTGATTGAGAACTTTGAGTGCGACGAGAAGTTTTTCACAGCTGTGGAAGTGACAGCTGGTGGAAGGTGAGTCCACGTATGCTGTGTGTTGTGCCTTGACAACCAGCGTTGTCATGCGCATGCTACAAGAATATGCTAGTAGTGGGCTGGTACAGTGGTCCCTCTATAATCCGGCACCATTTGTGCCACGAAAATCTGCTGGATTAGGGAGGGTGCTGGATTAACAAATCTGATTTACTGCTGCAATGTGCATGAAGAGGACATTTTGGCTACTGAAAATTGTGCTGGTTTATCGAGGGTGCTGGATTATAAAGTGCCGGATTAGAGAGGGACGACTGTAACAGGAATTGTGCTGTAAACTGCACTGCAAACCCTATGCTGAATATCATACACTCATACCTCGGTTATCCGGACCCCGAAGTTACAGGCACTTCAGTCTACCAGCCACCCTTTGGGCGAGTTTTAGTGGAAATATTACTCCTCTTCTGTCACTTTTTGGTGGAAATAGTGACGTCACATGTCATATCTATGGCCTTTCCCCATCACAAATGTATGTGATTCGGAGTTACTGACATTTCAAAGTTACGGGCAGTGCCTGCTCCCGGATTGCCTGGATGCACGAGGTATGTGTGTACCTCTCTTACTCAATCATACCTCTGTTATATTGATTGTGACTGTTGACGTGACAATGATGTTTGACTGCTGCTGCCGCTGCCTCTGTGGCTCATCAGGCTCTTTCACATCATCGTGGACAACGACAAGACAGCTACCACCATCTTGCAGCACATGAACAGACAGAAGTTGTCGGGGGAGGTGACCTTCATGCCGCTCAATCGGATGCATACCAAGGAAACCGAGTATCCAAACTCTGCTGTGAGTGTAGTGTTTTTTTCTGTTCATGTTGCTAGCTTGTTTGTTTGTATCCGATTGCATTCCTGTGGTGGATTGTCACACTGCCAGGCTGTTGTGATCATGTTAGGTGAAGTACCTTTGTACCCACTGCGGCGCATCAAGCCTCCCTGTCAACTCTCATACACATTGCTTTCCCAGGCTACTACAGCCCTGTCAGGCGCCGTTGAACGTACTGGCTAGAATCTGACCAAGTGCAATAGTACCCATGTGTATTTGTATTTATGGATTCTCCACAGTGTATGCCTTCAACTATACAGGCATTGCCCTACAGGTAAAATAAGAATGCCCTTGGCTTGTCAAAGTCCGTGACGTTTTTGATTCCTAGGTGCTTTGTACCAATCACCATGGTCACCAACAGCATTGTCTCAGTCAGTCCTTCATGCCACATGGTGCTTTGCAGACTGTGAACTGGGCCCGAAGCCATACAACAGATGTGGAGTTTGTATGTTGTTGCAGCAAGAAAATGTGTAGTATAAATATCGTGCCATGTCTTCCCACACCAGTTCACGATAAAACGCTCTACACCTGCACATACAGCACAATAGCGAATGTTTGTAGATCAGCAAGTCATTTATGTGTGTGTGTGTGTGTGTGTGTGTGTTTCTGTTTCTGTTTCTCTCTGATGTAGGATGTTATTCCGATGATCCAGCGGCTGAATTTCAACCCAGCCTTCCGGCAAATTATGCTGAACGTGTTTGGCAAGACGCTGATATGTCGGACGATTGAGGTTGCCTCTCAATTCTCCCAGTCGTCTAACCTAGACTGTATTACACTGGCTGGTATGTTACGTGTTTACACAAGGCTAGCCGTGTTAGCCTCCTGTCAGCTTTATGTCGGGGTCTCCTATATGGCATATTCATAGTGTTCAATCAGTGCTGCTCAATTCAATCCGGTTGATCCAGTCATTGTGCTGCCGTAGACCTATGAACATTGGCCTGCGACATTGTGCACGGTGCTAACTTGACTCACACGCTCGCGCTCATTGAGCAACAGCACTATGCATGCTATTTGGTTGGTTGAAACGGGCAGTGTATGGCCTCTGGCTTCCAGTGTCCACAGTGGAGTGTCGTCTGCTTTCAGGCTTTATACAGTGATTGTGCTGATAATGTGTGCGCTCATGCACGCACATATTTATGTGTGTGTGTGTGTCCTTGTTCTCTTCCTGACTGTGGCGTGAACAGGTGATCAAGTGAGTCGTCGCGGAGCCATGACCGGTGGCTTCTACGACTCTCGCCGATCGCGCATGGCTGCACAGCGCTCCAAGTCGCAGCTAGTCACTCGCATGGAGGCTGACCAGGGCTCTTTGGACAAGGTTGTAAAGCGACTTGCTGATATCCTTTTTGCACGAATAGCAGTTGTTGGGTTGATATGTGTCTGCTTTCCCATTAACCAGGTTTTGGGTTCATCAGCTGTATTCTCTGTTCATCTCACTCTGTGCTGCTCTTCAGGGGGCACGTTCCTTTGTGAAGTACGCTGTGATTTGAATGACGGTGTATGCGTGTGGAAGTACCTGTGTGTACTTTGGCTAAATATCAGGTCAAAATGTTTTCCTTTTTGCTGTGCTGGCTGTTGATTCTGGTCTGCAAGTCTTCCTTGACCTTTGCTTGGCGTAAACAGCTTGATGGGCAAATCACAGAGGTCTTAGGTAATCTGCAGAGAGTGGAGACACAACAAGTTCACCTGAGGTATGTCAGTGGCTTGCAACTCCATGGATGTACATGTGATGTTTGCCAGTTGTGTACTGTCCAGTGCTAGTGACATCTCTGCTGGCCAAAATGATCATCTCGACTTGAGTGTGTCTTGTATCCCTCTGTGCCATGACTCTTGATCTCTGACATTTGACATGCCAGACGTATGCATTACCAATCCCATGGCATCAACATAGACATTCATCATGCAATGATAACCCGATCGGTCTATCAACCAATATTGTTGATCAATGTATCCATTCAGCCCTGCAAGCTCGTCTTCCCAAAACTTGATAGGGAAGGAATCGATTCTATTCGAGATCAGTAACATACCAGTGCTGTCGCCGTTGCCAGGAAAACACGTTCTGCAGCTACTCGGGATATGACACTTGTATTTGTATCTGCTCTAAACTTGTGTCTTGACCTGTGCAGAGAGTCCTATGACCGTGAAAAGGTTAACGTACGTGGTCTTATCAAGGAACAGCAGATGTTAGTCAAGACCATTGCTACCAAGGTTCGTATTGGTGTTGTGATGTACAGATACCTTGGTGTGGGGGGAATATGCCAAGGTAAATTGCGTGCACAAGACAGCACATTATAACATCGAGATAACACTGCAGGGGGGGGGGGCACAGGTTGCAATTTTGTACAAGTCCGAGTTAGAAATGTAGCGGCCAGTTCTAAATATCATGCGGAGGATACGGCGGTTGAGAATTTCCAACCTCTCCAGTTGGGACTTCGTAATAGTAGACCATGCAGGGTATCCATAAAGAAAGAGTGGAAGAATGTAAGATTTTATAAAAACATACCCTACAACTGGTGGGTAAGTGAGAGAAATGGGACGTCATAATGCCTACAGTACGTGAACGGGTTTGCTCCCCACACCGGAGCTCGCGCTATTCCGCCGACTTTACTTGACACTTGACTGACTCACGACTGCCATCCAGAGCACACGAGAAGTCCATCGAACCTTCGACTCGGCAAACCTGCAAGAAAGCACCACTCCCTGCTCAATACACAGTGTTTCGCGACAAACACCTCGTGAACACCAGATAGCAGCGTGAGTCAGTGTCGCTCCTGGACGGTGAGACAGACGTCGGGGACCCTCGGTCATTCGCAACGCTGTCACCTCCAAACCACCGTCCAGGAGCGACACTGACTCACGCTGCTATCTGGTGTTCACGAGGTGTTTGTCGCGCTGGAAACGGAGCGTCTCTGTAAGTTTGTATCCCTGGTGATGATTGTGCCTGGAGAGCACTATATAAGTGGTGCTCTTCAGGCACAATTTTCCTCAGCCTACTCAAGCTCAACTGATGAGGGGTGAATTCCCCGAAACACTGTGTATTGAGCAGGGAGTGGCGCTTTCTTGCAGGTTTGCCGAGTCGAAGGTTCGATGGACTTCTCGTGTGCTCTGGATGGCAGTCGTGAGTCAGTCAAGTAAAGTCGGCGGAATAGCGCGAGCTCCGGTGTGGGGAGCAAACCCTTTCTTACAAGTCATCGCCGAAGTCGCAACCAAGTCTTAGTACGTGAAACACGGGACAAAACGTGGTCAGTGTGGGCGGACCAAGATAGAGAAGAATCGAATACAATGCCAAGATGCTTATGGCTAGATGCTTGTAGTATCTTGTTGAGTGCTCCATGAGCTAACCGATTTTGCTGTGTGCACGAACGCGTGTACATGTGTGTGTGTGTGTGTGTGTGTGTGTGTGTGTGTGTGTGTGTGTGTGTGTGTGTGTGTGTGTGTGTGTGTGTTCACAGGAGAACACTCTGAATGCTGATTCAGCTGAGTTGAAGGGCCTCAACAGCACTCTGCAAGCTCTCTCAGCCGAGCTGGGAACTGATCTCTTGTCACAGCTTGATACTGATGACCAGTCCGAGGTTTGTGCATGTACTAAGTTCTGTTCTGACATACTCTGCATTGCTGTTCTTCATTCCCGTCTTTCAGTTTTCAACTTTTACATGCAAGATGTAAAGATGTGAGTTTATTTTTGTTCTGTTTTCGCAGCTTGCTGACCTGAGAAAACTTGTGGATGACATCAAGTCTGCAATGAGACGATGCATATCGGAGCGAAGTCATGTGAGTGCAATGTGCTTCTGGCTCCCTGTGAAACTATGGGTGCCTTTCTGCGTGCGTGTGTGTGTGTGTTACTCTTTTGTGTTTGAACCTTGAATCTTCTGCACGTTGTCATGGTGCCAGTCCGTGTAGAAGTATGGACGGTAGCCAACTACAGTAGAAAAGTAACTACTCGAAAATGTTAGTAGATCATGACTTCTCAGTACGCTTCACTGAATATTGGTTCACCTTCGTGTTGGCAGTCAGTAGAATTGGAAGTTCAGTGCTAACAGTTGCGACGAATCTTTGTGCTAGTTATTTTGTAGATGTGTGTGTAGGTGTGTTTGTCGGTGCATGTATTAAACCTGTATGATTGTGTTCTTGTGTGTTCATGTTGCTCTACAGTTGGAAAAGGAGAAGAACGGCATTGAGAACGAGTTATCGACCAATCTTTGTCGCCGTCGAGATGAGCTAGTGCAGGTACATGCTTCGTTTTCGTTTGTCACAGAACCTTCCCCCCCCCCTCTCAGATGAAGTGTAGACGACACATTGTGTTCAGCTAGGCGAGTTCCTTGCCGGGATATACATGTAGTTTAGTGTTTCAAACTCGTAGAATTGACTTGCCCCACTCCCACTTCACCTGTCACCATCTCTTCAAAGAGCACCCGGTTCCACCTATCTTATCATTAAGATTTTCTTCTCTGACATAACAGTATATTTTACAGCTTTCGATGTGAGCCATGGAGCTGCAAGGAAATTATGTGTGTCATCATTCAGGATGCCAATCGCAATTCTGTCCCCAACCATGTCGTTTCAGTTAGAGCAAGCTAAAGGAAAAGATAAAGGAATCATCGCCATGACCCTCCTCCCCGCCATCATCCATAGCTCGTCTTTGGGCAGCATCCCATCCCACGCCCATGTGCCAGCTACTGCGAATGCCCGTAATAAGGCCCCGGGTTGAAGCGTCAAGTGACGTGTGTGTGTGTGTGTTTGCTACTGCTGACAGGAGCTAGATGATATCTCAGTTGAGGATCGGCAGCAGCAGTTGTCTGAGAACCAGAGTGATCTGAGGAGTGTGGTTCAGAACCTTGACCGTGCTAAGCAACGCCTCGACGGTGAGAAGCTGAGATGGCTGTGTGTGTGTGCGTGCGCGTATACACTATGCTTGCTATGGTTGTTGTCGGCTGTCGTTGTACGCAGCCGTTCTCCGTGGCATGTTTGTATGAATGTATGTCACATTGAGATATTCTGTGCGAAGGTTAACCCTTTCAGTGCCAAGGGGGTCAGAAAAATTCAAATTTTTCTGAGTTGAGCTGAACTCAAATTTTTCATAGCTCAGCTGTATATCCACGGATCTTTACAAACGATGGCTCTCTGGAAAGATATCATGGCCAGGCAGACAGCTGTGAAGAGAATATGCAGCGAAAATAGTCTTCCTCGCGAGGGCGCCTGAGCGAAGTCCGTTTTCTGCATTTTCGTAGCATCTGCACTTTCTCACGCGCGCGATCGATCGCAGTGCAGTCAAATTTCAACGCACGAAATTCGGACAAAGTTGGCCTGAAAGCCACTGAAAATCTCGATGTTTTGATACCCAATACGCATGGGTTGCCGCGAAAGAAATAGAGAAACCCGCGATGCGCATACGTCATGTTTTCTACACGCGACAATTGTTTGTCCGAGCGCGCGCGCTTCAGGCTTCGCCCTGGCGATATCTATCCTCACGGACACAAAACGTTGTGATGAGTCGATAGCCAAGGTCTTCCTGAAGACGTAGAGTGGTCGTTTGTAACTCTCCTGTGTGTAGAAGTGGAGATACGAATTTATTTGTACTCACATACTCAGTCTGGGCGACTAAAGTCGCCCGTGGCACTGAGAGGGTTAATTACTCAGCCGGCCCATCCGCTCAATGCTACACTCTCTGAGACGGCACTGACTGTGGGCCATTCCTTCAACCGGACCACTGTCCCGCTGTCTTGCTCGTGCTCATCTGACGTTACTAGTGTGTGTGTGTGTGTGTGTGTGTGTGTGTGTGTGTAGTGTGCATGTGTGTGTGCATGTGTGTGTGCATGTGTGTGTGTGTGTGCACGCGCGTGTTTGTGCGTGTATGTGTGACTTTGTTGTCGCAGAGGTTGATCGTAACCTCGATGACTTCAAGCAACGCCAGTATAAACTGAGAGCGGAGTTGGAGCAGTGGATTGTAAGTGGCTGCTGCTTGTCAGCTGCAGTGTCTGTTTTCTTCATCACTGCTTTTTGAGTTTCCTTGCTGCTGCTGCTCCCTTTTTTCAATCCTACGATAAAGAGCCTATCCATGCACATGTGCGCTGTGTGAGGGCACTTGCTGATTGCCATGGCAATGGAGGTGAATTGAGATTTCGATGCTTCTCTCCCGTATAGGTGGTCGAGCAAGAGCGTAGGGAAGCCATGGAAGAGGACTCGAAGAATATGGAACGTGTTGCCAACCAGAGAACGTTATTGCTGAAGAAGGTGTGTATGGGCCATAGCTGTGTGTGCGTGTGTGTGCATGATACCCTCCCCCCCCCCCCCCCCCCCCCCGTCTTCAGTTTCCTGAGATGATATGATTCAAGTTCAAGTGCAGTTGAATTACTCTGGCTAATGTGAGTCCTGACCCACACCTTGTCAGCTACTGCCTCTACCGTCAAAAGGGGAATATTTGTAAATTGTAACTGACTGTTATCATCCCATACTAGTATCTCAAATGCATTATTGCGTCTGTCTATTCTATGCATGTACAGAAAGAAGAGTGTATGCACAAGATCCGTGAGCTGGGCTCTCTGCCGGCTGATGCCTTTGAGAAGTACCAAAGTATGGGACTGAAAAAGGTGGGTGAGCGGCATGATGCTCTGTGTGTCTGTGTGTGTTTTGGATGTACATGTACTTGCATTGCAGGTCATGAGCCATACTCCCTCTGTGGTTGTTCTACTGCCGCAGATGCACGATAGCCTTTGTTATTATTCTTTACAACTCTTGTACCAGCATAGCTCTACACTGATCTCGCGTTCTGGGGAACGGGATAAGGACGGCCAGGCCTTGATTCTCCCAAATATGAACACTGCAGTATGCGTTTGAATTGTTTCTCGCACATAGGAACATGCCAGTCTGTATTGAAATACCATACCTTGTTCGGTACGTGAGGTCATGTTGCCGTCTTCACTCTACTGATTTCTGGGGTGTGTGGTGTGTGCGTGTACGCGTGTGTTTGTTTTAGCTGTTCCGCAAGCTACAAGAGTGCAACAGTGATCTGAAGAAGTACAGCCATGTCAACCAGAAGGCTCTTGATCAATATATCACCTTTTCTGAGCAGAAGGAGAGGCTGGTGAAGCGAGGCGAGGAGCAGACCAAGTCATACGATGTTAGTGACGATGTGGCCCAGTGCACAGTGTACTTTGTAATTTGCCACCTGTGCATGTTGCTTGTTCCCCTTTCTTTCTTGTTGGGCTTTGGCCTTGAACAGGGTTCGCAGCGAAGTTTGGAAGTCTGGAAAAAGTTTGGATTTTATAATTCAATTTTCCAGGTCTGGAAAAAGTTTTGAAAAGGCGCTCCTTTTGAAAAAGTTTGGAAAATGTTTTGAATTTCGATTTTTTGGCCGCAGATGTGCTGCACCACTGCAGTGCAAGTGGCCGTTTTGAGTGCCGCGATAGAAGACGCGCTGGCGATGCGTGGTGTTCACTGCACAGTGTGCATGTACGAGTCTCGTACAGTCATGGTCATTTCAGTGCAGCTCAAGCGCGGCCGGTGATGACTTTTATTTAGCCGTTTTTCGTTACTGGCGCTCGCGCTCGACTTTGATTCTTTGAAGTCGGGAGAGCAGGATGGCGAGGTCCTTTCGCACTCAGATGAGTTTGCTGGCGAGGATGAAGCCGTTTTTTGCGCTGAGATGGACACCAGCTATGTAAATGTTTCATTGGAACCCCCTCTGGAGGCGGATTTGAACTTACGGAGGGGAACTCTCGTCGCATGAATCCCCCTGCTATTTTCAGGGGCTCAAGCTGCTGAAGGCGATATCATTGCAATGCACCTTGGTGAATTTGTTGATGGTAGTAGTGCCAGGGAGGATTTTACTACTCCCTGGTTGTACTCGTAGTAATAGTGGAGAAGACAGTCGTGCAGAAGAGATTTATAATTAATTTTATTTTTCCTGCACGAGTGGGTTTGGAAATTCTTGAAATTGGTTTGGAAAAAGTTTGGAAATAGTTTGGAATTTTGTGTGCTTGGTTCGCTGCGAGCCCTGCTTGAACAGTGGCCATTTTGGTGTGTACAATGTGAGCACTTCACGCCTTGTTTTCATGCACTTCACGCCTTGTTTTCATGCACTTCACGCCTTGTCCCCATGCACTCATTCTATGTTCTTGCTTTCCCCCTGTACTGTGCACACAATCTGATGCACACAGGCCATCGTGGAACTGATGGATGTCCTGGAGCAACGCAAGCATGAGCAACTGGAGTTCACATTCAAGCAAGTCTCCAAGTATTTCTCCGAGATCTTCAAGGAGTTGGTTGCGAACGGCATTGGGCGTTTGCAGATGGTTCGAGGAGATGCTGTAAGTTGTTTTTGTGTTTAATTCGCACCTGACTGGTCTAAATGGATTTACTAATGATACCATGCAATGTATATGGGCTGCTAACTTTGTGTGCATAGTCCCTGTAAATACAGTGCTGGCAGTGAAAGCTGACCACAGGGGTCCTGTCAGTGCTCCCAGTCAAGCAGACATTGACACCCTGCTCATGTGCAGCTCAACTCGTTTCACGAGCTCATGGTGCACGTTTCAGTGCAGCTTTCAAGCGAATGATTGGGTTTTATCTAACTGTACCTCTCATACCGACTGCAATATGTGAGAATGTTGTGGTGCTTATGTTTGGTATTGTGATTAATGCACTGCGGCCAAGCTTGGAAGATGTGGTCAGGTTTTGCGATTGAATGCTGCTCAAAGCACAGACTGCGTTCTATGCTCTATGTTCTATGCGTTCTGCGTTCTAGTGCTTTCTATGAACCCTGTGTGTTGATTTGTGATCTTGTCGCTTTGCAGGAGACCCAGGGTGCAGCTGCAGCTCTTGAGACCTTGAAGGGAGTTCGTATCTTGGTAAGTGATAGATAATCTTGGGCATCTCCATGGGGTGGGTGGGTGTGTGTGTGCATGCGTGCGTGCGTGGACGCGCATACATGTATGTGAATCATATGTCTGTATCTATCTATGTATGCATGTAATCTGATAACTTATATAAGTACTCGATCTGTAGGCACAGAGAATTCCCTTTCTTTCAAGATCAAAGTCAGGATTGTAGGGAAAGTGACGTACAATCGTGCTCGTTGAAATACCACCTCACATGAGTAAGTCAGTGCTGCTGTCCTGCGCCAGTGCACAGCCCAGGGTTCGCAGGTTTGTGGCTACATGGCGCCCAGTGCTCAATCTGCACGGTGGAATATAACTGAGAAGCGCTGTGCCATGTCCGGCCCGGGATCTGTACTGTATAAATTAAACAAGATCTGTTCTATCTTCTCTTGTTACAGGTCTCTTTCTCTGGCCAGTCATCCGAGATGAGAGATATGCAACAGTTGTCAGGTGGACAAAAGTCAATCGTAGCGTTAACACTCATCTTCTCCATACAGAAGTGTGACCCGGCACCGTTCTATTTGTTTGACGAGATTGATCAAGCCCTGGACACCACGCACAGGAAAGCAGTTGCAGGTATGTTGTCTTCTTGTCTCTACTGTGCTGGGTTTCTGGGTGGTTCTATGGTGGTTATTCTCGTCACTGGACGGTGCTGTAAAGTGCCATTCATCCCCCCTCCCCCCCCCCCCCCCCCCCCATACACACGCACAGTCAATTTGTCCCCTGCATTTTTGGCAAGGAACGGGGATTAAATCAGAGCTGTAAAGTCAGCGCTCGCCAACGTTGTACAAAATGTCACTAGCCTATTTTGACAGTGGTCGTGCTCATTGACCAACCAGCATACACCGTGTGAACCATAGCTCTCAAACTTACCATACCACTTTAAATAGGAGATTCAGATCGTGATGAGTAATAATTATAAAGGGCACATTCATGTCACAGACATTGCAGCCAAAGTAGTTTTGTGTCCAGAACGTTTTCTTGTCACGATCGTCAGTGGAATACCGTGACTAAAGGGAAGGGAGACAGTCAGTGGCATACCGTGACTAAAGGGAAAGGGAGACAGTCGGTGGCATACCGTGACTAAAGGGAAAGGGAGACAACCTAATCATATGTTCGGAGCAGAGAAAAGGAATGTGCCAAAAACAACTATCATTTTTAGAAAACAAAGATTGCGTTTATAATAGTGCTTTTAATGTAGATGTGCGAAATGGTGACTAAGTGTGCAAAGCTAGCAAGGCAATTCTATTGGAGAACACGTTAGTATTAATTAACTCAATAAGGTGTGCGCGCGCACACACACGCAGGTCAACAGAACACAGGGTGCGTACAGAAAAAGCCATCACAAAATTCAAGACCCATTTCCAGACCCATCCAAGTGTAGCATTTTAGACCAACCGCCACCCGAACGTTGTCAAATAACGACATTTTCTTTCCACACAGGAGAACTTGGTCGCGATCTTACTGTCTGGAAACATCTTTGCGAAGAGGCCGGACTGACCGACAAGGTCCTCGCAGCTACGGAATGATACTGATAGGTGTTTATCAGATACATTCAGCGCCCACAGAACTTCTGCCTCCAATTCCCGAGTGCTCGACACAAACGAGGACTAACTATCCGCTGCCGCCGATGAAGAATGTGGCGCTGCAGATTGGGACCTGGCTGAGAACACACTAGCCACCGAGGGACTAGCAGACGCACTCCTTACCGCTTCCTTATGCTTGGCTCCCTTGGCATGGCTGACAAGCGCTTTCTCCCCCATTGTCATGATGACAAACGTCGTGTTGCAAAGCTTGCAGCGGGCGGAGTGCTTGTCCTTCTGGTTCCTCTCTACCCAGAGAGAGTAATCCTGGTGGGACTACCATGTGTCCTAAAAAACACAGCGTCCCATACTTCTTTGGCACTGGAAACTTCAACTTGACAAGGACAAGAAAAATCCAAGCTACTTCACCAACGTCATGCAGGGTTCGCACAGGAAAATCACCACCAAGTTCAATAACTTTTCCAAAACCTTTTACAAACTTTTCCATGAATTTGACACGAGGCTAGTCATAGGCGGAGTTCGTGAGACAGTGGACGGCGGTGAAGCAACGGTCGACGAGACAGCGGCTGAGGAAACATTGCCTCCTAACAGAGTACTGACGGACGGGATTCTACGAGCAGCAGCTATGCCGGCCTTGTGTCCGACTCCTTGCATATGGCTACGCAATGCGCGCTGGCGGGTCAACAGCAATCCATTCTCCAAAATCGTCGTGCGTGAGCCACGCATAACTAAATTTACACTTGCCTGGCATATTGCCTACTTCACGAAAAATCGCATTTCAAAACACAAAAGAACACGTATAATCTAAAAGAGCCTACTACTCCTAAGAGCCTACTACAAAGAAACTGAAACCGCCTGTCAGTAAGGCAAACCACGACCTCACAGCAACACTGTCGAACTGACTGCTGAAAAGAGAAGAAAAGACTTACTTTGAACAGGAAGTATAACTAAAAATGTTCTCGACATCCGCGCCGCACACACTGCGCGCGGGCTGTACCAGGCCAGTCTACCCGCCATAGCCAACACAGCAACTGCCACTCAACGATCATACACGGCTAGCACAGTACAGACTGCAGTAGACTGTAGCACCTACTGCAGACTGCCGATGCGACAGTTGGAAACTTCGTTTTCCAAAACTTTTCAAAACTCCCACCCAAATAAAACGTGTTTCACAAAATCATACATTTTCCAGACTTTCCATAACCTGTGCGAACCCTGGTCATGGCAGGTTGTGTTTTTCTTGTGTCAAAACATCAAAACAAAACGACAGTAGATTCTACAACAGTACAAGCACAAAGCCTACGATCCGTGTGCAGTGGCCGCTTGGGCAAACACTACAGTTGTAGCAGGCATGCGGCAGTGGTCATGTGCTGCGCGCACCCGGTACCCGTCCATGACCGACCGTGTTGCGGAGTAGATCTACACGCTGACTTGTACTTGTAGTGTGACTGCACTGTACTGTACTGTGTGGACCAGTGTACTGTACTGTGTGGACCACAGTGTACTGTACTGTGTGGACCACACTGTACTGTACTGTACTGTGTGGACCACACTGTACTGTACTGTACTGTGTGGACCACACTGTACTGTACTGTGTGGAGACTAAAGCATCTTTCCCAGAGATGAGTTGAGTTTTTTTTGCAGCTCCGGGCTTTTGAGCAGATCTTCGATTGGTTTCAGTGCGGTGCGCGTCATATCGCCAAGCGCGCCATGCAGGGTGGCCACCAATGTTGTCGGTGCAACGGCAAAGGCTCCTGTGTTGGCTGTGCTTGTGTCAAGAGTGGACGGAACTGCCAAAACTGCGGCCCTGCTCAAAATGGAAGGTGCAAGAACCAACCACCCGCGGCGAGCCAACCATCTTCGCAGTGTACGGGTACGGGCGATACAGTAACGGCGGCTGGGCCTCGGGCCAGTGTTGTGAGTACGGTAGTGCAAGGTTTGCAGACCCCGAGGAAGGCAACAACCGCTGAGGAGATTGCCTCAGCTGCGCTCTCCGCGGCGCTGTCGACGACTCCTGTCTCGATATCGAGCTCCCAGCAATTTGCATGGGACACGCTGGAAGGTGACACAGCGAGCAATGCCAATGACTCTGACATCCACGAGGACGTGGCCTCAGACAGTCAAGCAGCCCAGCTGCTCGCCACATTGGATGCCAGCCAGCGTGAGGATCAAATCGCTGCAGACGCACACGTTTCACTTCCTCCACATGTGGAATCAACAACAGGACCGTTCACACTTGGAACAATGGACAGTCAAGCCACACAAGCTGCCATTCATGCAGCATACGAGGAAGCAGTGCACTTCAGGCCAAACACCTTTGATGTGCCTCATGGAACTACGGGCAGAGCTTTTATCTCCACACTCAGCAGCTATCTGCAATGCTTTGGAGATACAGGTCCATATGAGGGTCAGGCAATCAAAATTGCTTTGGTATTCCAGCAACTGCTCCTACAACAACCCCATGCATCCTCGTCACAGTCATTCTCTAAGCGTCTCCAGGCGCGCCTTGACCTCTGGAATCGTGGTGAGCTTGACGAGCTGCTCCATGAATGCCGCACTATCCAGCACCTCCTGCGAGCACACGCGTCATCCCCGAAAAGCAGGGCCGATGAAGCCAGAGACTTTGCAAACCTCGTGACCAATGGGAAACTGAGGTCCGCCACCCACATGTTGGCAGATGGTGGTCGTGGAGGAGTGCTGGACCTGGATGACTCCATCAATGGAAGCACCGTTCGGGATCTCCTCAAGGCCAAGCACCCGGAGGCGCAGCCTCTTCATGCGGAAGCATTGCTTCAGGGCCAGGCACCCGTGCCTCCCCACCCTGTACGCTTTGAGTCACTCAACCGAGACGCACTACGCAAGGCCGCCCTGCACACCCAAGGAGCTGCCGGTCCCTCCGGGGTGGATGCTGCCTCTTGGCGGCACATGTGTACATCCTTTGCCGATACATCGGACCAACTATGTGACGCTATGGCCAAGTGTGCTCGTCGTCTCGCTACTACGTACGTGGACCCGGCGTCACTAGACGCCTACACTGCATGCAGGCTGATTCCACTCGACAAATGCCCTGGAGTCAGGCCAATAGGCATCGGGGAAGTCTTGCGGCGCATAGTGGGGAAGGCCATCCTCGAGGTGATCCGCCCCGAAATCATGGAAGCTGCTGGCAGTCTCCAGCTATGTGCGGGGCAAGATAGCGGCATAGAGGCGGCAATCCATGCGATGTGCGACGTATTTGATGACCCTTCCACTGAAGCCATTCTTCTGGCTGACGCCACCAACGCGTTTAACTGCCTAAATCGCGAAGTGTGCCTCCGTAACATCCAGCACCTATGCCCATCACTCGCCAAACTCGTGATCAACACCTACCGAAAGCCCGCTAGCCTCTTCGTCGGCGGCGAGAAGATCTTGTCATGTGAGGGTACCACACAGGGCGACCCCGTCGCCATGGCGATGTATGCCATTGGCATCATCCCACTTATGAAAGCTGTTGCAACAGAAGGAGCCGTACAGGCATGGTATGCAGATGGTGCCGGATCCGGAGGCAAGCTGAAGAGCGTCCGAGTGTGGTGGGATCAGCTGATGGAGAAGGGCCCCAAATATGGCTACTTCCCAAATCCAGCTAAGTCAGTCCTAGTGGTCAAGCCCCCACTCCTCGACGAGGCCATCCGGATTTTCGCTGGTACTGGTGTTTCCATCCAGGCAGATGGATGCCGCTACCTTGGTGCAGCCATCGGGTCATCCGCGTTCGCCACGCAGTACGTGCAGCAGAAGGTCGAGGAGTGGGTCGCACAGGTCCAACGGCTGAGTGACTATGCCCGCTCTCAGCCTCAAGCTGCGTATGCCGCGTACACCCATGGCCTACAGAGTAAGTGGACCTTTCTCTGCCGAGGCATGCCAGCCATGGATGAGCACCTGCTTCCACTTGATGATGCTGTGTCCAACATGCTGATCCCTGCCCTTCTGGGACGACCGGTGAATACCCAGGAGCGCAGCCTCCTTGCTCTTCCGTGTCGCTTCGGCGGTCTCGGGCTGCCCCACCCATCGTCGCGAGCCTCCCAATATCAGTCTTCTCGAGACATCACCGCGCCCCTGACAAGCCGTATCTTGGTCCAAGATATTTAATTAGGCATCGCCATTGACGATGTACGCGCTGCCAAGAAGCAAGCGAAGAACACAGTTGACGCCTCGGTTCGGGCTGATGCTGTGCTTCTTTCCTCATCTGTGGATACTGAGTTGCAGCGGATCATTGCGCTAGCGTCGGAGAAGGGAGCTTCTTCCTGGCTGACCTGTCGACCCTTGAAGCGGCATGGCTTGACCCTCACCAAGGGTGAGTTCCGCGACGGAATCCACTTGCGCTACGGCTGGCTTCCACAGCGACTGCCATCATCTTGCAGCTGTGGAGCCACATTTTCAGTCGCTCACGCTTTGTCTTGCCCCACAGGGGGGTTTCCGTCGGTGCGGCACAATGAGGTGCGTGACCTCACTGCCCATATGCTGAAGCGAGTGGCTCACAATGTCTCCGTGGAGCCCCACCTGCAGCCGGTCACTGGGGAGCAGTTCCGGTATCGCACCGCTATCCAGACTGAGCAGGCCCGTCTCGACGTTGCGGCAAGTGGCATCTGGGGTGGCCGGTTTGAGCGCACCTTCATCGATGTGAGGGTTTTCAATCCTCATGCGACCTCAAACCGCGCCACCTCCATTGCTTCCTGCTACACCAAGCACGAGAAGGAGAAGCGGCGCTGCTACGAGCAACGTGTCCGCGACATAGAGCATTCGTCGTTTGTTCCGGCCATATTCTCTACCACTGGTGGTTTGGGCAAACACGCGGAGTCGCTCTACAAGCGGATAGCTTCTCTTCAAGCCGCGAAGACTGGAGAAGCATACAGCTGTGTTATGTCTTGGGTTCGATGCAAATTGAGTTTTGCCCTACTCCGGTCCAGCGTGATGTGTTTGCGCGGATCCCGGAATATTCGGCCGGTGCAGTTGGACTCACCTCCCACCTTGGCGGTTGCTGAGGCAGGCATTCGCATTTGATACCATTTGCCTCTGGTTTTGACTGTATTGGCTTCGTCTGTGCTCTTTTCATCCTACTACTAGTAGTTTTCAGTCCGCTATTGGGCAGCTGCACTCCAGCTCTGCTTTGCACTTCTCTTAACTTCTTTTTTCGTTTTTGTAATCATTGCTGACTGAGCTGTACGTAGATTTAAAAAAAAAAAAAAACTGTACTGTGTGGACCACAGTGACACGCGCGCCGCATGGGTGCACGCCACTGCCGCAGCTCGGAGTAGATCTACGACATACCAGTACCACACCAGTACTGTGCATAACAACACTGTTGCGTGCATGTTTTCAAAATCCCAGACTTTTCCAGACAAAGTGTCATTCAGGTCAAAATCAAGACTTTTTCGAGACTCTGTACGAACCCTGTATGCAGTACATGCTGTAGCAAGCCAACTTCAGGATGTTAGCTGAACTAAAGGCAGTTGCGCTAGCTGATACACTAGTGCTTAGACACGTAAATGGAATTTTCGTCTCCTACAGTTAGGCATGCAGTGGGCACCACCCTAGATTGTAATGACCGATGTCACCACTCTTGCTAGCTACAGTATGCGCATTACAGTGTGTGTTGTAAGTTGTAACAGTTACTCAACATGCCTATTGTGTTGGTGGCATCAGAAAGTTGTATAATCCGGCGGGGCAGCACCATAGGCTGTGTTTACATGAGAAATTTCAACCCGGGTCGAGTGTAGCCCGGGTTGAAAGTCTGTACGATAGACAAAATAGGTGAGCGTTTACATGAAGACAGTTGACCCGGGTCAAATACTGATATGCCGCCAAAAGTCCACTTCTAAGAGTCCTGCATGGTCACGTGAACTCGTTCGCGCGAAATTTGCATGTGCAGTGCTGTTCAAACCTGGCGCGAGATACACACAGAAGTAGCCAGTGCAGGCTGTCGTAATAAAACGACTCATCCGTGTTCCATTCTCGTGCATGGTACATGCATGGTGCGACGGCACAATGACAGCTGTCGCAAATCACACTGAGTATTACACGTGTTTGTTGGTGATTCCTGGTTAGCTGCTAGCTTTTCCCTACTCGAAGTTGTTGCCGCCGCGAAATCTGGGGGTTTGTGTTCGTCCTGGCGAAAACCGTGTTTTGATCCGTTGAGGGAGACGAGAGATACAGTGCGAAGACGTACGATCTGTCCGAGAATCGGCGAAGAAGAAAGCTTCGCAGACTACCCGTAGTGGTTGGGAACAGAATGGAACATATACCAGTCGATGCCTGTCATGGTAGGGATGACTGCTACGAAGTTTTAGCCCCATGCTCCCCAGCGCTTTTTAGCGCCCGACGATAATTACCAAATTTCATCGATTTTCCATGTGGATCAAAGCATAGTCTCCTCAATCTTCTCCAGTCGAGCAGAGTCTGGACGCTACAATGTCGAGACGCGAAAAGAGAACATGCATGAACACACAGGAGCATCACCTGCAGCTGCATTCTGCCTTGACGAAGCTGAGATAAAAACCAGCACCACGCATTTGGAAGACATTTCGAAGAAGACGAAGAACTACATATCCGCGTTCAAAAAAGCCTCTGTACTGCGTGTGTGCATGCAGTATGCATGCATGCATGCGCGAAGCACGGGGTCCGCGGATCAACTTCGTTCAAAAATCATTGTGCCACACGGGTTGTATGATTTGTGTGCGATCATGGTCTTTCTTCTTGACAAACAAAAGTGAAGTTTTTCGATCTTCAAATCGCCATAGCGTCCTTGTCATGACTCCAAATCAGCTGAAACTTTGCAGGAGGAATGAAAATGCCATGCTGAATCGATTGGTACCATTTTCGAAGGGTTTCCTTGAAAAATAAAATTTAGCCTGCACTGGCTAACAGAAGTACATTTGTACGATTTTCTTGACCCGGGTTTATTTCAACCCTCCCCTTGGTGGGGGGGGGGGGGGGAGGGTTGAAATCAAACCCGGGGCGAAATTTCAACCCGGGTCAAGCGCAATGCGTCATGTAAACGCGCCATTCATTTTGTGTACATGGCGGGTTGAACTCTGACCCGGGTCGAACTCAACCTGGGTTGAAGCACCTCATGTAAACACAGCCATAGTTATCTCGGGTCAATCTCTGGACATGTGTTGAGCATGTGATACTGTGGTTGAAACCGCTGTGCCCAATAGGGCTTGAAAGTGCTACGTCACAGCATAGCAACAATTTCAAAAATTCAAAAACTGGATCCACTTGGATCCAGTTTTTGTATGGATCCAAGCACATTTCAAGCGGTCTTACCCACAGCATGGTGATGTAGCCAGTGAAACTGACTGATTTGGCTACTGGGGGCGGGGTTACAACTGGTGGCGAAATAAAAGTCACACCTGCATGCGACATGAGTGGGTTGCTATGCACCCACATACTTAGGCAATAGCAAAGTCACACCTTGGTGGATCCAAAAATAGAAATCTGATGTCAACTTACTACTCCCTGGCCGTTTTGACGTCATCACTTTCAAGCCCTATAGTGGCTGAGCTCCCCTGTCGTGCAGTATAGAAACTGTATACAAAATGGGTTAAACTCGTGCCTATAGTGTTCCCTGTGTGTGTGTGTGTGTGTGTGTGTGTGTGTGTGTGTGTGTGTGTGTGTGTGTGTGTGTGTGTGTGTGTGTGTGTGTGTGGTGTATACGTGTGTGGGCATGTGTCTATTGTCATATGTTCGTACTTACCAATGGGAAACAGACAAAATCAAGCAGAGTGCAGATAATGCACAATTCATCACTACTACATTCCGGCCAGAGTTGCTGGACACTGCTGACAAGTTCTACGGCGTTCGTTTCCGCTACAAAGTCAGCACGGTTGAGCGGGTGTCTCGTGAAGACGCAGAGGAGTTTGTTGTTGAGCAGGGTGAGGATGCTCATTGATGCGTGATGAAAAGAAAAGAAACGAATGCAGTGCCTATTGCTGCTGTTGCTGCTACTGAGAGATGAACGCCTGTTTTCATCTCGACATTTGCCATGGAACGCTGCCCAAGGAATGTCTCCCCTTGCCTTGATGCAAAAACCACCGCGCTGCACCGGTGTAGGTAGCCTTCTCTAGCTTATCAAGCTATCACATATGTCTAGCATGGAGAAACATGAAAATTGCCATAATCACACTTTTTAGAGCTAGCTGAGAAAGTCAATGTAGTTTTCTCTACCCAATGCACTGCTTTTTATTACATCTTACCTTCTGTGTCCACCATCTCCTTATCACATTCCCATCACACAGCAAAATGATATGCACTGGCAGTGCATACAAAGTACTAATTTTGCTGCTAGCCAGATACGTCATGGGCAGACTCACCCTCGTATTTGTCTTTCTTTTTATACACTGTGTGTTTTTATACACTGAGTGACCATTCATTGCTGGGCATGCCTAATTAACATATACGCCATGGTGCCCAATGGCAGTATCATGAAAACTTCGGAATGCACAAGTTGAGTAAAAAAAAAGAAGGATAGAGACATCCGAATCAATCATGACATTGCATATTAGTTTTATTTGTGTGCCTTCTCTTGCTTATACTGTGAGCGAGTTGGCAACTTGGTGTATTTCACTTCTCTATCGTAAGTCTTGCCTGGGCTTTCTGGTTATCTGCTGGCGGTTTATGTGAACTTTTTCTCCCATTATAACAATGCTCTACCACTAGAACTGAATACACCTTTTAGATAACAAACGTCTAATCATGGTAGTTATATTTTGTTGTGGCGTGCTGTGGATGTGTGTGCGTGTGGGCATACATTCGTGTGTGTGCTTCATGCCGCTTTATGCTCGTATGTTAGATCCTTGGCTGTTGGCTGTTGCCTTGGCTGTTGGCAGTATTGGTCAGATTTCAAAATGCTGGATCTGTAAGTTGAGCAAAACACTGCCGTACGAAACCGACACTGCTCCACTCGCAATCTACTGTGCACAGCCATTCTGTTGAGTCCGGCAGTAGTCTTCGGAAGCCATGCAACTTACTTGGTGGCCATCTATTAGTTCCACAACTGTGTGTAGCGGAAGGTGGTTGTGCCATGGCTTGTGCATTACTCAGGGCCTTGTCAATGACCGCTGCCGGCGTCTCATTGGCATTGGCGGAAGCTGTTCTTTGATAGTTCTTCCTCTGGCTGGTTGTCTTGGGTGTGTTTGAGATTGGATGAGCTAGATGTCGGTCAGCTGTGTTCACCTCCCCGTGTTGATCAACAGCAACTAGACACAGCACACAGCACAGCACAGCACACGTGCAAGCACACATACCGGCGGTCACTACCGTATTATCTCTAATATAAGCACGGTCCTTTATTTTTTCAATGTACCTCTGCCCCGTGCTATTAATGGAGACGTTCCTTTATTGGAGACTGTTCCATTATTATTTCAACCTCATTTCAGAGGCATGTTGCCATGCCAAATTCATGTATGACACACACATTTCAGGGTTTTTTTTGCCGGTACAGATAATGAATTTACACAGTGTGCTTATAATGGAGACTGAGCACTTTATTTTTTGAATGCCGCCCCAAGGTGTTCTATTATTGGAGACGTGCTATTATTGGAGACTGTGCTTATATTAGAGATAATACGGTATTATCATGCACATACTTTGAAATATAAAAAGAGTTTGAAATATTACTTCATACCGTTGCAAAGAAGAGGGAACAACAGGACTGCGCTGTTGGCAAGGCTCCTAGTGCACATACAGTGCTGTGGTGATCTACATGACACGAAGCATTCTGCTGCAGCTCATTTCGTGTTCCCGAGTACCAGTACGTATGTCATGTTGGTATGTTTGCTGCTGCCATAACTGATCTCACCTTGCTCATTGTAGTTGGCGATGTGCTCTTGTAACAACACACCACTGGCGTAGACCTACACACACACACAGGGAAAAGACGACGGACAGAATACTGCAGTCCATCACTCGACTGCAAACGAAAATCCAGCGGAACAAAATTTAATCTTAACTTTTTGTACCACTGGATTTCGCTTGTACTGAAGCTCTGCACATCGTGGCACTCTGACCAGTACGGCAGTAGTCAAGGTTTATTTGCGTACATCACACGACTGCTGGCCTGAGCTGGACTATGGTATGCCATTAGAGATATACACAGCACAAGTATCTCTCTCTCTCTCTCTCTCTCTCTCCCTACATCTACTGGTACGCTCACAGTCAAACAGTGGGCAGAAAGGCTCTCTGTGAACTGTGGTTGAGTTCCACGCACAGCCGTGCAATCATCATGTACTTACATGTACATGAGTTCATCCTCTTATTATTGTTTGTACATGTAGTTCTTCAGCACGGCCGGTATGTGCCCACCTGGCTGGTGGCTGTGTTGGCAAACAATCACGTTACGGTAGTCAGCGTGAATTAGCAGGTTTGACTATTTTAGCGGCAAAAAAATAAGCAAGGCTTTTCATTGGTTTTATTTTGCCCGTAAAAGAGGCCTGTTCCACAGTTTACCGGCATACTAGCACCCAAGCTGTCCTCACCCAAATATTGTACTATTACTAGCATTAGAACTTTGTTGGTTTGCAAAACAAACAAACATCTAAACATATTCTATGACATACCATGGAGTACAGAATGCTATCTTTTATTTGCCTTGTGAAGAAGTCCGGGATGATTGATGCCAGACAGACACAAGCCCACAGGCGTGGAGAGTGGAAGCATTCACCGCCGGCACTCTGAATTCTACCATCCTGCTGAAGATGGGCTTTGAAATGGCGCACGTCGCTGCGCGAGTCTAGCTGTTCAGTGCAGCTGACAGGACGCCCATTGTGGTCCTGGGCAAGAACATTGGCACCAGCAGCAGCAGCAAACAGCAACGACGACAATGATGACAGCAATGAGCAATATAGGCAGCACACAAAATTTCCTGAGAAATTCCTCCCCCTCAGTAGTTCCCAGTCACTTAGATCACATGTGCAAGGACCGGCTGTATGGTTGTGATGCATACACCGGGCATTGTGAGTACATCGTGTACACCAACACACGTATAACACAGCACTGTACAATCATGTTCATAGTTGACCATACATGTAGCGATGTAGCTACTTCCAGTAGAGTAGAACCCGGATTAAGGGTCCACCTAACTCTGCGCGGACATAGCTGGACTCAGTTGTACAGGGATGGGCAAAAAGGTGTGCAAAACGACTTCTTGTGAGTAGATGGACCTCGGAAAAATAGTTTGGAGCGAAAAAAGTTACGGCTTCCTCGGAAACCGACGGGGGACCCCCCCCCCCCCCCCTTGGGCCGGAAATTAAATCCCGGTATAAGGATCACCCGCACAATGCACATGCCAAGTGCCCCCCCGGCTCCGAAGGATCACCCGCACAATGTACGTGCCAAGTGACCCCCCCCCCCCCCCCCGGGCTCCGATCCCTAATCCGGTGTGACCCTTAACCTGGGTTCTACTCTACAGTACATGGCATGTTGTAGTCACACACGCCGCTTGGCAGTAGGCATGCTATTATGCATTGGTGCCGATGTACGACGCGCATAATCAAGGAACAGTCGCTGATTGGGTTCTTTTCGTTAGCTTTGAGTTCTTTTCATTAATTGTTTTGGGTTTTAGTTGCATTTCTATTTATTGATCATGGTGGCATTTTTTGCTCTATAGGAACAGTCGTGGCAAATACTGTACACACCTTGCCACACACACTTTCCCAGGTCTTCTAAACGACACGGTTCTTCAGGACATCCTCAACTATCTCATACTGGCGCATGTAGCTAAGCTACCGTCAGAGGTTGCAAAGATAATATGACATTAGTGCATTGGAGCATACACTACTGACTGAGTAGTGTAGAATAGGCACTGACTGAGTAGTGTAGAATAGGCACTGACTGAGTAGTGTAGAATAGGCACTGACTGAGTAGTGTAGAATAGGCACTGACTGAGTAGTGTAGAATAGGCACTGACTGAGTACTGCATTGGAGAGGCACTGAGTACTTACTACAGTCATGGTAAGTACATCTTCCCCCGGTTGAATGACACCAGCCTCTATCATCTCACTTAGTGTTGCAAACTGAGACAACCTGGCTCTGCTTCCAGTCATTCCACTGCTTGCTTGCTGGCCACTGCCTGTGGGCGCTGTTACCCGAGACACAGCCGCCGTCGCAGTAGTTGCCAATGGAGCAGTCGCTGCACAGCTTGGCGTTCCTCCACTGGTCGACATGGTCACCGGCACAATCTGGGCGGACTGGCCACCGCTAGTGTTAGGTACATCTTGCAGTAGCAGTGTGTCAGTGTATTGACTAAGAAGAGCAAAGTCATCCAATGGAGTTATGGGTGCATCTGTGCTGGCCGACGTTACGCTCATACTACCTGTGCCATTACTAGTGGTTTGGATCATGCTCTGCACTGGATTACTGGGAATAGCAAGTACAGCCTGTACTGCTCTTGTGGTTGTTGTTGATACCGTTGTTGCAGTGTTCCTGCGTCTCACTCTTCCTGTGGGTTTACCACCAGTTGTTTTGGTTAGGCCACCACGTCTTCGTGAGGCGGTGCTACCACTGGTATTGCTACCGGTGCTTATAGATATACTTGATGCAGTGGTACTTTTACAGGACTGATTGCTGTTGCTGATGCTGCTGTTGCTGCTGCAAGTCACAGGAACTGTGGCACGAGCCACTGCTGTATGCGGACGACTAGGGCATGTCACAGCTACCGCCGTACCCATCGATGCTTGAGTCAGGAGTTGCGCAGCTGAATTAGTAGACCTAGTGCCTGTCGGCTGTGATCCTAGTGCTGGTGTTACATGACTGTGCACAGCCTGCTGGACCTGGGTGGTTGAAGCCGCCACCTGAACAGTTCCACTGCTACACCATGCCACATCAGTACAAGCTATTGGCTGGCTGCACACAGGTTCTGTGTGAACCTGGTGTGGTTGGGAGGGTAAGCGTTGGTCTGATGCTATTGCTCTGCCTCCTTGCTGCTGCTGCTGCCACTGGTGGTGCAATGCCATGTTGGATGTAGTGGTGGTCAATGCTGATACTGCTGGCATGCTAGATTGCTCCTGGACAGTGGTACTGCTAAGCACAGTCGCAGGTTCAGTTCTAGTATGTCCTGGTGACAAGGGTAACAAGCTCACTACTGCTGCTGCTGGAACTACTGCAGCTGTTGTTCTCGGTGGCGGTGGTGGTACTACTGCTGCTGCTGATGCCAGAGGTGGTGGCACATGTATTGTAGTTGTTGTGGCTGGTGCTGCTGGTGGTGCGGCTCCGTTGGAGCTTGTCACTCCTGGATTGTCCATGCCGTTTGGCTGATCTTGTGTTGATGTCGATGCCACGGCACCCGTAGTGCTGTGTTGGGTTATAGCACATACACTTCCCACAGTGCGTGGAACTGATGACATTGGCAGTTCATCAGCACTGGCAGGCATTGCATTGGATGTGAGCTCAGCACTTGTCTGCCTCAATGGCACTGGATGAACAATACTTGCCACTGCTGATTGTGTTTGGGTAGGCATTGCTACTGCTGCTGGTGCTGCTACCACTACCGGTGCTGTTGACGGTGAATTATTAGACAGAGGTGACGGCCGATGAAAGGCTGATGTAGACCCTGTAGCACTTGCCTGCCTTGTGGCAATCATCGTGTTAGGGTCAGTATCAGTGTTGTGACTACTTGCCTCTGCATCACTGACCAAAGGGAATGCAGCAGTAGGAGTCTGTAGAGCTGCTGTATCCACTCGTCCAGGACTTGGCTCAAAGGTTGCTCCTCTCTCCGCTAGAATCTCGCTCAGGTCACTGCAACGCGACACCAAGCTGGACAGGAGACGCATGCTGGAGCTCAGGTGACGACCCTTCTCAATCTCCTCTCTGTGCCAGCAAGATGCGTCCTGCATTGCTTTGTACTTGCGCAGGAATGATTCCTTGGCCTTCCTGCAGAGTACACGCTGCTGTTCTATTTCCACTTGAAGTGATCCAAACATCTTGTTCATGGCTGTATCGTAAACACAGTACCCCACACAGGCATAACACAGTACCCCACACAATACAGGCATACCATCAATCGTCTCAAGCAACTCTCAACGTCAATCATGGTAACAATACATGCATTCATGTGTGTCGTTCTATTATTTTGTACATGGCACTCGTTGATTCCTCTCCTATGCATATCTCCATTCCATACCATTGACGGCAGTCATTGTGACACATTTACACATTCTGTCCTTACCTCTGAGCTGGCCAAACCCCAAGTTTGGTGTTAGAACAATTCTTTCCATCTCAGCCAGACGTCCCTGGAGACTCTCGAGGGTTTCCTTGGAACTCAGAGAGTAGCTGTCCCTCTCTGATAACTCTTGCATAGTCACAGGCGCACCACTCTCAGCAGCATACATAACTTGCCCACTTGTTGCTGATAGTGGCGGTGCACTTGAAACTGGTCTTCTTGGTCGACCTCTGCGACCCACCGCCTTCTTGGTCGATGCCATGCTAACTGTTCCAGGCTGCAATGATGATGACGATGATGACGATGCTGTGGGTTTCTGGAATATGCAGACAAGGGTCATCGAGCACATTTGCAGTGCACTGCTGCGACGTTTTCAATAGCAACAATAACTTAGGCAAGTAGTCTGGTATCGTGTTTAAACGTATAAAACATCGTAACCTATCCTGAGTGTTAATTCTGCACAATCAACACTCAGGATAACAAGACAAGTAGTTTTTGGAGGACGGTATCGTTTGCCAATGCTGCTGGATAGGCAGCACAATGGAGTTCGCCCTGGTTCGTGGGAGATGTATCTACAAGATCTTAAACTGCAGCGACCATCACAAGCATCAGCTGAAACCAGTGCCGTCTCAGATCATTCCCACATGGGGTGATCGACCAATAGAACAAACTCCCGGAATGCGTGTTCCATGATAGTCAGCCGAGTCTGAACTCAGTCCCAGCATTCAAGACAAAAGTTCACCAGTATCTACGCCCCAGTAACTGGGCCTGTGCCACTGACTTTCACAAGGGCTGTGCCTACAAGAAAAATCCAAAAGCCAACAATCATAGAAAAGCTGACAGGATCACTTTTCTAAATCAAAGATGAGCACGCGGGTCTCTCAGGTTCGTGCCAGTACATGCGATGCCTGGGTTTACACAGATGAGTGTTATATAGATATCATGTACAATGACATGCACACTTACTCGAGTGTTGCTCCATTCAGCAGCCCTTCCTAACAAGTAGACATTACTACCGGGTCTGAAGACGGCGGCGTCCATTAGCCATGTTGCTGTCTGCGCTGCCTGGCGTTTGGGTCTTGGTTCCACCTCCACAGCATTGCTGCCACTGCTGCTGTCATCGATTAGATCTACCACTACGGGTATGTCCTGATGAGAAGATGATGTTGAGCACTCTGCATGTAACGTTACATGTAGACGTGATGACAGAATTATTGCATTGCAAAATCACAAGATAGAGAACTTTCCTAAGACAAGAAAAAACTCAACGCAACATTGCTTCCATGTGTCCATTCAGTAGCAAACATAGTATAAGCCCTTGCACCCGTAAACATGCAAGCACCTCCAATTGCACCCGCACGCCCAGCTTGGGCACTCGTGCACCCACGCAGACAGACACAAGCACACACATGCACGCACACGCCACCAGCGTACCCATTTTCTGCCACGCAGACACCCCCACAACGTACCACTCACTATGGCGTGCACACACATACAATAGACACATTGGGTTGGGGGTTGCCATGATTTCTTTTGGACAATTCAAATATTCAAGAATATGCTCTTTGTAAAAAGGAAAAGGACATATGGATACGAGTTAAGAGCAACTCTCCATCACTGTAACTGGATACTATATACAGTCAGAAAGTGCAATAACTAGGCACAAAACTGACAGAGTACTGAGACATTCGACGTCCTGACACCTAGCTTCAACACATCTCCGTAGCGCTAACCGACAGCCTTCCAACTTGGAAGGTTCAAGGTTATGGAAAGACCAAAGAGGGGAAGGCAAGCGCAACGAAAACGAGCAAAAGCTACAGTCCCAACCGAACAAAGGATGTCGATTGTTACTGGACGACGACGAGACCAGTACGACAAAGCGGTCTAACTACAATTCGAAGCAGCAAAGCAGCACACCGCCCAACTTGGGTGGGTCATAAATATCAAAGATAAGTAAAGAAGTCAACTAGTCCATCACAATGTCATGCATGAGGAGTACTGTAGGAGTTTGGCTTTCGGCTTGTACAATTCGTTTTTGCAAAGCTTCCCCTTTCTTTACTTATCTTTGATATTTATGACAAATATGGCAAATGGCCGCCGAGGCCAGCAAACCGCCCGCCGAGGGCTAAACTAGCATACTGTCCACCGAGGGCGCTCAAATGGCCGCCGCGACCAACAAACCACCCGTCGAGGGCTAAACCAGCAGACAACCCATCGAGGGTGCTCAAATTGCCACCGAGGCCAGCAAACTGCCCACCGTGGGCCGATAATTATCATCTTGCCCGCCGGGGGCACACAAATGGCCACCGCGGCCAGCCAATCGCCCACCGAGGGCTCACACGACTGCCTGGCATCAGGCGTCACAACATACAGACATAATAGGAGGCCGTTTGCCCCCCCCCCCCAACCGGAGAAACAAAAATTAATGTCACTTCAAAAGGGGTGGGAGGGAGTGAAAAAACTACGACTCGAAACAGAAACTGCAACTGCAAAGAACGCTCCTTCAGGGGAAGTTAAGGCAAAATAGGTAAACAGTTTCCTCTGAGACAAAAATGCGATAATACTCATAAAAAGGACACACTTCAGGCTCATTACAAACATCTTGAAAGTTGAAGGCTTGAAAGTATACTTGTGAAGACAAAAACTTTCAAGATGTTTGTAATGAGCCTGAAGTGTGTCCTTTTTATGAGTATTAAGGCAAAAATTAAAATTTCACCAGTTGTAGTCTTCGGGGTGCTGAGTCGAATGGTCGTGGTCCGAGGAAGCTGAGACACTCCCTTCCTACTTGAATCCCAATCGAACTCACGCACTTCCACCGAAACTGGGTGACTGCACCCTACTAGATGGGGATTTGTATGCAAAATGTCACTAAAAGCGCCATTTCGTTCTTATAAAAGCACGGATGACCGCGATTGGCCCATATGTTGTTGTCTTTTGGACGCTGAGTCGACTGGTTTTGGTCCGAAAAGGCTGCGATGCAGCGTTCCTCCTTTATTCCCAATCGAACATGGTTGAACAAGCAGTCACGTGCTCCTAAGTACGCCAGTCACCTGGTCACCGTGCCTGCAGGGTACAACTTACTAGCCTGTTTGACCTTTTTTGGGTGCAGTCCTGTCACTCGAGTTGAACCTTGGTGTGAAAGTTGTCGCCTGCTGGCGTGGTGACCAGGTGATTTGGGCAACCAGGAGCACGTGACCGCTTGTTCAACCATGTTCGATTGGGAATAAAGGAGGAACGCTGCATCGCAGCTTTTTCGGACCAAAGCCAGTCGACTCAGCGTCCAAAAGACTACAACATATGGGCCAATCGCGGTCATCCGTGCTTTTATAAGAACGAAATGGCGCTTTTAGTGACATTTCGCATACAAATCCCCATCTAGTAGGGCGCAGTCACCCAGTTTCGGTGGAAGTGCGTGAGCTCGATTGGGATTCAAGTAGGAAGGGAGCGTCTCAGCTTTCTCGGACCAAGACCATTCGACTCAGCACCCCGAAGACTACAACTGGTGAAATTTTAATTTTTGCCTTAACTTCCCCTTTAACATTTTGCCAGGCCACACGCTACGCACGCGGCTTAGTCACGAGGTGGTCAGATGACACGCACTCGCAGCACTCCACCACCAGCATGCATGTGCATGGGCTAACTAGGCGTTGCTGTGCAAAGCCCACATTTAATGTATTGGTGACATGTCAGGGTGTTGGCCGCATTCGCTTTCCAAACGTGAGGTCGAGGTTTTAGTTCTCTGTTGGCGTGGAGAGTATTTCACCATCAGGAGACACATCTCAGAGTTAGGTACTTGAACAGTTGCAGTAACACCCGCCCTCATAGACAGAGCTGGCTAGTCCAGAACATGGCCACCTGCAACAGCAGCAGCAGCTGCACCACCATCACCACCGCCGCCGCCACCGCGCAGCAGCCGCAAAGCAGCAGCAGCAATGTCATGTCAGCTACGCTTGCACCTACCCTGTATCATGCTGTGCGTACTTGTTGTCCGTGTGACTAGCACAGTTGCCGCAGCGGTGGAGCGTAACTGCTCGTTGACTTGAGGTAGAAACTCCTCGGACATATCGCCGTCTTCCATGGAGTTACTGTATGTGAATGGAGCATTGGAATGATTTTAAAAAGGCCAAATGCAATATATACGGATTCCTACTACATGTATGCCGAGAAGAGGTCCAATTGGATTGTCATGTAGCCATTTTAAAAGTAGTTGAACAACTACTGTAAATTCCTAATTTTAGCAACACGGATACCTAGCAAATTAAGTTCACTGAAGTTAGGACTCGTGGATCACTTCTCCGAGACCGTTGAATGTAGCTACATGTACAACGGAATTCTTCAATCACTGAAACAAATCGTCACTATAATGTCAATAACACACTAAATATAACCATCGCTAAAATTTGAGGAATTACAATGTTGGCTAACGCGTTAGTTTGAGTAGGCCCGAATCATCAAATTGGACATCCCAGCCAGTCACAGTGAACCAAGCACACTGAATTTGTTCAGTGAAAGACCGCCCCACCCATGCAGTATTTCACACAGCCTAGCCGTGTCCTGGATTCTCACGGTGACTGTGTATAAGTCATAAATCAGATTATAATTATGAATCTGGAGGCATGTTCTCACCTTACCCCGCCTTCCATGTTCTGATCATCAGAGATGCTGTTGTCCCTGCCTAGCTGAGCCGGTTCTGCAGTCTTCTCCGCCACACCATCGTACTCAGATTGAGACAGAGCGCTGGGAAGCGGAGTGTCACAGGTTGATGGCAGTGGGACTGCTCGCCTCTGGCATATACTAGCCAAGTTTGGCAGCTGATAGAACTCACTGTCACTTTCACCATGCGTTTCTCCATCGCCACTGAACACCGTTGCATCACTATCTTCAGCCGAACACATAGCATTGTCCACAGAAGCGATTTTCACATTCGCACAATCCTCATTTTCCATCGAACATCCAGGTTCCGGGGCTCGACTGTTTGTCGAAAGTATTGGGCTGAATGCTAAGGTCAGCGATTCAGGAGTATTTTCTTCATTGCCATGCTGCAGCGTGGAGTTCAGGACGATCGCCATGTTTCCTGGCTCATCCGGGACGAGCTCGGATCCCGCGGACATTGCGGCTAGACGTGTCACGTTCACGGTTACCAATTGAGTTCCCTGTCAAGACCGTTGGAACCGTTGAGACTGGACAGGGCCAGGTAGGGCAGGGATGGAGAATGCAGCAGCACAGGCCGAAGCATGCAACCGAACTACTTGGAAGTAGCTGAACCACTGCGAGTTCCAGACCACTAAACTGAGTCTGCCATTCCGCGTCCTTCGACAATAACCAGTTCCCCAGTAAGTAAGTCCAACCCATGCAGCATGATTCGCTCCGACTTTGCCTACACAGTACACCTGGTACACGGATATAAAAATAATAGCTCTACTGATCTCAGATCAAACTAATTACTTAGTTTCTCCGAGATCAAGACAAGAGCAAGCTCACGGTGCAGCGGCATGGCACGCAGTACGCGACTATTTGAATGACCTTTGACCTGAGCCTGATCATTTTGCTAGCACAACACTCAACAGACCCAAGTATACCCTAAAATCAAAATAATAAGGGTGCGTTCTTAAATTCTCCAGCTTCTAGGAGAAGAAGAAAAGAGAAGTCGAAGAAACTGGGATTCTTATTCGGAGATATTTTGCAGATGTCAAGCAAAATGGAGCGCCAAAGGGGCCGTGATCTTGAGTGCCACGAAAATAGTATGCGCTGTGCGTATGCGAAAAGGGAAATGCGGACACTCATGATCAACACGTGGCTTTTAGCCTAGTTCGCATGCGCTGATCCCAAACCGCGGGAATCTCTGAGTTTCAACCACCTCCGAAGCTTGGAGAGCTTGGAGAGCTTTGGAGAGCCTCCTAAAATTCGGAGAGGATAATTATAAGAACAGCTCTCGAACTTTTCGGAGAGTCTCCAACTTTTCCGAGAGGATTTAAGAACGCACCCTAATTCTCACCAGTTGTAGTCTTCGGGGTGCTGAGTCGAATGGTCTTGGTCCGAGGATGCTGAGACGCCCCCTTCCTCCTTTATTTTCAATTGAACTCGTGCACTTTCACCGAAACTTGGTGACTGCGCCCTACTAGATAGGGATTTGTATGGAAAAAGTCACTAAAAACGCCGTTTCGTTCTTAAAAGCGCGGATTCACGGCCGCGATTGGTCCATATGTTGTAGTCTTGTGGCCGCTGAGTTGACTGGTCTTGGTCCGAAAAGGCTGTGATGCAGCGTTCGGCCCTTATTCTCAATCGAACACGGTTGAGTAAGCGGTCACGTGCTCATTTACAGCGTGTTTGGGCCCGTTTATGTCACTCGAGTTGAACCTTTGAACCAGGGAGTTGCAAAAGCCTTTTACGACTCCCTGCTTTGAACCTTTGAGTTGAACCTTGATGTGAAAATTGTAGCCTGCAGGCACGGTGACCAGGCGACTGGTGTACGCATGAGCACGCGACCGCTTACTCAACCGTGTTCGATTGAGAATAAGGGCCGAACGCTGCATCGCAGCCTTTTCGGACCAAAACCAGTCGACTCAGCGGCCAAAAGACTACAACATATGGACCAATCGCGGTCATCCGCGCTTTTATAAGAACGAAACGGCGTTTTAGTGACTTTTTCCATACAAATCCCTATCTAGTAGGGCGCAGTCACCCAGTTTCGGTGGAAGTGCGCGAGTTCGATTGGGAATAAAGGAGGAAGGGAGCGTCTCAGCATCCTCGGACCAAGACCATTCGACTCAGCACCCCGAAGACTACAACTGGCGAAAATTTGATTTTAGGGTATACTTCCATGATTGTACTATCTGAAAGAAATTCCATGTGTTCGGGAAAGAGTAGATATACAAAGAACACAGACGAAGAAAACTACGAAAAGAAGCTGGCATAGCATTTGCGCATGTCAAGGGGTTGGTATGCCATCAGTGTCATGTAGTGAGTGTATCGGCGGAAGTGCTAGCAGAGGGAATGTTTGAATTCAGTGTGCTGTTTTTTTTGTTGGTTTTTGGTTTTTTACAAAACTTACACAACTCACCAGCAGGCACATGGGGCTAGCATGGGGTGAGATGGTGCTGGTGGGGCTTGCCATGCTCAACTGACCAGAGGTCTCGGCATCTTCACATGGCAGGCGCACCAAATTCGGGAGGGAAGCATAAGCATGAGGGAAAAAAAGCAGGGGAGAAAATGGAAGATTTGGAACGAAGGAGAGGATCTAATTTTGGAACACAGCAGAGCAGAAAATAGCAAATAATCAAACAGATGATAGGAGTGAAAGGAGAGTAATGAAGGGTGAAGTAGGGTAGCAGTGGAGATTGGCTACTCAGGATTGGCGACAATTAGGCTTGGGGATGGAGAAGCAGGAGTACAATCCCGGAGGAGGCTAAAGGCGGTCGGTTGCCCAGTCCCAGTCAGACTGCCATGTAGTGAGTGTATCGGCGGAAGTGCTGGCAGAGGGAATGTTTGAATTCGGTGAGACAGGTGTTAGACGTGAGAGAGTACTCTTGCTTCGAATCCCTTGGCTTTGGGACAACCCTGTCGCTCTGCGTGACACTACAGACAGTCTTCACTGTGACACAGCCAGTCTCACTGGTAGATCTCCTACAATCAGGCAGAGTTGAGTGTTTTCAGTCCTGGATTGGGTTGTAATTAGTAGGGAGTCACGAGTACAATATTGTACTATTCCCTGGTAATTACTATGGGGTGTGGGGAGAGGGGGGAGGGGGAGGGTCATGTGCAGCGAGGGAGCATGTGCTTATGAAGTTATGGATATGGGCCTTCGCTTCGCAGCCCAATCATTGAGTATAATAAGGAAGCTGCGCTGTAGAAGAAAGTCAAAACTCATGATCATGACCAAGAGTACATAACCCCCAAGAGTGTGCAACTCCAGCTATGGGGTCTGCGACGGCAGAACTTCACATCACTGTGATTTTGACGAGCCCGTACACATTATTTGCACCCTGTGCACGATAGATACAGGATCACCCCTGCTTTGGGTTCAACTCTCTCTCTCTCTCTCTCTCTCTCTCTCTCTCTCTCTCTCTCTCTCTCTCTCTCTCTCTCTCTCTCTCTCTCTCTCTCAACTCTCTTGTGGCTACTTTGCACTGTTTGCCAGCGTAATCTTTTGCCGTTTTGAACCACGTCACGTGATGTGAAGTCACTTTTGCCGTCGCAGCACTGTCTAAAGGTTGTACCGCACTCTTGGGGATTTGAACTCCATTTCTTTTGCAACATCTGAAACCATGGTAACTGTCAGCTGGGTGCTTTGCCGTGTCACATGATCTGTACCGGTACATGACAGTGGTATACAGTCATGTAACGTTATGTACATGTACAGTGATCACAGAGCAATGAAGCAAACAATTTTTTCCGCCGTTACCCGGAGTTTCGTGTGAAACACTCATCAGACAGCATAATATAATGCTGTTTGCTTCATTGCAGTGTGTGATCATTGTATTACTGGCTCTGTCCACTGAACATAGAGCAGTATACGCAGCATGAGGACCTTAGCCCTTAGCGGTGCATCAGTCATTAACGACTGATATTGTGTACGTACCGTAAAACTGTCGTAACTCCATCGATTTTTGTCCTGTTGCAAATATCGAAATATGTAGATCAAAGAGGAAGCTCCAAGCTTTCCAATGGTGTAATCGCTTTTGCGATAGGAGAAAAGATGATAAAGATATGGCGCTCGAAAGTTTGATCGCGGCACTAAATTGTTCAAACGTCTCAAAATCATTTTTTTGCCTCGTGCTTCGGGGATTTCCCGTGGATCACGTGGTGTGCAGCCAGCTGATGACGTGTGGGTGTAATGACGTCGAAACTACTGATTGAGATGCAAAAAAATCCAGAGCTGTGCAAGAAACGATAGCGAAATGGCATTGGGATGAAATTTAGAAGTATTTCTTTCAACACGAGGCCCGACCTATGGCGATTCCCTGCGCTCTGGAGCAGGCTTTGTGGCACCCACGGAGTTGAGCGTGGCCTCATTCTCTTGGCAGCGGAAAGAGCGTTTCAAAGAGCCCTAGACTGTCAAAATCAAGCAAACAGAACGTAAGTTATGATGGAAATGGTGGAGTGAACTGCAATTGCGCATTTTCACGCGTTCAGTGGCACCTCAAAGGGTTAGACAACTGTGTATGTACATGTACATGTAGATCCATGAAATGCATGCTGTTGTCCATGTACAGGCTCGGTGCCAAGCAAGAACACTGAGCAGCTGCTCCTGGCCGACCTTGTCGGTGAGGACTTCCCATACAAGCGGAGTACACAGCCGAGTCATTGACTCACACTGCCACCGTCCGGCATGTTGGCAGATGAGTCACAAAATGTGAGTATATGCATTGTATGGGCCAAGCCCAGCAAAAGTGTAGGTAGCTTGGGCATAATTTGAAGGAAAATTGGGAAAAATTAAGAAGAGAAAAAAATTCAAGGTGTTTAATAATAAACCTACACACATCCTTCCTACATGTACATGGAGGACGAATCAGTCACGGTGCATCCCTCTATGGGTGTCCTTCAGGCCTGTACTTCATGGTGTGAAGCCTCTCCTGCTATTTTTATACTTTTTTTTACATGGAAAATGTGGGCGGCACAAGTTATGCCGCATCAAGTCCACCAACTAAACCAGAATTTGAACAGGCGTGCACAGTCTAGCACAAAACTGGCAAGGAGTACTGAGACATTCCACGGCAAGAAAGTGAGCTTGAGCACTGCACGATACCGGCCACTAACCAACGGCCTTCCAACTACTTGGAAGGTTCATGCCTTCATAGATATTAGTGCTAATTCCAAAGAGGAGAAGGTAAGCGCCATCGGGCCGAGCACAAGCTACTGTAAAGCGACAAACTTTCGCGGCGCGCAAATTTAGCGTTTTCATAAACTTTTGCGATTCTATCTCTTCAGCCGGATCTTGTACTGTCTACCATCAATGCACGGGGACTCGGGGAGGTTTGCTGTGATTTATATTTGCGAATGTGTGATGGTCGCGAAAATAGCGAAATTTAATCTCTAACGTTAGTGAAGGTTTCTCACTTTACAGTACATTCCAAGGAATGCTGACCTGGTACGATAACGGACAGCAAGACCAGACAGATTGTGCACGTCTGACTATTCAAAATCTGGGTTAGTTGGTGGACTCCGCATAACTTGTGCCCACATTGTGCCATGTTACAATTTTTTCCTTGGCTCACTATCTGAGTTCTTATTTGTTTAATTTAATGGTTATCTCGGATGGTGATGGTTAATGGTTATCTATAAATGTTCCCGGCCACAAACAAATGCAACGAGTCATAGGCCTTATGCACGTTGTACAGATGCCATGAATTGTGAGGCTAAATGGGTCAAACGCGCATGTATAGCACACAATGAACACCCAACCGGGTATGTACACACCTACGGCCCTAGTACAGAACTTCGTACATATGTACAGCGTGCATAAGGACTATTGGCACTGAGTTCATTGAGAACTGATAGTGACAGGTTTCGCAATGCTAAAAGTGGCTCGCATGCTTTTGGATTGTGCGTGACGTAAGCTACATGTATAAAAGGAGATGGGCGAAACCTGTTTCAAAAATTCCAGAAAAGGCAGTATATTTCTTTAAAAATTTGAACGGGCCGGCCGCAGCCTGAGATCTTTAGGCATTAGCCCCAATTTTGTCAGCAACTTGTATCAGAATACAAAGTATACTCTACCTTTTCAGGACTTGCGGCTCCAGATTAGCTATTAGATGAATGGCCTTTTACAGCACATGTCACACACAATCCAAAAAAATTCATACACAAAAAATGAAAAAAACGCATGCACACACACGCACTTCCATTTGTGGCGTAGCATGGGTTCCCCCAAAGCCCTTGGGACCCCTGGCCTAGTGTTCTTGTGGCATACTTCTGAAAATAGTACTTCAAATAACGTAAGCAATCATGAGCATTGTCCATGTAAGCTACCGATTACATGGACCTTGTATGACACTGGATGTGTGGATGATTCTTGGCCAATTAAAAATTAAAACTTAGTACGAGGTCGTACAATGTAGTGCTGCTGCATGCACACATACTTGTAACTTTTAACACATCAGAGGGGCAAGGATAGGAGAAGTGTCCCGCGGGGGTCGTGCGCCAGCCCTGTAAAAACAGCCTTGGTGTGACCGCACCCAAAGCAAATGGTTGGCTTATACGGCATATACTGTGCGAACGTGACTATTACATATGTGGAGCGCGTGTACGTGTGGGGTGTGTATGACCTGCGGCCCCGGCATAGCTTGCATGTGGCGTGCCAGTTTTGGGATGTTGGTAGAAAATATGTGTGCGGGGCCGGGGAGAAGCGGCCCTGTGACAAGGGTTGCACAACGCAAACCAACAATTCCCCAGCCTTCATAGATGCACCCCTTTCAGCACGGATGACTGGAGGGTAAGTACCATATCAGTCCCTCATCTCTGGCGTTGCTTGCATATGCGACGCGATTGAGTTGAATAAAAAAAAAATAAATAAATAAAGGGGACAAATCGAACCAAATCATCCCATAAGGGAAGTCCATATACATGTATGGAAAACTTGAACACTCTTATTTGGGCAATCAAATTGGTGCTCAGAACGCTAATCAAGTTTCAAAGTCCATCTACAAAGCTAGCCGAAATTCTTACAGGATTTTACTACTGTAAAGTGAGAAACTTTCGCTAGAGATTAAATTTCGCTATTTTCGCGACCAGCACACATTCGCGAATATAAATCGCCGCTAATCTCTCCGTACATTGATTGTAGACAGTACAAGATCCAACTGCAGAGATAGAATCGCAAAAGCTTCTCATCGTGAACCAGCCCAATTTATAAAAACGCTAAATTTGCGCGCCGCGAAAGTTTGTCGCTTTACACGGGTAAATCTCCTTTAACAGCACATGTCACACGCACAATCCAAAAAACAGAATTGATACACACACACACACATGCACATTTCCAATTGTGGTGTAATTCCCATGGGGCCTCTTTGCATTTCGATAGCAAACTTGTGAAAAATAGTACAGTTTAGCTACATGTACATGTAGATGAAATCTCCTGGGCCACTTCCCATTGCATTACATGACCGGATTTGTACATGTGTACAATGTCATGTATATCCACCAGCATTCGCACCACTTCCTGGCCATCAAGGGCTGTGTGTGGGCCAGTCCAGGGCGCCAAATATGCACTTTGGGTCAGATTTTACCCAGCACACCTAGTACCTGTACATTTTGTAGCCTTTAAAAACCACCAAGACATCCTGTTGTGTCCATTCATTATTTGTTTGCTCTGATGAGTCACTTTTAGAATGATGAAGCTGGGCATTTTTCAATGAACTATTTATACTAATGGCTCATGCGCTTATGCTTGCATCAGGGACATGCAGTTTCTAAATGATTAGAAATACACGATGTGGATGTGAGAGAACTGAGAGAGGACATCATTTACTTGGCTGCTATAAACATCGGACCGGGAAACTTTTCTGAATGCCATCCTTTTTCCTTTGCCACCCGGAATTAATTCATTGCTTCCGGTCACCCAACCAACTCTTTCCATGCGACCGCAGAAATGTTTTACTGTCTGGTAAGTACAACAGAAAGTATAATCATGGCTCTATACCCTGGATGCTCGATGGCAGGGGCATGGGCGCAACTACAATATTTATAGCTCCCCGCACTCCTTAGTCTGCGTGACCGAGATCTGTCCCCGGCCGGGCCGGCGGGACCCTGATAGTGCTGGGTGGTGTGTAAAACAAATGTACTGTTGCACTGTGAAAAGCCTGGCATTAACATTGAATATGTCTGGCAACACTTGGGGAAAACCGGAACCTGAACGACCGATCCTAGATGCAGCTACTGAGTGGAGTGACCCGAAGTAAGTCGCCTTATAATAAGTTTTAGCAATGTTGTAACTACATGTTCATGATTTTTTTCGAGTGATCATTTAGAAAAGCCTGTCAGCAAAAGCCTGTCAGCTTTTCTAGTCAGCTTTTCTATTATTGTGGTCACAATGTAAGAGCCAACGACACCGCTATTGACACGTTGTCTACGTAACTTTCTACAGTAGAGTCACGCGCCCAAGAACGTTGTTTCCAAGGGGCTAGCCTGGGACGTTCCTATTTTTTCAGCAATCTGGCTGCATTCTTATAACACGTTCTTAGAAACAATCCGTACTGAGCCCTATGTATCCCACAAGCTCGCAGAAAACCAACACCGACGTTCTTAACTTTAGGCTGGGGCGTTCTTAGTTATTCAGGCTGGGTGTTCTTGGGCTCCACGTTCTTCAGCGCGCGAATCTATTGTATGTAAGGTGCTCGGTACCTGGACCAGGGAGTACTATTTTACTACTCCATTTAAAAAAAATACTACATGTACATGATCATAGCAACTTTGGAGTAGTACTAGGCTTGTATAGTGATGTACTACATGTACTCAGTCTCACTGCTAGCACTACAGTAGATCTGGTGCTGAAGAATGGAGGAGGGGCTCAAGGCGAATATAATATTCTGATTTTTAGTGGCTTTGTTCCGAAGTTATTCCGCGATTGTGGAGAGCATCATGCCATGCGATCACACCACGTATAAAGCAGTACATGTGTTCTTAGACCTGCAAACCTAGCCTGGATTGTTCTTCAATTTGTGCCATTTTCAAGCCTAAGTGTTCTTCGGCAAAGGGTTCTACGGCGCCCGATCATACTGTAGTAGTAAAGTCGTAGTACAGCCTGACCTCACTTACATATTATGTTAGCCGCACACATCCGTTTTCCACAGAAATATCAGGATAGGCGAGGGAACAGGATAATCGAACACACATACTGTATGTATGCATGCCATACGCTGTAAATCGGTAACCAACGATCTCTTCCGGATGGTGAGGGATCCGGATAAAAGAGGACCGGCTAAGGCTAGTAAGCGAGGTCTGACTGTAGCAGCATTGCCACACTGATAATTATCTCCACGTTGCTCAGTGGCCATGGACACTGATATGATCGGCGCAATTCTTTCATTGCTTACTACTACGAAGAGTACATAGCATATACATAGGTTATGTACTCTTGCCACTAGAAAGTACTGTAAAAGCAGAAATTTTTGGTGGTGTAATATTTTCGGTATTCTCCAAAATCGGCGGTTCGGTAGAGGGAAATTTTCGGTAAAACCCGTTCTCCAGGGAAGTGTACTAGTACTACATGTATACAGAATTGGTTGTACCAAAATTTTCGGTGCGTTTTATTTTCGGTAAAAATTGTCGGCACCGAAGTTACCGAAAATAAAACACCACCGAGAATTTCTGCTTTTACAGTAGTATTCTCAGTATGTAAAAACAATTCTTATCTCTTCAACTTCAAGACTGAGTATAGACCACACTCAGCCGCATACATGACCTATGAATACTGGCTTACTAGTACAATATACTAATAGTAGTATCTTGCCCATGATGATAATAATCATTATGCTGTCGTTGCAGAAACAAATTCAAGACTGCTGAGTGAGTACAGGGAGTACGACTCACGAGTGTGCTCAGCCTGAGCTACTTGCGTGACATCTCATCCGTTGATTCACCTGCGCTCACGATGGATGAATTCACTAAACAATCTCCAAAATAATGGCTGTCCTAATCATTTTGGACCGCGTGTCGGTGCACGCCGAGGGTACTTGCTGACAGTTATTTTTGAAACAAAAATTACAAAGGCTTTCGTCAGCATGTTACTTGTCTGTTGGCCAGAATACTGTTGCATTTTTGACTCATCACACCGCGGAAGTACCATAGACGCGTACACCTTGTACATGTACAACCTCAACCGTTTATTGCCTTGTGACACAAATTTTCTTATGATTTGTTGTTCCACGCCATCACCGTCACTGTTTAGTTCTTTCCACTTCTAAATGCTTAGGAGAGGGCTCGCAGGAGGAAGGAGAGTCATCCTTTCCTGTCAAGTGCCTGATCTAAGCTCCCGACGAAGCTGTATGGAGGGGAACAAGTGATTGTCGACTTCTCGCACTTCTAGGAGATTCCCGAACGAGTCCTGACTGGTTGCTTCAGACGAAACGAGTTGAGACAAGTCCCAATTTAGATATTTTTATTGCAAGATGTACGAACAGTTCTCTGCTCCTGGACTTGAAGCTTTCTTTTGTGCTGACTGTGAGGATCATTACAGTTGGCCGAAAACAAGGCCTTTGTCACCAGCATCGTCATTTTCGCTGTCAAGTGCTGTCGACTTGCCTTGACACTTCTGTTTGGCGCCAAATTTGAAACAACAACGTGCGCATGCGTCGAGTGCGGAATGGGAAGGAAGATCGAAGACAGCAAAGATCTATGTGGAAGCCCAGGAAAAGAATGGACGATGGACTGTTATGATCAGCTGAGAATTTGTCTCTTCAGCGATGCGGAGAGGGAGTCACCCAGCCCCTCTCCGCCTACAACGCCGGAGCATCTTGGTCAAGCTACAAAGCGTAGACGTCGTTACTACCCCAGCGAGACTATTATGCCATGTACTCCTGCTCCACCAAGGTCAGCTTTGAGAACAACTTTTATTCGAACTCCAGCCAATGCCATCAGTGAAAGTGCTGGAAGATACCATCAGGAATTCGAGGAAATGGACCATATTGGATCTGGAGCATTTGGAAGTGTGTATAAGTGTAGGAATCGCGTGGACAACGGGACGTATGCTGTGAAAAAGTCCAAATGTCCAATTCAAGATATTTCTGAAGACGTCGCTGCTCTTAGGGAGGCTCGGACTCACCACCAATTATCGGCTCATCCTCATGTAGTCAGGTGAGTAATGTTGACATATCTCTAGCAGCAGGAGGAGAATATTTCATACCATTGAGGTGAAATTCTTTGTCGTGGAGTATTTGTGTTTGAAAATGGCAGGTTCTGTACTTGTCATGTCTTCTTGTACATGTGTGGGCATTGTAGTGAGCAGTGTTTTGAGTGAATCTTGACGTTTGTTTTAAGTTTAACCATGTCGTACTAATATTGCATGGAGTCAGAGGGTATGCAGCTGTCGTGCGTAGTTTGTGAATGGTTTCTTGCTTTGTCCTCTGTGCAAAATATCTGGAAGCGCTGCAAGTTTCCTTGCGAAAGTATTGAATTTCTGGAAGGCTTCCTGCTCATAGCTTGATACTTTGAGAGCACTATGATGAAGTATTCATCAGGACCCATGGGTATCTAGGTGTTAGCCCTCTGGACCAGGGTTTTCACTTTAACGATGGGTGAAGGGAATAATTCAATAGGTCGCCTTTGATTATGTCAACTCGTCCTCTGTGACAGCAATAACTAGTTATTAGTGTTTAAACCGAACACGGATTCTTCGAACGAATAATCTATCGAATAATTTCGCCCTCCATCGAACGAATAATCTATATTCTATCATACGCATGATGGCATTTTTCAACACTTTTTCAGCACTTTTAAGTAGTTTTTTTTTGATTTTTTTGCTGATTATCGGATTTTGTTATGTGGAGGTGCAAAACCGGTTAACCTGTGCCGCCAAGATCTTAAGAGTACATAACCCCCCAGAGTATGCAACGCCTGATACAGCTTTGCATAGGGTCTTGGTCGAAAGTGGTCAAAGACCGAAAATCACATTCACTGCATCCATGTTTCCCTCGTATGGAAAGAACAGAAGTATTACTAGATACTAGGATTACTAGATACCGATAGGAGATTAAAACTTGGAGGAGAAGAGATTGAGAAGAAATACTACGAGCAGATCTACGCAGTGCAAATATCAGTAGGGTCAGCACTGAGCATAGATGTTTTTTTTTTTTTTTTTTTTTTTTTTTTTTTTTTTTTTTCGATTTCTGATAATTCCTACGACTATTCGATTATTCGTTCACCCCACGAATATTCTAAATTATTCGATTATTCGATTATTCGTTCCAACACTACTAGTTATGTTGGGATCTGTTTCTTTGGCACAAAAGTTTGGGTGCTTGTGTTTTGTACTTGTTTGTCATGGGGTTTTGCGACAGTATGTTTCTACCATTAGACACCCTTAGCAAACAACGGTAGCGCTATTTTTTTTTACGGTACTCTTACCTTGATCACCCAAATAGCGTTAAAGCTGCAGCGTAAAAACGTTATGGGGGCTGATTTATCATTGTGACAAACGGTACGTTTTTGGCCAAATATTGCGTATTGCGTACCGATTTCATCTTGCGCGTATTTGGCGCCATGAATGGTTGTACCGCGCGCGCGCGCGCGCGAAATAAAAGCTATTCTCATGTACTAAAATCAGCGTGCATCTTGCTGAAGGTCGAACCCAAATCTCGGTATTTTTCCCCTTACGGTAATTACCGTTACAACATAACGTTTTTGCTAAGGGTGTCTATTGTCATAAATGTTCATGGTCTTTTCCACCAAAATTGTTAACAGAATTCGTTCATTTGGTAAACCAACCGGGAAGTAAGTGCATCTTGATTCTGAATCTGCAACGAAATCAAGAGAGCCCCATTGGGATTTCCGGAGAAATAGCGACCTTTTGAAACTTTAGACCCTTGGAACAGTATAATAATTATACTGTTCCAAGGACTTTTATGACCTCGGTGGCTCCCCTTCTTCCCATTTATTTCACGGAATGATCGAAGAAATGAGCTGTTGGTGCTATTGTGCGGTGGTTTGTTGCAGGTACTACAGCTCGTGGTTGGAGAACTTCCATCTGTTTATCCAGTTTGAGTACTGCAATAGTGGCAGTCTCCAGGATGCTATTTTAGCGGATGTGAAGTTCCAAGAACCTGAAGTCAAGCAACTCATGTTGCAGGTTAGTTCCATGTGATGTCAACATTTATCCAAATTTGTGCGTTAAGTATACCGTAATGTTACACACAGCGGAAATTCTTACAACTGTGGTATAGATGCCTGCTTTATACCCAACCTAAGTATTACGTGGGCCTATATTATCGTTATTGGAATCTTGCTTGCAATGGAACGTATGCATCAATTTCCCGCCATTACGTTTTGCGGGGCATGTCCACTACAACCGTACACACCTTGATACCAACTCTGCATAAAAGGTCATGAACTTTGTGAGGCCTTACTCATACATGTACTATAACGGGTTGTACCTGCCAAGTATGGGTAACTTGCCCCGCAAAAAGGTGACGGTTATCTTAGATGCACACCTCCCATTGAACTCTCTACAATTCATTGGTGTCATCTTCACACTACTGTACAGGCAGAAAATTTGGCCGGTCATTTCGTCCAACTCCTAAGAAAGAGAGTTCGTCCGGTTGTAAATTTCGTCCATGGATCATAAGAGTGTATTGAAAAGCTGGACAAATCGACATTTAAAACTCGGATGTTGAGCCAATAATAAATTTAGAAAGGAAGAGGACGTATGGATACGAGTTAAGAGTAACTCTCCATCACTGTAACCAGATACCATATACAGTCAGAAAGTGCAACAACTAGGCACAAAGCTGACAAAGTACTGAGCCATTTGACGTATAGTATCTGGTTACAGTGATGGAGAGTTACTCTTAACTCGTATCCATATGTCCTCTTCCTTTCTAAATCGACATTTGTCCGGCATTTAATTTAGTCCAAAATTTAGTCCAAAGGCTCCTTGGACGGAAAAGATGAAATTCCGGGCGAATATTTCTGCTTATACAGTGTTTAAGTTAGGTAGATGAGCGACTCTTATCTGTAGGTGGTACATTTGCACGCTGCACACCTATGTTGTCCTTACCGCAACTAGTTCCAGACTGTGAATTGCTGTAGGGCTGTGTATGACCCCAGTGCACTGGTGTTCTTTCACCATGTGACCGTATTTCCACTTGGACATACCGCTAAGATTTTCTTTCACTCTCTGTAAATCAGGACCGGATGGGGGGGGGGGGGGGATGAATCTGGTGAGACACAGTGTCCTGGCGGTACCCTTTGGTTCTTACCACTTCGTGCCTGTTTGCTTCTGTATTTTGCAGATCTCGCGTGGCTTGGCCCACATTCATGCGCACAACCTTGCTCATCTTGATATTAAGCCGGGCAACATCTTCCTGTGTCGCAGACCGAATGGACCTTTGGCGTCACCTGCGTCTAAAGGAGAGTCGAGTCATTTTAAGTTTCCCATATCACCTCCATATCCATCTTCTCCCTCACCCGTAACTATCGTATCGCCCGGATGTTCCTGCTGTTCTAGCTCATCCGAAGAATCCCTCCCCGCCAATTGTATCTGTATCGAAAAATGTGTCTACAAGATCGGTGACCTAGGTCATGCAATGCGAACAGATCTCTCATCGGTGAGTGATAGTGTGTGTCCAGTTTTCTCCAACTTTTTCTTGCTTCTGTAGCTTTTTGCCGTGCTTCTAGTGCAAGTTCAGTAAAACCCCTGCCACAGACTTGCTGTGCATACCTTGTACGGTATGACTCCCCACCCCCTCTGTGCCACACACATCAAGGTGCAGTAGGGTAGAATTGCATTTTTGTTTCATTGCAAGTGTGCAGATGGAAAATGGTTCTGCAAGCACGATCCTGAGATAAGTGGTGCCTTTTGCTCCTTTGATCTGCTAGATGTGAGAAATTGACCACTCGTTCTGGTGTGCTGTTGCTCAGTCAACTTTCTTGCACGGCCTCAACATCAAACTTAAGAACACTGTGGTGTTGCTGCTGCTATACACCCTCCCACACTTGGACACCATTGTGCCCCAGCGATATCTGTCAAGCATAGTGCTTTACCAGGGATGAATTTCCTGTCAGGTTTTTGCATAGCAGTTTTTGCTATGCAAAATCTCAATTGTGGTGTAAGCTACAAAAAGGCATGGATATCCTATATGTGTATGTATGGCAGTTTTCTGCGTGCCACTGTGATTTTGAGTAGCAGTAGATCGATTTTGCGTAGCAAACTGCGATGCGATACCGGATAAATTCATCCCTGTTTACTATAACCAACAACGCTAAGTTTTACAGTGCCGTTGCCAATGTACACTGCGTGCGACTGTTTTCTATTTTACTTTGATGAAAATAGGAACCAGCTGGTGTTGATGATGAAGGTGACGTTCGCTATCTTGCGAAAGAGGTCCTCCAAGATCAATGCACTGATCTGACGAAGGCGGACGTCTTCTCACTCGGCTTAATGGCGTATGAAGCAGCAGGCGGTGGTCCTTTACCAAAAGAGGGTGATGAGTGGCATGCGTTACGAAACGGTCAATTACTGGTAAGCAATCCATCTGCATCCCTATCTCTGACCGTTTCGAATTCTTCATTTAGTTTATTACCCATGAGTTCTTTTACTGGCCTCATTGCCCTTTCACACATGTCCAGTATTAAACTGATTCTCATTTATTACTGTTCTGTGTGTGTGTTTTCTCTGTCACAGCACCTTTCCCATCTCTCTAAGTCGATGCACCAACTGCTTGTGTCTATGACACAAATTTCATCCATGCTTCGTCCGTCTGCAACAGACCTTTGCCAACATAGCATATTAACGCTGGCGTTATGCCGCTGTCAGTTCTGTGACCGACCGCCAAAGCGGAGACATGTCGGTGGGCGCCGCTCCAATCGTAGCTTCTCCCATTGATCACGGTATCCGTGTTTTGGACTTCTTTTTTATTTTTTTATTTTTTTTTTCAACGTTTGCAATCAAGAGCTGCACCAGGGATGGATTTAGGCTGTGTTTGATAATAATGCTGTGCATTTAGCCCCACCCCTAACTGCCCTCTCCAGGTGGTCATGAAGTCATAAGTATTCTCTACATGTCATTAACTGCTTCCCATCATGCTAGTCATGCATCCATCCAGTATAAAACATCATATGTTATGCCCCAGCTCACGATACTTCACATAGGCATCCTTTCATTTGCAACGTTTCCAAGACACAGCCACCTGAACAAAATTTCCCCATAAGTACTGGTAGGTCTTTCTCACCTTGCTGCGTTTTATTTCGGATTTTCGTTATCCTCACCGTCTTGAATTCGGATGTGTTTTATGTTTGTAGCCTTTGCCCCATTTCTGTACATTGATTAGTAGTTGTTGACGTTGACCCCATTTTTCTACCTGTCACGCGCTCTATGCCCCAATGCTCAGTATTTGTACTCATCCACTAGCATCATTCTGCGCTTGGCAAGTGTCCGCGAGTGGCACGTACCCACATCTGCTTCGGCGCTGTCATTGTCATCGTTGGTCAGATCTGTTCACAGCCCTTTGAGCCTGTAACAGTTGCAAGCAGCGGTATCTTGAATTGAAATGCGATGAGGATGCGCTTGGCTGGCTCTGATTCCAGCCATGCTTAATTTGCCTGATCCGCTGCCATGCTTGCATGATAATATCCCATTTTCTATATTTTTATGATAGCATCTGCAGCCTGCTTGCTTGGTCCACGATTTTATAGTGTTTCTGGAAAAGCCATGTTTTCACGACATTATTTTGGTGCATGTTGAACATTTCTTCGTAGTGTGCTAGTGGTGGATGTGCACTGGCGCATGGCGTGACTATGGTGCGAACCAGGGAGCCCTACATCAAGAGTAGGGGCTCGGCTCTCTGGTGCGAACCGCAGTTTTGAAGGGCAGGCAGGGCCTGTGTTGTGTCCAGAGAGTAGTCCCACTCCCGATTTCCTGGTTGTGGAATTCTGCTGGAGAATGTTGTTTCCCAATCCCAGGGGTCATGTCACGATGTTCTTATTTCTTCCGCAATCTGGATTTAGGGTTTTGACTCTCCTGCGCCGCCCATCCATATGGCCATCCCCTTCAACGAAAAATATGACTTGACAGCTAGAATCAAGAGTACATGGGGGGGGGGGCCCGGGGGGTACTCTTGCTACACTTTCGTAGAATGGATTGATGTTTCAGCAATCAATAATTTTCTAATTCTAATTAAATAATTTACTCCCTTCGAAAAGCTTCCTTGACTTTTTGTAGAGTAGAGAACTGCATCGAAAAGAAGAATCAAATGACTCCATAAAAGGAACCCTATCTTGAACTCTGGACTCTTGCAAGTGTGTAGCTTGGAAGTGGATCTCCATGATTGTCAATGTCGTTGCGGTCACACACACAAACAAACAATGCTGCGGTGTGGATTCAAACGAAAATGCAAGATAGATGTTCTGGACGATGAAAGTCTGTGTCTTGTCACAAGATCGGTCTAAGATGTGATTATTTCCTTATCTGAGGTTGTTCTTGGGTGCCATTGACGAGATAGACCGATCACAAAGGCTTCACGCAGAAAGAAGTACCTCAGTAGCAGTGTAGAGCTATTTAGAAAACAGTAATTCAACCCTCTGACTGTCAACCCTCACGTTTCGAGGATGAGCTCGGTTGGCTCAACAAGCTCCCTCCATGGAATTCACTCCGGGACGGATCCAAGCTCATCGCCACCATGGAGCCTTCTCGCCCGGTTGTCTCCCACCGCCAGGCGGCGGGCAAGTCAACCGCCAAAGAAAATCCATCTGACAGCAGGTTCAAATAGTGTAACGGACATTCGGCTTCCGCAAGTTCCAGGAAATACTGGAATTATTGCCGGAATTGGCCGACGCTATAGTGCAAATTTGGATCGAAAACCTCAAAGTGCGGCTGGCCAGTGGCATCCACCACAGGGAACAACTGACAATACTATTATGCCAGACATGGCCTCTGGTCTGCTCTTCGATTTGCAGTGCTTGGCAAGAAAGCTTGTGATGGAACATAGGAGACATGCTGGCAATATTGTTCTGGGTAGAGGTGACGAGGATGAGTTGAGTGAGATAGGCTCTCCGACAGGAGAAATAAAGCTACCATCACCAGATCCAGTCAAAAGTCAATCTACTTCTGCTATTACAGTGAGTAAGATCAGCAGATCCTTGAGCACCTCTGGAGTACGACCGTCGAAAGTATTGACAGTTACATCAGAGGATAACACAGATAGTGAGCTGGTGGGATCTGATGGAGAAGGTGGCCAGGAAGATCAAGAAGCTGCAGGAGACAGGGTGAGTACTTTTATGACAGCATACTGTGGAATATTTATGCTGGACTGTCAAGTGCCGAAGAACAGCGCCGTAGCCTACTTGTAGGCCATTTTTATTAATTTTTTCGTGCACTGCAGTCTACATATATGTGCAGTCGAGTCTCCGCGCATATGTCGCTCAGTATGCTGTGCTTCGTGAAATTCTAGCCTGTTTGTTCTTCGGCGTTCTGTTCTTCGGCCCCCGACAGTCTCTGCAACGTGAAATTATCAAGACAACCTCTAGCACATGTCCAAAAGCGAATGTAGCGATTGGGTGCCCGAGCAGGCAAAGAAGCTATACTAGTACTTGTATGCTACTGCATCAAAAGCCTGGTAATTTCATTAATTTGAACCTTCGACTCGGCAAACCGGCAAGAAAGCACCATGGTAGCACTTCTTGCTCAATACACCGTGTTTTGGGGAATTAACCAGCTTGAGAAGGCTGAGGAAGCTTGCGGCTCTTATTTTGCCCTGTGTTTATGACGAAAGGCCCTATTATAAACCTGGGTGTCACATCCGTGTGTTAGACTTGGCGAGTGCTCGTGAATGCTCACAAGTGCTGAGCGAGCTTCAGCTTTCTTGTGTAATGCTGGCGATTAGTCTAAGCAAGATGTTAAATTCCCAGACTACAGGCAAAATCTGGTTTCAGTGGCCGCCCATGTGTTGGCTTTACACGTAGTCTGTCCCCCGTGAATTCCGCGGCAGAATATCAGAAATTCCGTGCAGAATTCTGCTCCTGAAAACAGTAAATTCTGCAAGTCCTTCTCTATTCTGCGGCAATTCTGCAAGGAAAATGAGCGTAAAAACAGATCGAATTTCCGCAACCCCACGGAAGTTTGTTGTCCCTATAAATTCTGAACCAAAATTATCCGAAATCCTGGTCGAGAAAATTAAAAGCTCTAAAATATACTGCAAGTTGATTTTGAAAGTCACAAGCAGGTTGGTTTGGCTGTGAAAATAGATTGAAAGTCTCCAGAAAAGCAGCTTTTCTCTCTTTTCTGCAATATTCGGCGGGATTTTCTGAATTCTGCGGACACTACTGGATTCTGCAGAAATTCTGCAATCCGCGGAGTCACAGAATTCACGGGGGACAGTGTAGTGTTAGGGGCCGTCTGTTAATAGACATCCTTAGCAAAAGTACGATAACGCTAACTTTTACGGTACTCTCTCCCAGTCGTGACAAAATACGTTATCGGGTAACGGAAAAACGTTACAGAGCTCAACATAACGGGCCGACGTTCGTTATAGTAATTCTGCAAAAAATGCAAAAACTCGCATTGTTTTGTAACTGGCGGGAGATAAAAAGCACGTGCAGATCGAGATGAGAATCGAGAGATTGCTTCCTCTTGTGACATTTTAGTATTTTTGGCGAGTTTTGCCTTTCGGTTGACAATGTCTGCGTCCTCTTCTTCGTGCCTTTCACCCTCTACCCCATCTGGGAAACAAAGGACCAGTTCCACGGCACTCCTGAGGAAGAAATTCATCGGCCTCTCCCAGACGTGCTGGAGCTGGAGAACCCTTACAGTCTTCGGTGCTGCCTTTGGGAAAGGGTTTCGAAGGACCTGGGAACCGCGAAAATTCATTTTCGCAGTGCGTCTGGTATCCCAGAGTGAAAGACCTCGCCAAGGGATTCTTTGGGAACGACAGCAAACTAATCCCTGGTTCAAAATTTTGAATTTCCCGCACCTGTTTCCACGAATATTCATATCGCCATGGTTGTCACGACTACTTCGTCTGAACTATAACGTACATTGTGCTAAGGGATAAGTCAGCTTGAACGATCCGAAGTACGGAAAGTTTTGCGTTTACGTTAGCATTTTTTTAGCTAAGGATATCTAATATCGAACTTTTTCACCAAATGAATTATTTTAGTTTAGACCCAACCCCTCCCTCCCTCCCCCTCAGAACGTACAAATTGTTGACATATACATGCATAATTATACAACAAAAGTCGCAAGTGTGTCACTGCTCCTATGGCCATGTACATGTATCGAAGTTTTCTGAAACGAAATTGGTCAACCCCCTCCAACCCCATAACGAAATTATTTCGTTTCGTGAAAAAAGTTCGATAATTATGGGCGACCCCTTACTCCAATAATAGTCATCATTAGCTGGCTTTATGTACTGTACTATAATACAGTGAATTACAGTCGACCTACCCTTACGATATTTTTTTGTCAACCCAAATCACTCCATTGACTTTTGTATACGTATAGGATATTGACCAAGAAGAGGTCTATATGGGAAATATAGGCCGAGTAAAAGACCGAGGTCCGCCGAGGTCTTTTACGAGGCCTATATTTCCCATATAGACCGAAGTCGAGGTCAATATCCTATTTATCACGATTCCTTTGCCATAACCCCAAAATTTGAACCTTTAGGAGCTATTTTAACATTTGTAGTATAGTATTTGTACTATAGTGTACATAGGTAGTGTACATAGGTAGTGTACATAGGATGTTGCCTATTTTGGGTACAGGACTGTAAAGCTGTGTTCACAACTGGCGCGTGTACGCGTGAAACCACGCGTACACGCGTATTTTTGCTGGCTTTTGGGGCGCCATGCGTACGGAAACGCGCCGAAATGGAACTTCCAACATGTTGGAATTTTCAGCGCGTATCAGCGTACATGCCAGTCACTTTGACTGGCGGGGTCAACAAATTAGTACTTGAAGGTGTCGCACGCGCTAAATACGGCTCGGATTGCTGTTTTTTGTGAAAGGCTGAGCGCGCGTTTGGGGGCGCATGAACCGCAAGCGTACCGCGTCCACGCGCCAGTTGTGAACACAGCTTTAGAACAACAGAGTTCAGCATCTGCAGCACAGTGGCTGGGTGGTATAAGAGGTTGCTTGAGATTCATACTGTTGTGAGTTCAAATCCTGCTTGTTCTCTTCCTTTGTCTTCTTTCTTTCAATTTTTCTTTTTGAAGTGGAGAGAAAAATTCTAAGTCCCTCCAAAGTCGAAAGATTACAATGCCTGTGGTCGATACAAGCGGTCGATACAAGCGGTCGATATAAGCGGTCGATATTGCGGCGATATAGGTAATATAGGACCAGTCAAGGATCACGAGAATTAGTGGAGGTCGATATAGAAGAGTGATAAAATGCATTATCCTTATATCAATATTGCTATAACAATAGTACGCCTAGGACGATATAAAATGGGCTGACCACTCGGCATTTTCCATTTCATAACAATATTTAGCAGGAAATATGTAGACTCCACTATCCAAGTAGGGCAAGTCTCACTTGATGTCGCTGGGACATGATAAAAATTGCAATTGGAGCACCAGTGATGCCTTGCTATGTACATAATGTGCATAGAACAGACATGTACGCAAGTTTTTATGCTCTGAAGAGTGTAAAAAATGAACAAAAATCATGCGTTATGACGTACATTTATGAAATGAACCAGTACCCTTTTAACAATATTTCTTGGTCTCACGCAATTATCGTTATAAGGGTAGGTGGACTGTATATGAAACTTCTAAGTATCATGCACTGAAGTACATTGAAACTTCAGCATAGTGTACCTGCAAGGGAGATTGGAATTCAACGGTACTGTTATAGCCAAGGTGACTCTATATCCACTGAGGTCAAATGACTGGAAAACTGCAAATGTTGTGTCCTCAGAATTGCACTTTTTATTGATGCCAAGAAAAAAGAATGTCATATCCAGGCCCAGGGTACGTTATAGCTGAATTTTGACTATGCTGCCTCCAGGGGACGGAAAACTGGCACATTCAAAGTTTAATACTAGCTGAAAATGCTCTGCAGTAGACTTCTGACATAACGAACACGATTGTGCGGGAGAATTAGTTCCTTACAGCCAAAGTTCTTTATAGCAGAAATGCACGTACACCATACAAGCAAAACATCATGACTATCATCATATGGCCCATGACGGTATTGGTACACTTGGTTTACACGCGCCTCTTCAAGATGTGGTTCGTTATAAACGAAATCTGTTCGCTACAAAGCATGGGAGTAGTAAAATACCTGGCATTTTACTACTCCCTGCTGCAAAGGGTCATTTTGTATGGGTTCAAACAGGGACATGGACAATAGTTCGCTATATCACGAAAGTTGGTGTAATTATGTGAATTCGTGTAGAGTGGAGTCGACTGTATATCCGAATTCTGACTCAAATAATTATTAGTTCAGAAAGTGGTGGACATCACATAAAGAGTGAATAGCAACTAAATAGAGCGGTTGTCAGTTGACAAACCCCCTTTTATTTACTTCGAAGTAATAATTATTAGTGGGAAAATTTCAAAAAAAACATGCACTTGGTCCCTGAAATGTGCATGATATCCGATGCCGGCAGAGGATTATGTTGCAGTGAAACTTAGTGTACCGCACTTCAAGTATACTCGATATGTAACATACTAAGAGGTACAATGTTCTGTTTTTGAGGACTCTGCAATATGCCATACCAGGCATTTGACGTCGGCTATAAGACATAGATCTCTATGCTCCTCGCAGCACCTCACAATAAGACCATCAGATGGCAGCTCGCAGAGTTCACGACCTTGAGAAGCTCCAGCAAGAGCCAGAAACATAACGAAGCAAAGGGCAAGCTGTTTATTGGTCATGTCACCAAACTGATCTGGACTGTCTGTGACATCCCAGGTGTGAGTGCCAGGGGCATCGGAAGGTATTCAACATAGTCATTGGTGCGGGCATGAAGAGTTGGTGGTCCAGGGCCCTCCCCTGGAAACGTTGAATTGGAAACTGATTGGGCCCAAATAGCCCATATCCTATTACTTCAAAAATCACATTATCACATTTTGAGATTATTGATGAAATTGTTGGTGCGGCTTTGTCCGCACCTGCCGCGCCAGTTCCGACACCCCTGGGTGTAGCGAGGGGCTGATGGATGAGTGTGTCTTTCAGCAGGCGGACAGCACATGGGTGAGTGGCCAATGGTAGAATTAGCTATCGGCAGAAAAGAGCTAGAGAGCAGATTGATATCCCAAGGTAGTATGTAAAGCCCGGCCTTCTGCGAATACCTCAAACAGGAATGCAAATGGAAATCCATCAGGCCTCTATTTGAGTACCCCCGGCCTGGTTAACAGGATGCATTGCACTCACCTACGCGTCACTACCAGAACAAGAGTCTATACTAGTTATCGTTAACCACCAGGGGGCTATGGCTTGGCACAAACGGTATCTTTCTATTAATTATAATTTTAGTTGTGATAGTGTTGACGGAGTGCAACCAACAATGAACTGACGGCATGTACCATGATGCATACCAGGGCCCGAAGAAGATCCAGGAGCATGGCCCATCAGGCGCGTGGCTCTCTTTCTGCTCCAGCTGCACGTACTGCATTGGTCAGGTGAAGACTGAATAGAAGGGCCCACTGTGATGTTAAAAAAGGCCACCAATTTCAGTGCGGTCTTGATGCTCTTTGAAAGCAACCAGATCATCCTGAAACTGATGGCTATCCCGCTGCCATCAGAATTATCCGTAAAGTGATTGAGGCAAGAAGAAAGCAGAGCAATCGCCCGAGAAATAACCTCGTTAAGAGCGCCAGCGATTTCGGGCTCAATCCTTGTCCAAGAGCCGCGGGTTAGAGACGGTAAAGCCGAAATGAGGAAATAAAAAGTGAAACTCCTACTTGCTCGCTTGAGCAACAATTGTTCAGAGAATTATCGATTCTCTCCCCCCGTTAAAGAGCTGCATCTGACACCGGATCATGTGCTGGTGGCGTCCCACTGAAACGGAAAGGTGGTTCTTGACCAGCCCTGTACGCGAGCGCGAGCCCATAATATTTTAAAAGTTATAACGAGAGAGCTTGGAAGCTCAGGGCCCTACGCTATGCTTTTTTTCCTTGATGACCTAGACAAAAAAAAAGCATAGGGATGTTATTGAAAGCCCTATTTGAGTTATATGCATTGTGGCCAGCCGTCTTTGATGGCACGGTACGGTAGGGGATAGGGACGGGACAGGTACGATCGAGGGTAATACGACACCGTCTCCCGTACCGTACCATCAAACACAGCTGACCACATACAGCTTCCCGCAATATTCAAATAGGGCTTTCAAACGCAAGATAATAACGTAACGCAACTTGGAAGAATGGGTATGAATGCGAAGTGTATGGGGGAATGCATGTAGGGCGATAGTGCGGGTTCGAATCCCAGGATATGCCTGAAAAAAGGAGAATTGAAAAATTTATAACATCCTATGCTTTTTTGCCGTCAGATACGGATAGCGCCAGGCGTGACACAAACAAACACACAAACAAACACCAAATTAAAGCTGTGTGGACCCTGGCTAGCGCCAGACGTTACTGAAGTAACGTCTTCTGCATAGCTACGGGAATAATTATTATTTATAAGTCCGTCAAAATCCGTGCTGAGTACACTATACATCATTACAGTCATGTACAAGTCTCCTATACTGTAAATATACAAATTTTCGGCAGCTATTTAATTTCGGCTATATTCGGCATCGACCCAAAACGCCTAAATTAAAAAGCCGATGAAATTTTTCACAGCATCTCTCGCACTATACCATGCCCTCTACCCCACGCCGAAAATAAATGATCGCCGCCGAAATGTCAAAAATCGTGAAGTGCCGAAATTTTGTATTATTTACAGTACACTCAAACGCCTCTTATCCGGACGCCTCAGATACGGGCACGTCTCTCTACCGGGCACCTTTAGCTTGAGTTCCTATAGCACAAATACTTCGAATTTGGGGGTTTTGAACTTTTTCCGTATTCGGAAGTGCTTATTTTTCACTGCCAACCTATGTAATCCACACATTTTTACCAATGGGTTCCTTTTGTATCCTGAACATGTGCAATACGTTCCAAATAAACTTCTTCAAAAAGTGATATGATACATGGTAGATGAGTTATTCTGAGATACGGGCAGTACCCGGTCCCAAGGTGCCCGGATAAGAGACGTCCGGGTGTACTTTTATTCTAATCTAGGAGTGTTCAGCACGGATTTTGCAGCAAGTATGATAAACAAGCGTCTACAAACTCAGTGCTAGCTGTGCATGTGGCGCACTTGTGCCTGGCACTCTTTTCCTCCCTCTTAGTCTTACTCTTAGTCTTATGTATGGTCAAGGACGTATGCCATGGCATGGCACTACATGCCCATGACCCATGTTTACCCCTACAACGTGTGAAATAATTTTTGAGGGCATGAGAATGATGATCTGATCCGCTGAGGCCGACTATAGTATACTAGTACTTACCTAGTACCTCCCTACTGCCTGGGAGCGCTCCCAAACTGGAGTAGAGGGAGATCTCTCAAACTCAAAGACTAAAGTCATGTTTCACTGCAGTTGGCAGGTAGATCTACAGCCTACAGGAACAAAACACAACACTCAACAGACTGGACCCTGGTCTATCTGTCTCCTGTGAGTAGATCTTACTGGTATGGCTCTGTACTGTAAAATACTAGGTCTGCGATGCAGCGATGCCTGATGCCTGATGGTTTGTTGTTGACGCTCTTGTAGATACCGATTCGAATAATTATTATGACTGTTACTTGACGGCGTAGCTGTTAGACCAGTACATGTAGTAGATCTACTGACGCTACAGCCTAGGACAGCCTCCAGGTCTAGGTAGCGCAGAAGTGGCACTGCAGTGCAGTCCATTGACTCTTTTACTTGAGTATCACCCACTGACTGTGACTCGCATCACCGCTTCAGGATTCATTGATTCAGAATTTATGGTGCAGAGACCGACCGACTCGAGAGTAGATCTGCGAGCGATCCGTTGTCTGAGTTGCGTTCACATGGTTGGAGTAAACCGGCTACGTCTACCGATCAGAGCGTTGGACTTCTTCGTTTCGCGCCCGTATCACAGATTCTAGCCGCTACAGTCAGTAGATAACGGCAGTCTTCCGCCCAGCGTTGCTCTGTAGATCGACCGTAGACGCCACAACATCGTGTGTGCGGTGCGGTGTATCTGATTTAGTGGTCGTGGCAGCACCGTGCGATCTGAGCAGTAGTCCAGGCAGCTCAGGGATCCTAGGGAGGAATGGAGCCGATATCGCTAACGACATCCGGAACGGCACAGTTTCGCGGGCGAGCTGCTTCACTGGTTTCTAACTTTGGAGGATCTTTCCGGCGCAGAGGTAGTACTACTGCAGGCAAAAGGGGTTCGTACTCAGTCAGCAGTGACGGCGATCGACCTCGACCAGTGAGCCAGAGCTTTGACGTCGTTCAGTCCGCACCCGGTGTTGCACAGGCAACTATAGATCCTGAGAATATGCCCCTGGCGCTGGAGATGAAGCTAGGCACACGGAGCAGATCACCACCGACAGCGAAACCCGGTAAGATCGCTCTGCCCAATTACTATGGCCAATCTTCAGTCGAAGCCTCGCTGCAAAGTGCGCGACCAAGAGAAAGGGTGAGCTCCTAGTGAGTGGTGTTCGTTGATTTTTGTCGCTAGAATGTCTGTGGCCTGGCCTGGTGCATTCTGTTTTTTTTTGGTGGCCCACGCGTTCTTGCGAACGGGGTAAGAGCCCAGTACAGTCATGAAGATTTGGTTTTCAGTGTCAGATTGTGAACCCAATGCACTCTCTCCTTCAAGCAATCAAAAGTCATTCATTTTCTCAGTGTGCAGCCAGCGGTGAGCCAGTGAGCGTGCAACCCAAGGACAAGGGTCGGTCCGGTCGGCGGCTGCTTGCTCTATAACTCGCTACATGATCAGTGCATGAGTCATTGAGCGTTGTCTTCTCTCACAGATCTCAGTGTAGCTGATAGACAGTCATTTGATTTATGATTATTGCATGATTGTTGTTCCATCTCAGAATCCCACTGAAGACAACGAACGCATAGCAAACATTACTGTCATAGGAAACATACCGAGTCCTGAGTCCTGACTGCCACATGTACACAGTGCCAGTGTGCCACTATTGCACTAACTTATACCAAGAGCACCCCCCCCCCCCCCCCGTGTGTGCAAATTTGCATACGGGGATCTGGCGCGCACATCACGTAGCCACTAACTGCGAGCCAGTGCGTCGTTATCCGATATTGATCTGCTACGGTTTCCTGCTTCTAAGTCCGCTTTTCTTGGGTCTTCGAATGATGTTGTACATGATGTGTCAGGCACAGGCACTTCCTTTGAGCTTGCCGTATTGCGCCTGATATTGTTGCGGCTAAACTGTAGGAAAACTCGAATCCAGGAGCTTGATCGTCATTTCACTACGTAATAATAGCAGTGCGCCGCACGTACCCATAGCTGGAAGATCATACTTGCACACACTCTTGCTGTTATATACACTTGCTAATACAGTAAAGCTTGTAACTAAAGACTAACGTGACTAGGGGCCACTTCGCCAGGCATGGCCGCCCCCACATTCAAAATGCACTGTGACTAGCGATGTCCTGCTGAATGCGACCAGCGGCCACGGTGTAGGAAATTGAAGGTTTTTCGAAGCTCCTTCTTTGAAGTATGGGTGGTCAACTCGAGTCTGAGATTTGTATGTGTATACTGATGATCGCTTAGTGCTTGAAACTCGGAGTTAAAACACTTTTTTCATCCTCTTAAAAGGGAGGTTTCGCTCTACGGAATTGCGTATGAAAATAACGTAGGAACTGCACGGAATTTTCATACGTAAAAATCAGAGCTGTTGGGTTTCGCTCTACGTGATTTCTCCACGACTGCTAAACATGCGTTGTTGCTTTGGAGACGCGTTGGCTGCATGAGCCCACCGCATGCACCATGAACCGAAACCGTGTTTTCCATTTCATTTTGCACGTGGTGTACGGTATGTGTACCTTGTGTTTCGCGCGGCTTGAACGTTGCCATGGACAAATGCAGAAATGCGAAAAATATTTCAAAAAGTCCTACGGAGGACCCAACGCAGGAAAGAGCTTTCCTACGGAAATCCGTAGAGAGATTTACGTATGAAAGTTGCCCTCGCTCCCTGGCGTGTACGACATACGGATTTTCAAACGTAATTACGTAGAGCGAAACCTCCCTAATATTGTTTTATACTGATTACTGATTATAGTATGGCCATCGTCCATTTGTGTTTACGTGTCCATGCAGCCCATTGTTGACCCATCAGAAAGGACCTGGTTCAACCATGTCAATGCGCAGTATGTTGGTGAAATGGAGAAGATGATTGCAGAAGAAGACATCCATGTTGATCGCAGAGTAAGTGGAACATAGTCGTTGGAGTGTATGTGCGTTCACTAACAGCTGTTCAATATCATCGGCATAGATACAATACTATCCAATATCACCGTCATGCATACAAAGGTGCATGTGTTCTCATTATGATGGGCATCGATACGAGTACTCATACATGTTGCTGCTCTCTGCACTCTAGCGCAATAACAATCGAAATCTTTATTCAGCCCTCTCCTGTGATACATCCCTTCACTACTCGTGATGCTGTGACCATGAGGTCAGCCACTACAAGTTCCACCATCTTCTCTTTTACTGTGGCTTGGTCTCGGGTATTCCCCAGAAAATAGAGTCCTCTTCTATGTGGGTCAATGCTACACTCTGAGAGATAAAGGAGCACGTTAACGCTTTTGGGAGTGCTACAGTAAATGACTCCCTCGTATTCTTTGTCACACAGACACACTGCCACTATCAATCAGCAAGCTACCCCTGTATGTGTGTGTGTGTGTGTGCGCGTGTGCGTGCACGTGCGTGTGTGTGTGTGTGTGTACGTATATTCACTTGTGCGGTGCTGTACATTCATGTTGTCCCTTGCAGGATTATTTCACGGTGAGTTGACTTGGAAGGATAGAAGTGACTGCTGTCTGCAGTCTACTGGACGCCACCAAGCTCCCTTATCCTACTTGTTTGTCGTGTCACTGCTTGTTCTCACTTTGAGGCCGCCCTCGGTTACCAATGATTGTGTTTTGTATTGTTTTCAAAATGAAAAGGCTTTAGTTTTTCCCGGCCCCACCCACCCTTTTGCAGGTGAAAAAAATTCAACACTGTTTGAATTCAATGTTCAGCACAAAGATTATGTTACACCTGTAGTGTATTTCTATGTGTTGAGCCTGAAGTTGTGTAGATTTACTCCGTGTCAGCGCATGTCTGGCATCACTGGGTGTGGGGTGCATGTGCATCGTTGAAGCTACCGCCACCGCCAGCCGGCCATTATTCTTGTATGAGAAGTACATGATTCACAGTTTGCTACCAACTCATGTTGTCTTATTTCTCTCTCTCTCCTCTCTCTCTCTCTCTCTCTCTCTCTCTCTCTCTCTCTCTCTCTCTCTCTCTCTCTCTCTCTCTCTCTCTCTCTCTCTCTCTCTCTCTCTATTCTGTGCATGCTCTCTCTCATCTTGATTCGAATCTGCCTACTGGTCTCATCTCAACAGGGCGTAAGTTCTTTTCTCGGTTTGTGATCCGTACAGTTTCCCTTTGCGGAGTATACTGGTACAGGACTATGGTACTTCACATTCGAATGTCCGTTGTTACGCTTAGCTCTGCGGGAAGAGTATGCGTGGTGTTATGTTGAGCTAGAGCAGCCTTAGACCTACCGGCTTCTGCTGTAGATTGCACAGTCACTGGTTGCTAGTCAAGAGAATTTTGTTCTTATTGCATGAAGAAATTTATCCTGGAATTTTCTTGCTTTTTCCTTTCAAAGAGTCTTACTTCGTACTGCGTGTGTGCTTGGGTATCTGCATGCGTGCTTGTTGGCATGTGTGTGTGTGTGTGCGCGCGCGCGCGTGTATGTGTGTGTGTGTGTGTGTGTCTTTCTATACACATCTTTGTATATTTGACGGATGGTGCGTCCTGGCTTCCAATGGATTTCCTTTTACAGTTTGTAAGTATAGTTATGTGTACGGTAGCTGTATTGCTCTGTGGGCATCTTTGTATGCATAATGTGTGGCGTATAGTCTTATGGGGCAAGTGACATGCTTATGCAATGCTCAACTGTCAGACTTTCCTTCGTATATCCTTTCCACATCTTAGCTGTATTATCTTCTTGTGTGCTGCTGAATTTTTTGCATGATTTTGTTTCCGTTTCTGCTGTAGACCGCTTTGCATTGGGCGTGCAAGTTTGGCAATAAAGACATGCTGAATCTCTGTCTGGACAACAAGGCAAATACTAATATTCGAACTGTAAGGTCATAACCATACAGCCAGCACCTTGTGTATTTAGTTGCTATGACTATGGCCCTAGGCTGGTGAGAAGAGGTGCTGGGTGCACAACTTCAAGTAATCCTGAATGAGAACTACATGTTGGGTCGCACGGACTGTTTTTCAGAGTGCTTTGCTGGCATGGCGTGCTTGTGTCCAACAGTATTCACACAAGTTCCAGGGTGCCCAAAAGGCTATGTGAAGTCCTGGGTGGCAAACGGGCACTTCAGGTTGAGTTTCAAGTAGCACGACTGAATGTTCAGTTGTATTGATGTTGGCTCTTTTTTATGCTCATGATGGCAATTATTTGAGCAGCTAGTCTTGACAATGCTAATGTACCTATGTTCTGCTATATTTATTTGCATTCACTCTACTATGACTGACTGACTGACTGTCTGGCTGGCTCTTTGGCTGCCCGTGGACTCTTGGCACGTGCAGCATGTAAGTTTCATGTTTGAATGACTTGCGTACATGTACTGCCTGGAACATGCTCTACTCAGGAGTACGGTGTAGTGTGTATTGCAGGCGATCACTTGCCTTATCACTATTATCAGTATTGCCGGCGTTCTAGTTATGGCATGGCTCTCATCTCTGCGCTGGCAGGTTCTATCCAGAGTGTGTTGTGTCCAAGCTTTGGCGTGCTTGCACGGAATCTTGTGTCGTTGTGTGTATGTGGTCTACTTGTGATCTACTTCATGTTTCAACTCATTGCTGTGTTTCCTGTTGTGTTTGGTTGTGTACACACCCCATGTGGATTTGCTGCCTTGCTTGCTCCTGTTCTTCGTTACGTCAGAGTGTAAGTTCCCATGCTACATGTACATTATTGTCGACGATTTCATGTACTGCACGGTAGTTTTAAAAATGGCTTGTTATTTTAAAATAATAATAACGGTGTTGTCAGATCATAATACAGGCAGCGAGTGCAACAAACTGGCACTAAACTGACAAGGGGTACTGAGACATTCAACAACTGGACACCTAATTCTAACTCGTATCATTTTGTCCTTCTCCTTTTTATTTATAACATTGGCTCACCATCCGAGTTCGACGGAGGTGTTGTCAGTTGTATTCTCACTCAATTTCCTATTTATATTAACCAAAGTTAATGGCGTGTTGTGTTGTTTACAGGGCTGTAGTCCCCTTCATCTTGCCAGTAAATATGGACAAACAGCCATATGCACGGAGTTATTGGATGCTGGTGAGACTAGCTTACACCCCCCCCCCCCCCCCCCCACTAGTTATCAATGTTGTCAGTTGTCTATCAACGTGCCATGCCTTGTTGCTACTGCTTTCACCCATGTTTGCATTTTCTTTGGTTTGTTTGCAATTGATATTGTACGCGTGTGTGCGTGTGTGCGCGTGCGTGTGTGTGTGCGCGCGCGCGCGGATACCAGGCTTAAATTAGTGGCGGTCAATTCATCAGCCTTGCAAGCTGTTGAATGGTGTAATCCCAGCACAAGTTGCAATGTCTAACATAGCTGTTCGCTATCATCGCTTCCGCGATGGGCAGGTCTGAGATCTGAGGTGTGTGTGTGTCCGTGCTGGTCAGGTGCGGATGCAAACTTGAGGGACAGCCGTGGCAAACTAGCGTATCATGTTGCCCACAAGAAGCTACCGGATGCCGTGAAAGGTGACTTATGTTGTGTGATAAAATTACTCTCACTGTCATAAAAGTACTCTAACTGTGTGAATGTTTTTACTCTGATCATTGAAACTAGTCTTGGAAATGTACACAACCGGAGTGGTAGAAGTGCTCTTTTGGCAACAATGCAGTAAGCTCCTGTCTGGAGAACGGTACATGTACCAGCCCTGTTGCAAGATTGACTGTGAGAGTATTGTGTTCCAGCCACTTCTTTCCGGGGTTGTTCATGTGAATTGAATTCTGTTCATTGTGAGGTTGTTTGTGTGAATTGAATTCTGTTCATTGTGAGGTTGTTTGAGTGAATTCTGCTCTTTGTTGGATTATAATGTGTGAATTGAATTCTGCTCTTCGTGGGATGGTATGTGTGACTTCTGCTCTTTGTGTGATTGTATGTGTGAAATCTTCTCTATGTTCTTACACATGTAGAGAGATTGCTGAAAGGTGTTAATCACAATGGTAAGTGCAGCCATGTCATCATAGTTACCGTGATGTGTGTGCGTGCGTGTGCGTGTGTGTGTGTGTATATGTGTGTGTGTTTGTGTGTGTGTGTGTGTGTGTGTGCACGTGTGTGTATGTGTGTACGCGTGTCTGTGTGTGTGTGCGTGTCTGTGTGTGTGTGTGTGTGTGTGTGTGTGTGTGTGTGTGTGTGTGTGTGTGTGTGTGTGTGTGTGTGTGTGTGTGTGTGTGTGTGTGTGTGTGTGTGTGTGTGTGCTCGGTGTTGGTGTCGTGTGCATGGTTGTGTTCAATGCTGTTACCAAGAATACCTGATCAAGTGTGCAACTCAATGATCTCTCAAACCACGGCAGACATTTTTTATGACACCAGCCTTTCGTGACCATTTGGCCTTCTGGTGTCATCATGCATAACCAGAGATCAACAGTTCAAGGAATTTGTACAGGTACTTCGCAACTACGGTAGTCAAAACCGAGCGACAGACCATAGATCCATGCGCCCTGACCTGATGAACTGACATCATATATAAATGAGAAGCTGTCTGCCTGTCTGTCTATCCGTCTGTCTGTCCGTCCGTCTGTCTGTCCGTCCGTCTGTCTGTCCATCTGTGAGTCTGTGTGTCTGTCTGTCCGTCTGTCTGTCTGTCCGTCCGTCTGTCTGTCCGTCTGTCTGTTTGCTTCCCACCCTATAACTATACAGCAAGCAAAGCATTGACCCTGCTCAACATCCAAGTGAAGAAATCCTCTTCAGCAAGCAGTCACAAAATCAGCTTGTCGACTAGTAAAGGCTTCATTGGTGATGGAGACGAAGGAAGTCTTGGCCCACGCAACAAGAGCAGTGTAAGTCTCTTCATGTTCTTCATGCATAGTGCTACTCAAGATCCATGCGCTGAGAAGAACTATGCTCACACTATCTTCTCTGTTTTGCCATCTGGTGGGGCCTTGGTCTGTCAGCTAGGGTTGTCCCTGGGTGCTGTGCTCATTGTTGGAGCAGCTGGTGGAAACCAGATACAGCATGGTGTGGACAGACTGTTTTGTTTGTGTTACATCATGTGGCATGGTGTCATGGCTCCTCTCCCTCATGACTTTCCATAGCTCAAGCTGTATTTTCTCAAACAATATCCAAAAAGAATACTGACCCTCAAGCGAAAAGGTAGAGAAACAGCAAAGCAGCTTAGCTCAGTGCGGAGTTCTGGAAGCATGCAAGCTCCCAACCAAGTGCAGGGAAAACACTGCGCTGCACCGACACGGACCACATGCTGAAAGACTGAGAAGCAAAAACGCGTGATGTCATGTACGAGTATGCAACCACGCACGTGCTCTAAACTTCACTGCACCGTACGTACAGTTTGAAAGGCAGAACAAAACAGAAAATGCAAGAAGAACAAAGAGAGAAAAGTATCATAACAAACAAGTAGAGGGGGGGGGGGGTGGCTGCTCAAAACGATGGAGCTCGCGCTTCCTGCTGACTGACTGACGATTGACTGACTCACGGCTGCTGTCTGGAGCGTGCAAGAAGAATGCCGGGCCGTCCACTCGGCAAACAAGTACACATGGCAGACAAGTAGAAGAGTGCAAATCACTGCAACTGTGTAAGCGAGAATAAACTTAGCACGACTACTATGGAAACTGACACTAAAATTGTGTCGTTGCACGTCTGTCTGAACCTATCTGCACTGGTGTGTTTGATTGATTGCAGTGGTTCAAAAGGAAATCGGCTGGAGCAACGGTCAACACGTCCTCAATGCCGATATTCAACTCGTAGTGTGTGTGTGTGTGTGTGTGTGTGTGTGTGTGTGTGTGTGTGTGTGTGTGTGTGTGTGTGTGTGTGTGCGTGTGTGTGTGTGTGTCATATAGCTGTTCTTTCACATACCGTATGCCCTTCAGCAGGTGTCGTTTTGGACTCCCTTTTATATTTATATATGTACGAGAAATCCTACAACAGCGTCCACATCAAATGCACCAATCTAAGTATGTGCAGCATATTACCACCGTCCTATTTTAGTCCATAGCACCCCTTATGCGCACCGGCTTGCTTGATATTAGCACTCGCCTGGCTTGATCATTACGCAGCTGTACACGCCGTACATGTATGTGCAAGATAGTATTCTTAGTGACCGCGATCACTCTATTCTCCCACCGCTTGCCTGCTGCTGCCTTTAGCTCTTTCTGCTATCTAGTTGCCTACTTGACTGCCCTGCTGTGCAGGTAGCCATCCTATCACGGTTTGATTTAGTACTGATGATCCAACCTTAGATTCAACTATCTGTGACTCTTCTCCTGAGCATGAGTGCCCCTTTTTTTCTCCTCTTCTCTCCTGCTAGTGTATGTCTTGATCTATCAACCCGGTCCTATGCTGATACAGATTTACTCTTGTCCATCACACCTCTCCACACTAACCCCTATAAACTAGCCCTGAGTTGAACCAGCTGCACAGTGTACTGGTATACTTGTTGCTGCTCAGATTATATCAAACGCCTTACTCACACCCGCTCAATCACCACTAAGTGGTGATTGACCAAGTCTTGGTGTTGTGCATCTCTTATGTCTGCTACTAGCTTTCATGTCTAGGTATCAAATTGTCCGTTTTGTTTTAGGAATGCTCAGAACAGATTTGTATTGTCATTGCAATTCTGTTCTTTCCTTTCTTTCAGTATCTATTGCTCTGCATCAAGATTTTTTTTCTTCTGCTCATGTTCCACCCAACTTTCTGTCACCGTTTTTGTCTTCTTTCGATGTTTTTATTTTACAAATCGATTTATTCAGATCACATGCATGATGGGTTGGGGTGACTTGAGCTGCTTGTTGTGTACTCGCTTGAGTGCATGCGCGTGTTTGTGTGTGTGTGTGTGGGGGGGGGGGGGGGCTGTGGGTGCACATCCACATTTGCAGATTTGCGTGCTTCTCTTGTGGCGTGTGTTGTAAGAGTATGAATTCTCGGTGTTACTGTATGTCTGGAGGTTATCAATGGCAGGGTGCCCAGCTCTACTGATTGTCCTGTGCAGCTGATGACTGCTAACATGCTCTCGTTCTGTTTCTCTATGGGGAATCTCTGTAGAAGTAACGTTACTATTAACAAACTTTCAAAGGGTGGGTGAGTGTCACTATCGATATCTGGCTACTCCCTACACATGCAGTCCAATCATGTTCATGTTCTGCCTACTGGAAAAATATCTGCTCTGGAAAAAATAAATAATAATTATTATAGTAATTGGCAAGTTGCCATGGCACCACGTGGTGCTTTTCTTTTGAAAAATCGTAGAATCCACGTCGTGAAAAAAAGTAAAAAAAGTTTCCCCGATTCAAATCGACTGATGTCGACATAAACAATAGCAATAGATTCTTGAAAGTGAATGGATTGCTTGCTTGTGGCGAAGTCTGCTTGTAGAAGTTCCTGACATGGCACATTGAGTATTCACGGTGGAAGGAGCTCAGCTTTCTGTGGCTTGTAAAGGAAACGTGTCGTGATGGTCTCCAGCAAGGATCTTTTGCCCTTTGGCTGGGGTATTATTTTGAGTGTTGCCAAAGTTCTTCTATTTCGGACGTAGTACGTACATGGTGATATCAGCGAAACATTGCTGTGGTCGTGGAGGACTGGCTTGAACATGATCGTTTTATTCTTTTGTTTTTCCTGTAACAATCAGTCGCTCCACAGACTTCGAAGTGCACCGAAATTGGCTGGCAATCACGAACAGTCTGCCTGTGTCCAAGTGGTATTTTGAAGTACGTACGACTCTCACTGTTGTCCTCATTTACTAGTATATGCACTCATCTTTCCTGATTCTTTATTTATTTTATTTTCAATATAATTATTGTAAAAGTTATACAGACGATTTGAGGCAATGAAATCCGACCCAATGCAGAGGAGATGGCACGTGGGCCAATTCTACTGCGACACCAAATCCGCCACAAAGTGCTCTAGTTGGCCCACCAGGTTTCGGGCTGAAATGCGGTGCCGTCCCCTCCGCTGTGTGGAGAGGGGACGGGTGGTGGGGCTGGGGGCATTGGCTGCAGCTGTATGTGTGGTCACTAACGTTGTAGCCTGCTGAGCAAGTTGGAATAGCAAACTTGTAAAGCGGAGCACTGAGTGCATGCTGACAGTATCTGCACTAAGACTTTAGCACAAATAATCATCTCTCACTCATCCTATGGCCTAGTGGCTAGGCACTCTTGTATGGGGCAGTGCTTTTGCGGTTGAAACTCTTCAAGTACTCCCACAAAGGACTGTCGGTAAAAACCGAAGTTTGTTTCAAATCAAAATTTCTTCTTTTTTTCCCCGCATTTCTTTTTTCCTAGAACACGTCGGAATGGACTCTGGACTATCCACCGTTCTTTGCGTGGTTCGAGTGGCTTCTATCTCAGGTCGCCGTCCTCATTGATCCACAAATAGTCTCGGTAACGAACCTCAACTATGCTGCACCGCTGTGCGTAGCGTTTCAACGAGGCAGTGTGATTCTGACTGACTTTGTGCTGGTCTATGCCGTGCAGCAGTAAGTTCATAGACTCTGTCACTGTGCTGTTGCTGCTGGTGGTGTTGCTGCTGCTGCTGCTGCTGCTGGTGGTGTTGCTGCTGCTGCTGCTGCTGGTGGTGTTGCTGCTGCTGCTGCTGCTGCTGCTGGTGGTGTTGCTGCTGCTGCTGCTGCTGCTGCTGCTGGTGGTGTTGCTGCTGCTGCTGCTGCTGCTGCTGCTGCTGGTGGTGTTGCTGCTGGTGGTGGTGTTGCTGCTGCTGCTGCTGCTGCTGCTGCTGGTGGTGTTGCTGCTGCTGCTGCTGCTGGTGGTGGTGTTGCTGCTGCTGCTGCTGCTGCTGCTGGTGGTGTTGCTGCTGCTGGTGGTGTTGCTGCTGCTGCTGCTGCTGCTGGTGGTGTTGCTGCTGCTGCTGCTGCTGCTGCTGCTGGTGGTGTTGCTGGTATACAGTGTATTACCAAGCCAGCTTAGCTTATCATGAACTCATGTAAAGCTCTAAATACTGTTAGGAGTACAGGTTTGTTTGGTCCGTCCTGTGGAGACTTCTCTAGGGACAGTCCGTCCATAGTCGAATAGGGCTCCATCTGTAGTCAATATCACATTGAGCCCGAATCCGAAAGGACTTTGCTCAGTATTGCCGGGTTGGGACCTGCTTGTGAATGATGTGCTTCCTTTCAAAAATGCACTCTTGAGTCTTGTTGACGCCACTAGGTCAGTGGCTCTACACAGAACTACTGGTCAAGTATGTGCAAGTCGAAAGAGGAAGCTACTGCTTACCAAAGTAAATGGAATGGCTTTCCACGAGGTCGCTGATGCCACATTCATTACAATGCCTGATTACAATTTGTATTGGGGTGTCAGGAAATGAGTTTACTGTCCACAGTGCAAGTAGTCTATGCGTGAGTGTGGGTTTGACTGTTTGTGTGCTGTGCTATGTGCTGTGTGCTGTGTGCTGTGTGCTGTGTGCTGTGTGCTGTGTAACACTGTACCTATGTATTTCGTACAACTTGCGTCTATCATTGTGTGCTGTGTTGCGCTAGGTACTGCCAATGGCTTCGCAAGAAGTCTAAGCACGTCCTGTTGGAGGAGAGAATACTGTTCCTTTGTGTTCTGATTCTCTGCAACTTTGGTCTACTCATTGTTGACCGTATCCTCCTTTTTCCTGTCCTGCATGTGCTCTGGCTTCATGGCTTCTTGCAATGCCACTATGTACTTCCAAGAACCAGTCACACTGTACATACACATGATACTGTCGTGGACGTGGAAATCCAGTCGAATGACCCGGGACCGGTGCCCTCGGTGCGTACAGAACGTTGCAGGCAGTGCGCATGTTGATCCGATGCGGCCAGCGCGCTGCAGCGCCCAACTGAATGTGTGTATGCGTACTCACGGCTGCATCGCCAGCGCCCTGCGGTCGCTAGACGTGCGACCAGATTTCCATGTCCACGACAGTACATTGCACTGTACATACACTGTACATACATGTACATTGCACTTGTGGTATCAGTATTAGTATGCGAGAGCGTGTCCTGACCGGTTCACCGTGCTATGCCATGCCTGAAAACCAAGCTATTTTGGCAGTTTTTGTTGCCGAAACAATCTGTTTTCATGGCGAGGTGTGTGCATGTAGATAGCGCAGGCAGGGGACCTCTTGGAATGAAGTCCGGCGTACCCTCTGGACTGTACACTGTTTTGACAATAGAGAGGTTCCGCATAACGTAATTACGTTAGTAAAAAGCGTAGTCGATCTACGGAAAGTCTTACGTAAACTGCATGCGCATCTGGGTTCCGCCATACGGAGTTTTCAAATCACGTAGCTGCCCTTGGCAACTCCGAACGCGGCAGTGTATGACCAGATCGACCTGGGGAGAGAGTCATAAATTTGTACCCCAATCCACTTACGGACCAGCTACGTTATGAGAGCCCTATCTACGTACTCTCCGTAGACAACTTTCCGTAAGTGGAGTGCAAACTCGCGAATTCACGGGTTTTTCCCGCCTACTAACGTAAAGTAGCTCAACTTTACGTAGTGCGGAACCTCTCTATTGTCTGCATGGTGCACGTCTTCGAGTGTATTGCTGCAATGTGACCTGTCACCACTACATATTCTAGCATGATGACTACGGTGGCAACGGCAGCAGCAGCAGCAGCAGTGCCACCACCACCACCATCAGCACAATGCAATGTTTACAATGGCTATTTACCTCGGATGGTTCTTCACTTTCTGTATCACATTTTGTGGATTGAACAATGAACATGACTACTAGTGCCAGCACAATGCAGTACGAGTGACAGGTGGACCAGAAACCAATGCAGTACGAGTGACAGGTGGACCAGAAACCAATGCACACACTCAACTCTAGACCCAACATAACTAACTTACCTGTATCTCGATGATGCACAAACTTCCTTGACCCGGTCTCTTCAGATATTCATTTCCAGTACAATGGATTCCTGATGGGAATATGGCTACTGTCCATAACACGCATGATGGAGGTCAGTTTTGCAATGCGCGGATATAGTCTCCTCTTCTTTTTGTTCTCTCTCTCTCTCTCTATCTCTCTATCTCTCTCTCTCTCTCTCTCTCTCTCTCTCTCTCTCTCTCTCTCTCTCTCTCTCTCTCTCTCTCTCTCTCTCTCTCTCTCGCTCTCTCTCTCTCTCTCTCACTGACCATAGCTGTCTGTCTATCTATCCAGTGATAGCTTGCACACTCTTACCTTCGATGTGCATGTACGTAGGAATCCCCGTCATTCTGATGTTCTTCGCAAAGCCTCCATAGGCATCACTATCATACTGTCAGAATATGCTCTAATATTTGTTTCTCGCACCTCTATCTGCTGACAGGGCCGAGTTATTGCAGCAGCATTTCTTTTTGCCGCCCTTCTCAACTTCAAGCACATCTTCCTGTATGTGAGCCCGGCGTATTTCATCTATCTCTTCCGAGTTTACTGCTTCCCATCGCGCAGAAGTAAGTACAGTACACTGTACTGCTAGTTTGTGTGTGTTGTATGTTGTTCTGTTGGGGGTGGTCTGTGTTCTGTGTGTTGTATGTTGTTCTGTTGGGGGTGGTCTGTGTTCTGTGTGTTGTATGTTGTTCTGTTGGGGGTGGTCTGTGTTCTGTGTGTTGTATGTTGTTCTGTTGGGGGTGGTCTGTGTTCTGTGTGTTGTATGTTGTTCTGTTGGGGGTGGTCTGTGTTCTGTGTGTTGTATGTTGTTCTGTTGGGGGTGGTCTGTGTTCTGTGTGTTGTATGTTGTTCTGTTGGGGGTGGTCTGTGTTCTGTGTGTTGTATGTTGTTCTGTTGGGGGTGGTCTGTGTTCTGTGTGTTGTATGTTGTTCTGTTGGGGGTGGTCTGTGTTCTGTGTGTTGTATGTTGTTCTGTTGGGGGTGGTCTGTGTTCTGTGTGTTGTATGTTGTTCTGTTGGGGGTGGTCTGTGTTCTGTGTGTTGTATGTTGTTCTGTTGGGGGTGGTCTGTGTTCTGTGTGTTGTATGTTGTTCTGTTGGGGGTGGTCTGTGTTCTGTGTGTTGTATGTTGTTCTGTTGGGGGTGGTCTGTGTTCTGTGTGTTGTATGTTGTTCTGTTGGGGGTGCTCTGTGTTCTGTGTGCCTGGATCCTGTTACAACTTACATGTACACGGTACTCAGTGTGATGTGGTGATAAGATGGTTTGCAACAGTTTTAAAATGAGTACCATGCAGAGCAAAGACAAGTTTCACAGGGCAGGGAAAGTAATGATATCTACAGTCTTTTTGCTTTTTGGAGATTTCGGCATGACCTTTTTTACTTGTTCCGTTAATACGGTTGTTGTGGCGTTGTGTGTTTTACTATTTGTATCTCTCTTCTCGTCCCGTGTTTGCAGAGGACTCCCTGACTGCGGCGACTGTCTCAATTTGGACATTCTCCTTCTCCAATCTCGTCAAGTTGGGCGTGGTGGTTGTGGCCGTGTTTGCTGTGTCGTTTGGGCCTTTTATCTACATGGTAAGCTCATTGTGAATGGTTCACATCGATCCACTGGAGCTGTATGAACACTTTCAAAGGCTGGTATAATGTGATTACCGTATTTCCCCGATTGTAAGTCGCACCTTTTTACACTCTACTTCAAAAACAAAGAAGGGGTTGCGACTTACAATTGAGTGTGACTTCCTACTTAGGTGAATGTATTGAAACAATTTGGTTCAGACCTAAAAATGGGTTGCGACTTATAATCAAGTGCGACTTATAATCGGGGAAATACAGTATGTGAAATACATGCAGGCAAACTGTCACTTGTTGCAGCAAAGCACCCTCTCCTTCGGTCTGCTCTGCTGCACTGTATTCAACACTGAAGTTGATCTCTGGACGCTGGTTTCGTTCTGAAGACAAGGTGAAAGAGACATGAGGGGTCTGCTAATGACGTGATCATCAGCATTAGCCAACTCACTTCTCCTCAGGGCTGCACATCTGCACTACTTATTTAGACAGCATGCGTGCATGTAGTTAGACCATCCGTGTCCAGACTCGTTCTGTGTGCGTCACACGTAGGAAATTCCGGGACATGACCGGATATCAACAATACTCTATAGTACTAGGTACTAGTTGAGCCGCTCCTGTCCCGGAATTGCAGTAATATTGCATGAAGAGTAAAACAACTTGCCCCTAACCAATATTGTATTTTCCCTGTGATAAGTCCGCCTTATGGGATGTCGACTTATAACCGGGGTCAACTTACAGCTTGTAAATTACGGAGTGTGAGTTTTGACTTTTGAGCATGAATTGTGCGTCTAAAGTGTGCAAAATACATGTACTAGTACTCTGTCAGATCCAGTACTCTGGTATTGCTGTATTTGCTCTCTCCATCATTTCTAAACTGCTGGTTTTTGTTTCTGTTGTCACCGATGTGGGTGTTTCGTTGAATGTCGCCTCAAAATAAGTGTGTGTGTATGTGTGTGTGTGTGTGTGTGTGTGTGTGTGTGTGTGTGTGTGTGTGTGTGTGTGTGTGTGTGTGTGTTTACCTTTGTGTCTGTGTTTACCTTTGTGTCTGCAGCAACAGCTACCACAGGTGTTGTCTCGTTTGTTCCCCTTCAAACGTGGTCTCTGCCATGCGTACTGGGCACCGAACATCTGGGCCCTGTACAATGTAGCAGACAAGGCTGCTGTTGTGTTAGGTATGAAGTTTTCCTATTGCAATTTCAAGTGAAGAATTCCCGGAGAATGTCAAAGCATTGGGAAGTTAATCCACCTGCGGGCTGCTCTTCTCTCCCCCAAACTCGACACTTTGCAAGTCAGATATGAAAAAGAACAATCATCAGTCATCAATCATCAGTGATGTGATTGATTGTTTTTCTTTCTTTCGTATTTGGCATGGAAACGTGTTGAGTTTTGGGGGAGAAACGAACGGCAGGCTGGTGGCCTAATTTGAAGTAATTTCCCAAGCTGTTGTATATGAGGAAGGGTTGCATGTTACTTTAGTCTGGCGTGCGTGAGTGTTGAGTGTGAGTGGGCAACGTGTGTGTAAGTACAGTGTGTGTATGTGTGTGGTGTGTGTGTGTGTGTGTGTGTGTGTGTGTGTGTGTGTGTGTGTGTGTGTGTGTGTGTGCGTGTGTGTATGTGTGTGTGTGTGTGTGTGTGTGTGTGGTTCGGTTGGTGGGTACACTTATGCCTGATTGTGTTGGGTCTGTTGCCAACGGGCTCGGCTACTTGAAGGTGTAATGTTGTACCTGCCACCTTTGTTGGTTCCAGGGTTCATATACTTTCTATTTGAAGTATACATACCTGTTAACCATGGACTGCTTCTGGCTAGATTAACTCTTGTGTAATCAATGGTGCTAGGGAGGCTTATATCAGATCCACTCTGATTTAGCCACCCACACTAGTAGCATGTATTACCTTCACTGGGGGCAGGGGTAACCGCAGTTGGATCCCTGGACGGATACCCTGATGCCGTCAATCCTTTTTCTGCACCTTGTCCTCGCCCACTTACTGAGGTGTGGTGAGCCCATAAGTGGGATCATTTTCAAATCCACCCAGAGTTTTGGGGACTTCAGGGGGTGTCGGCCGTTGGGCGGTTCAATAGCCAATTGAGTCATCTTTCCAAGATTCCTTTTGAGTCTCTCTCCCCTCTCCCGGGGAGACCCACGTGACCAGTTTTGGCAGTGAGCAACAAGTGTGGTACATGGTGTGTGTATTATGACTCGTTGAGTGTCCCTGCCTTGTGAGCACTGCTCACTGTACCCGTGCACCTGTCTGTGTCTTGCTATGCAGCTCGGCGGCTTGGAATGGCCGTGTCGTTGCCAACAGCTTCATTGACTAGTGGCTTGGTTGGTGATGTGGAGCATGTCATTCTACCGGCTGTGCCACCCATTGCTACTGCTATCTGTACTCTACTGACAATACTGGTAAGGCTTAAAGGGGAAGTTAAAGGGGAAGTATACCCTAAAATCAAATTTTCACCAGTTGTAGTCTTCGGGGTGCTGAGTCGAATGGTCTTGGTCCGAGGAAGCTGAGACGCTCCCTTCCTCCTTTATTCCCAATCGAACTCGCGCACTTCCACCGAAACTGGGTGACTGCGCATGTCACTAAAAGCGCCATTTCGTTCTTATAAAAGCACGGATGACCGCGATTGGCCCATATGTTGTAGTCTTTTGGACGCTGAGTCGACTGGTTTTGGTCCGAAAAGGCTGCGATGCAGCGTTCCTCCTTTATTCCCAATCGAACATGGTTGAACAAGCGGTCACGTGCTCCTGCGTACACCAGTCACCTGGTCACCGTGCCGGCAGGGTACAACTTACTAGCCTGTTTGACCTTTTTTGGGTGCAGTCCTGTCACTCGAGTTGAACTCGAGTTGAACCTTGGTGTGAAAGTTGTCGCCTGCTGGCGTGGTGACCAGGTGATTTGGGCACCCAGGAGCACGTGACCGCTTCTTCAACCATGTTCGATTGGGAATAAAGGAGGAACGCTGCATCGCAGCCTTTTCGGACCAAAACCAGTCGACTCAGCGTCCAAAAGACTACAACATATGGGCTAATCGCGGTCATCCGTGCTTTTATAAGAACGAAATGGCGCTTTTAGTGAGATTTTGCATACAAATCCTCATCTAGTAGGGCGCAGTCACCCAGTTTCGGTGGAAGTGCGCGAGTTCGATTGGGATTCAAGTAGGAAGGGAGCGTCTCAGCTTCCTCGGACCAAGACCATTCGACTCAGCACCCAGAAGACTACAACTGGTGAAAATTTGATTTTAGGGTATACTTCCCCTTTAAGGCAAAAATTAAAATTTCACCAGTTGTAGTCTTCGGGCCGCTGAGTTGAATGGTCGTGGTCCGAGGAAGCTGAGACGCTCCCTTCCTACTTGAATCCCAATCGAACTCGCGCACTTCCACCGAAACTGGGTGACTGCGCCCTACTAGATGGGGATTTGTATGCAAAATGTCACTAAAAGCGCCATTTCGTTCTTATAAAAGCTCGGATGACCGCGATTGGCCCATATGTTGTAGTCTTTTGGACGCTGAGTCGACTGGTTTTGGTCCGAAAAGGCTGCGATGCAGCGTTCCTCCTTTATTCCCAATCGAACATGGTTGAACAAGCGGTCACGTGCTCCTGCGTACGCCAGTCACCTGGTCACCGTACGTACCTGCAGGGTACAACTTACTAGCCTGTTTGACCTTTTTTGGGTGCAGTCCTGTCACTCGAGTTGAAATCGAGTTGAACCTTGGTGTGAAAGTTGTCGCCTGCTGGCGTCGTGACCAGGTGATTTGGGCACCCAGGAGCACGTGACCGCTTGTTCAACCATGTTCGATTGGGAATAAAGGAGGAACGCTGCATCGCAGCCTTTTCGGACCGTCAAAACCAGTCGACTCAGCGTCCAAAAGAGTACAACATATGGGCCAACCGCGGTCATCCATGCTTTTATAAGAACGAAATGGCGCTTTTAGTGACATTTTGCATACAAATCCCCATCTAGTAGGGCGCAGTCACCCAGTTTCAGCTTTCTCGGACCAAGATCATTCGACTCAGCACCCCGAAGACTACAACTGGTGAAATTTTAATTTTTGCCTTAACTTCCCCTTTAAGTGGTGGTATTAGATGTAGTGTTCTTCTACCATTGTTGTTCTCCCATTCTGCTGCTTGCAACGAGAGAGCTTGGAAGCTCAGGGCCCTATGCTCTGCTGTTTTGCCTTGATGACCTAGGCAAAAAAAAGCATAGGGATGTTATAAATTTTTCATTTCTCCTATTTTTTTTTCAAGACAACCTGGGATTCGAACCCGCACTATCGCCCTGCATGCATCCCCCCGATACACTTCGCATACATACTAATTCTTCCAAGTTGCTTCACGTTATGATCTTGCATTTGAAAGCCCTATTTGAATATTGTGGCCAGCTGTTTGTGGCCAGCCGTCTTTGATGGTACGGTACGGTACGGGACAGGTGCGGTCGAGGGTAATACGAGAACGTCTACCACCTTGATGACCTAGGCAAAAAAAGCATAGGGATGTTATAAATTATAAATTCTCCTATTTTTTTTCAAGGCATAACCTGGGATTCAAACCCGCACAATCGCCCTACATGCATTACCCGATACACTTCGCATTCATACTCATTCTTCCAAGTTGCTTCACGTTATGATCTTGTATTTGAAAGCCCTATTAGAATATTGTGGCCAGCTGTCTCTGATGGTACGGTACGGGACAGATACGGGATAGCGCCAGACGGAGGTCCGTCCGCCACAAACAAACAAACACCAAATTAAAGCTGTGTGGACCCTGGCTAGCGCCAGACGTTACTGAAGTAACGTCTTCTGCATAGCTACGGGAATAAAACCTTTTCATGTCAGTATTAGAGGTAGGGCTGAAACCATCATTCAATAACTCCTAACTCCTAACGATCAACCGATATCGTTAATGATTGATATATTGGTTTATCAATTCTTGTCGGCTCTACCCGTGTATTTCGAACACCAGTTTATGAAGAAATTCCATGATACCTTTGCTACGTTAGAAATTTATGGCTCAGCAGAGTCAGCACTGATAACATCTGGCTGGTTTATCAACATGAACTAGAAAATTTCACGTTGTTTCTAGAGCGAAGAATCTTGTCATCCTCTTCTTGCACTCTTAACGATCGATATGCGAGTTATCAGTATAATTGTTTCAGCCCTAATTAGAGGTAGTACATGTATAGTATAGTGCTAGTGTCCTATCCACGCTCCTACTCTTTGTCAACCTTGGCTGAATTTCCATCTTGTTCTTTGATATTAAGTTTAGTGTTTGCATCAGTGCTCTGAGTGCCTCGACCACACAAGAAATACACGTATCTGCCTGCGGCCCGAGCTGATGAACGAGTGCTTTCCAACTTGCTGAGCCAAAGTATTTAGGTCTTCTCATGCGCACGGGAATTTCTGCTCCTTTAGGCGGTTGTTTTCATTTGTGTGTGTGTGTGTGTGTGTGTGTGTGTGTGTGTGTGTGTGTGTGTCTGTGTGTCTGTGTGTCTGCGTGTGTGTGTGTGTGTCTGTATATTGTGTGTGTATGTGTGTGTTTGCGCCCTGCAGCCATCTATGTTGCATGTATGGCGAAGGCCTGTTGGGCCAGAGTCGTTCCTGCGCTGTCTGGTACTGTGCGCTTTCTCGTCCTTCCTGTTTGGCTGGCATGTCCACGAGAAGGCCATTATACTCATAACAATCCCTATGAGGTAGGCACATGTACAGACTGTAGGGGCCTTTTTTTTCACTACGCATTATGTTCGCAATTGAGTCAATTCACAGTCTACAAAAATACGACTTTTGTTATAATATAACATTATCTCTGCTCTCCTTTGGCCATTTCTCACAAACAACCACTCTCTGGAAAGCTAATGATGGCAGCTACGCACTCGTAGAAACTACAACACCAAGAGCCATTCGTGTGTGCCGCGCCGTGATGAAGAAGACGTTTTCAAACTCAAACAAATATGCGCAGCGCGATTTGTCACGAGTGGCTCACTGATTTGTAAAATCGTGGCTCATAGAAACCAGACGAAGGTCTTGTGAAAATACCTAAAACCCGAAGGATTTCCAGCCCCAATACGCATAGGTAAGCGAGAAGATATCAGAGTTATTTTCAGCGTGACAGCGACTCAAAATGTTTGAATGTGCATTTTTGATCGTGCACTGGCTTCGAGCTTCGTTGTGCGCCAACTATGCACCAAGCAGTGAAAACAATAGTTGCAGTCGATAGTCAAGGTCTTTCTGAAGACGTAGAGCCCTCATTTGTAATAATCCGACAATATTGTGAGCAATGGGACTTAGGCTTTTATTTTTGATCAACCTACTTCACTGGACCCCCGAGTGTGCAACTCTGTATATGGGGTCTCTGACTGCGAAAACTCGCATCTTCCGTTCCACATCTCAGGTATATTCCGTACCGTGTACAACACAGGCCAATGTGCGCTCGGTCTGGGTATCTGTCATCGCTTGTGTAAACCATGTGTGTAAACCATGTGTGTAAACCATGTGGCTTTCTGTTAGGCAGTGCTAATTTTCTACTTTATTCCTCGATAAAAACATACTAGTACTGGACACGCACAGCTTGAGCACTAGCCCCGGGATGTGAGTTTTCAGCTTTCACCTTCAGTAGGGCCCCATAGGCCATAGCAACCTGTGCAGCAAAGCTGCACACTCCTGGGGGTATACATTCTTGACCGTACTTCAAGTAGTTGTAATGATGTTCATCTTGCCGGTGTTTCTTGTGTGTGCCTTTTCTCAGTTTTCTGGTGTTTCTTGTGTGTATCTTTGCTCAGTTTGCTGGCCATTGAACAAGCAGCAGTGGCCAGGATTTACCTGCTGTTATCAATAACTGGTCACTACTCGCTGTTCCCACTCCTCTTCCAACCAGCTGGTATGATCTTATTAAGATGGCTTGTCTGTGTGTGTGTGTGTGTGTGTGTGTGTGTGTGTGTGTGTGTGTGTGTGTGTGTGTGTGTGTCTGTGTGTGTGTCTGTCTGTCTGTATGCTTATGTAGCAGCTATGAGTATGCGCACATGTGCCAATTGAATTAGGCTGATGCACCCTTGTCCACGAGAGTATTCTTACAATCCTTATCTCTTGCATGGCTTGTTCTGCAGCATAGTGTCTCTCTGTCTTGTGATGTAGAACTGCCACCAGACATCTGTCATGTCCCTGATTTTCTTGCCTGTGCTCAGAAACTCCTATCAAAGTACTGCTGCTGCTTCTTGTGTCCATCTGGTCAATACGATGCGTCAAGGTTTGCGTAAAGTAAGGTTCTATTCAAGCTGCATGAAGTAGTCAATAAGTACAAACTTTTGCTTAGGGTTATAAAGAGTATGAATGCCACAGACATTTCCATGGAACATGACAAACGTGTTTGGAGTTCACGTGTATTATTAATCTACCAGAATCGATTTTCTTCCTCCACAATTTTAGGGGTTGTCGCAAAAGATGTTGTCGTCCCTAACGCAGCTTGCTAGCAAGAGTAGATGAAACCCAGAGTGCACAGCTTGGGGCATTTTCTACTATGGGTGTCTGTCACGGCGGAATTCCATGATCACATATTTGGTGCAGATCTGAGGCGGGAAGTGGCGTAGTGCGTACAACTGAGCTGCAGTGACAGCAATCCATCAAGGCTGCACACTCTGGTTTTCATGTACTCTTGTTGCTAGTTACACGTACGGTGTGGGTCGACTTGCGATTTTGGCTCACACCCCTCCCAAATGAACGATGTTCGTTTCAGGGATGACAGAAAACATTTGCAGCGACCCCTTAGAACTTCTGTTAATTTCATGAGATGTGAAGCTACTTTACTTCACATACTATAAATGTGAGCCACTGCTGTCCCACTCGCATACACATTGACTTGACTCTCTGAAGGTGTTTGTTCACCCAACAAAGACCTGTTCTACTTACGCTTGTGCTTGTTTTACTGATGCAGCGGCCAAGGTACGACTCAGCTGAATGCTCTGGAAAAGCTCTATCTGCTCGGTCTCGTGCCACTGTTTGTGTACTGTGACATAGTACACGCCATGCTTGGCCTCCATGTGACTCTGCCCTTCCTGCCCCTGCTACTCACCTCCGTGTACTGTGCTATCGGTGTTGTGTATGCATGGCTGCTCTTCTATGCCGATACGCTTTCTGGACGCTGGTTTCGTTCTGAAGACAAGGTGAAAGAGACCTGAGGAGTCTGCTAATGACGTGATTATTAGCACTAGCCAACTCACTTCTCCTCAGGGCTGCACATCTGCACTACTTATTTAGACAACATGTGCATGTAGTTAGACCTTCTGTGTCCAGACTCGTTCTGCATGCATGGATTTCTTGATGTATGTAGGTTGTCTCGATGTGGCTGGGCCACAGTCGAGGCATGATAATTATATTCAAAAATTTGATTATTATATCCGCCCATCCATTTTTTTCTCTTTTCATTCATTCGATGTTTATTTTACTCAAGCGTGTGTTCGATTGTGAATTCAATCCAGACGTGAGTTGTTTTATTTACGATTTATGCCAGTTGAGCCAGATGGTGCATATGATTATCGACAGGGTGGTGTGGTAGGTCAGGACAAGTCTACAGTAGATTGGCCAATAACTCTACTGTGCTGCATGTTCACACAGTTGAGTACAGGCATGGCTATCTAGTCTACTGATTGCCACTGTACATCCATGCATGGAAATGGAAATGGTCATAATAAGAGGCAGTTTGCTAGCAGTAATGGCGGATTGACCCATACTAGGCCATAGAGGTAGAGATGAGTGGCCGGGCTTCTCAGCTCCATCTATACATGCTGAGTGTATAGCAGGTAGAGCTACTCCTGCCTGAGTATCTACGGTAATACAATCATAAACAAGTAAAGTTAGTTAGCCGGATTCGTGGCCGCATCACCTGACGTGCTGAGGAACACATCAAGCAAAGACATTCGCATCGGCAAGCCACCACTTAACCCATATATCCTGGTGTTGAATGCAGACCTCACAAGTGAGTATCTTTTGCACCACTACATAGTACATTCAGCTATTACAGAGCAGGAATAAATTGTTGCCGGTAAAAATAAATCAATAAATCGTACAGGTTTTTTCCATGCCTGCATTCAGACCAGGGAGTGGTATATTGTACTACTCCCTGATTCAGACTACAAAAAAAAATTGTTTTACTAGTAGTACAGTAGTCAGTACTCAGGCTGAGTTACAAATGATAAGAATAATACAGTCCCCACTCCGAACCCCAGAGATGATTGACATCTCACTGTCCCAAGTGACATCCAGGGCATGGCAGTGACTGCACTACTGCACTGGTGAGGAGTACAGTCATACGCTTCAAAAGGTGCCTGTGCCTGGCACTCGCCACCGGCGCACAATTCGTGATTTGCTGCAAGATTTGTACGTCATTACATCGCAGCACTTGCACTGTGCTACTTGCAAATCCCGCATGCGTCATAACTAGTTACTTCATGGTGTGTGGTGCCCAATACGCGGCAGACGTCAGTGCAATGTAATATTTTCCGACCAAGCTGTCAATCTGTCCTTGGCACTGTCAGTCGACCCATGGTTTGTACAGTTTCTTCAGTCGCTTCTCGTATCAGCAACAAATTATAGTGAACTCATTTCTCATACAGTAGAGTCGCACGCTGAAGAACGTGGAGCCCAAGAACGTCCAGCCTAAAATACTAAGAAGGCCACAGCCTAAAGTTAAGAACGGCGGTGTTGTTTTTCTGGGAGCTTGTGGGATCATGTGACATATGATCCAGTACGCATTGTTTCTAAGAACATGTTGTAAGAACGCAGCCAGATTGCTGAAAAAATAAGAACGTCCCAGGCTAACCCCTTGGAAACAACGTTCTTGGGCGCGCGACTCTCAGTGACTGTACTCATGATTGCTTATGTGTTCCTGATCTAATGCCATGTAATGGTGGAGGGATGTGATATCCTTACTAGTGAGCTACCTCACGTGATAGATCATTATCTTTCTACTCCTCTACTCTAAGTTTGTATCAGCCGCGCATGCGTTTCCGTTGTGCTGCTGAGCTTCCATGTCGTTCTAGTTCGGCGTTCTAGCTTTGATCCGTAGTTGAAGTCAACAGTTCCCCTTTTGTCTTGTCCTGAACTGCTCTGGTGTGATCATAATTATGTAGTAGTACTGAGAACAAGAGTGCACCCCCCCCCCCCCCCCTCTATGGTGCCAAGATCAACTGCAGGTCCACTTTCTTGCTGACAGCTGAGTCAACTAACTTCACTACCTGTAAGACATGTTATTATAACGAGTCGCAAATTTAACCGGATAGTCCAAAATCCATAGCCTGTCACAGGAACGAGAACCGATACGATAACGATCTTGCAGTCTTCAGGCATATCCGCACACTGATTATGTCCGGGCCATAGATTTGCTTCCTCGTTAGACTAGTACATGTATTACATGTCTTACAGTAATGCACTGATGCAGTGAATTACATGTATGGTCGGTAAACTAGCCTTGATGGATACCCATCGATGGATATGCCTGGTGTTGCTTGGAACAAAAGTGGAAAATCATGTAAAATACTATGATGCACTACTAGACTCACCAGCGAGTCCGTCCATCCTCCTTCTCGCGCGCTCGCTCTCCTACATTCCTCGATGGTGCGCGGTAGGGAGAGGTATGGTGTTTTACGTCAACCATGACGGCTACAATGGCCAACCAGACCACAACGAAGTTGGGGCCAAAGAGAAAGTTTATTTCTTTCACGTGAAAATATATACAGGGGCCATTTTTACGAAAAATGAATTATGTATACAAAAATGCATGTACGAAGTCACTACATTACACCCCCACCAGAGATGAAGCCGAGAGCAGTTGCTGAAGAACGCCAAACGGAAAAAAAAAATCTTGGAAAGGAAAGGAAAGAGTGAGCGAAGCGTACAAAGCGGAAAGACGGGAAAGAAAAATACACTGTACAAAGAGAAAGACTGTACAAAGAGAAAAAATATGCGCTGCATGTGGAATACCGTTGTATGTGACGTGGACACAAGGTCCGAAACAAGGTAGAAAATGCAGGAAAGAGAAAGAGGAAACATGCGTGACAGAGGTGGAAGAACGTGTCAGAGGCAGTCCAGAGAAAGAAAGTAGAGAAAAGAACAAGGGAAAACGTACGCGTGACAGAGGAGGACGGATCTTGATCTTGTCAGAGGCGGCTGCGGGCTAGGAGATCGTGGCGGTTGATCGGCGGATCGGTGGATCGGCGGACCGGCGGAAGGTGGGCTGGTGAGGTCGTGGGCTTGGGCGCCTGCTCAATCTGGGCCGCGGAGGTCGAAGGCGCGATGGCCTGCTCCATGCCAACCATACAGCAACTCCGACTCAGCGCAGTGTCAGGGGTCACCAATTATGGTGTTTTACGTCAACCATGACGGCTACAATGGCCAACCAGACCACAACGAAGTTGGGGCCAAAGAGAAAGTTTATTTCTTTCACGTGAAAATATATACAGGGGCCATTTTTACGAAAAATGAATTATGTATACAAAAATGCATGTACGAAGTCACTACAGAGGAGCTGAGCTACATTTTGGTGGCCACCGCAACCTGCGTCAAACTCGACATCTATCACGTGGAAGTGGCACGTGCTATGGTCTGAAATTCTATCGCGTAGATCCAGATCTACTCGAGATCAGGAGTGGACTCTCACTGTGGGAAATTCGAAAGGAGAAGGTGCAGTTCACCAAAATAATTCTTGTTCATTTGTAGTTGAGCTCGTCTCTCCTGCAGGCTGGAGTTGCTGATCGAGGTACGGAGGCTGATCTCCACACTGCCTCGCATCCGGAGTCGGCTGGACCAGTGGATGCAAGTCAGTGAGTACAGGTAAAAATTATTTTTGTAGTTCACCAAACAGTTTGAAAATTTGATACAACAGTAGTACGTTGTTGGTGAATGTGCAGGGTGCAAGTGGGGTTCGGAGTGACTACCGCGTACCGGTACGTTGATTGTTCTGATGAAAGCTCAAGTGCATGTTGGTGTCACGCTTGGTGAAAGAAGAAAGCAACCAATCTAAACTACAGGGACTGCTGACTGGCCTGAGCGCGAGCCAGGCTCATGAGCGCCTCTGCTCTGCAGCAGCAGCAGCAGCAGCAGCAGCAGCAGCAGCAGCTAGTGACTGTGCACGTGTTTCTGTTTACTTCAATGTAGTATCCAGTACCTACACATAGCTAGCGAATGACTTCTGGTCCGGACGTCCCCTGCTGGCTATTTTGGCTACTGTAAATACACAATTTTTCGGCAGCTATTTCATTTTCGGCTATATTAAGCACCGACCCAAAATGCCGAAATAAAACGCTGATGGAAATTTTCACATCAGCTTTGGTGATGTGCCAGTAGGGGAAGTATACCCTAAAATCAAATTTTCACCAGTTGTAGTCTTCGGGGTGCCGAGTCGAATGGTCTTGGTCCGAGGACGCTGAGACGCTCCCTTCCTCCTGTATTCCCAATCCAACTCGCTTCTTCCACCGAAACTGGGTGACTGCGCCCAACTAGATAGGGATTTGTATGCAAAATGTCACTAAAAGCGCCATGGGGGTGTGCACACTGGCCAACCCTCCCGGTTTTCCCGGGAAATCAACACTACTCCCGGGGTCCTGGGGATTTCAAGCAAACTCCCGGAAAAGTCACAGTTTCGTCTCATACAGGATTTTCCTGAAAACTCCATGGATTCGCCTCGAATATCCCGGTTTTTTCAAAAAATATGTACGGTGCGCACTCGCACTTCGAACTGTGCACGGCACTTTCAAGACCTGACCACAAGATCTGCACTGACAGGCGCTATAGGCGGGCACCGACTGATCAAACTGCAATGCAGGGTCGAACTGTGCCGTACGCAGATCTGCAGTTGAACGTTTTTTTGGCGGGAAAAGCCCTTTTTCACTTGTTTTTGCGACATCCAGGGATTTTGAAAAAAAATCCAGGAATTCTGCAGGTCTTGTCTAGGGATTGAGCTTCTGGTGGTTGGTCAGTATGGGTGTGTTCTGCGCATGCACATGTGGATTGTACTACATACATGTAATACAATCTCTGTCAGGGACGGCAGACCCGGTATGGTTGGTCGGGCCATGGCCGGACAAAACAGTTTTTTTAACTGTTGTCCACATGTTTACTGCTGAGGTAATGCGTGACCGCCGTATCATACACAATGTATGAAAGACTATGGTATGGCCGCCGGACCAGAGAATTGTGTAGACCCTCTATACAACTCCCTGGTCCGGACCAATCAACAGCTGCTTCCACCACTCCTGTCTTTGTGTGTGTGTTTTGCTGCAGGTTTGCACCAGCATCAGCACTGAGTGTGTAGACGACATCAATTGACTGGGTTCCAGCACTGCAGTATACCTGTCCGTGCTGCTGCTACTGCTGTTCACTCACTGACACACACCACACACCAACATGGCGGCTGTGGCAATGCCTACATTGGTTGCTGGTCGTCCTGCTGACTACACCACTGAAATCCAGCGTAAGACGGCCATACTGAAGCGATGGAAGAAGGAGCCAGTCCGGGTTGTACCCAGCGCTACTGGAGCTGCTATCCGCAAGGCCAAGGGGACTCGGGATTATGCGCACGTTCAGGGAACCGAAGGGCAAGTTCGACCTCTCTCTGCCGATCCGTCGTCACCGGATTTCCTCGGATTTGAAATCACAACCGGTACCGGTGGGAAACCTGTTCAGTTCCGAGCACAGGATGCGTCACAGCTTCGTGCATTCTTTGCGGCAATGGGACAGACAGGGAAGGGTGTCTTCTGCCCCGGTGGAGATCAGGTACGTGCCATCAAGAGTGCTATAAGTCTGCAAATTTTCGGTGCGTATTAATTTCGGCCGCATTAACATATCAGCCTGTACTGCTGCTGCCTGTATACACTGTCACACCAAACTTTCCTAAACACAATTTCGGCCGAAACAAATGTTCAGCCAGAAATGCCCAGGCCGAGAATAGCCGAAAATAAATATGCGCCGAACATTTGCTGACTTACAGTACAGACTGTACATCCAAAATAGTCCCGTAGGCTTTTGAAAGCCCAATTTTGGCAGAATTGATGCTCAAAAACCCACTTGAAATTTGAAAAGTCTGGGTTTGGGATCTGCTTCTCCATACGTTTTGCCATGGCATATCTGTCCTTATTTTGTAAAACCTGGTTAAATTCTTGTTCCCTTTCCTTATACTTTTCCGGGCTCAAATGTGGCAAGGAATGATGTCCTGGATAATGGGTTGTCGCAAAGTTTTTTTTCGTCCCTGAAACGAACAAGAGACGACAAAAACTTTTGCAACGACCCCTAGGCTATCATAACAGGCAGTGAGATACGGCAATTACTTATCAAAAGTTAGTAAGCCATTGTGGCTGTATTCTGCTGTTTGCTAGTACTAGTAGCTTCACAATGGTTGTTACTGTCAGCCAAGAAGACTATGTGCCAGTACAGTCTCTATTTCTAACGTTTTGTTGCCTGTAAAAAATTCCAGTAAATTAGTGTGAGAAATGTGATCACTGGGAACCACAGGCTGGATAACTACTAGTATACTCTCACTTTATTCAGATAAATTTATAGAAAAGAAAAGGGACCAAGGAACTACAAGTTCCGCTATAATCTCCCACTAACACCACCAGCTACTAAACAATCAGCTCCTATGTTATCATAATAACTTAGAGCCTTCCAAGTTGGAAGGCTGTTGGAGTGCGCATCCAAAATGTGCTGCTAGAGCTGATAACCAGTTAGTTGTAGAACGTCAGTACCGTCGGTCAGTGTCGTGCAATGTTATCACATGAGCGGATTGTTTAGTAACTGGTGGTGTTAGTGGACATTATAATTATAGCGTAACGTGTAGTTCCTTGATCCTTTTCTTTGCTAAATTTATCCTTGGCTCTCCGTCCGAGTCCATTATTCAGATAATCCGTTCTTTTCTTCTTCTTTTTTTCCATTTCCTGATATGACTGCATTCTTTAGAGTGATGGTGCGGGTGAGGAGGATACGGGTGAGTCGTGGGTTGGTCTTTACGATGTCCTCCATCCATCCCTGGAGGAAATGACACAGAAGATTGAGAAGCGTCGTGAAGAGGTCAAGCAATTGCAGAGCCAGCCGGGCGGTGAGCCAGCATTGCCTAGCTACGAGCAAGTAGCCCTGGGTGATGTGCCGTTTACCTTCTATTTCCCTGATGTAAGTCATTGGAATACATGTGTGGCAATGCATGTGTGGCAATGCATGTGTGGCAATGCATGTGTGGCAATGCATGTGTGGCAATGCATGTGTGGCAATGCATGTGTGGCAATGCATGTGTGGCAAGTGTAAACTGTGTAATCCGCACCAACCTACACTGTCAGCACTGGGAACCTATTTGCATTACGTCATGCGATGATCACACAACATTACTTTATGGATGATCGAGTTGCTGTGTGGCTTTCACCACGCTACACCTCGTGTACAGGTCACGGGACTTGTGCGCGGTGTTGTACGTGCACAGGCTAAAGTTAGTGCTATGCGTGCAGATGCAGCACCTCCAGACTAAACTCTCTATTTGAAAGCGACAAGTGATGTGACTACAGAGCTAGAGCTGTGCGTCTGTTGCAGTAAAACCGGCTCCGTTTCTCTCACCCTCATACTTGTGTGAAATAAGTGATAGGTTCTCGTCATTAGACGTTAACGCTGCCTGTAAATCTTATGACATGCCTTTTATTGCTGTATAATATGGGATGGTTCAGACTTGCTTGACTTCATTGAATTTTATTCCCATAATCATATCCGCTGATGAGATGTTTGACAGCTGACTAAGTGATGAAATTGGTAATCTTGTTGAGTTGAAGTTCTAGCACAACACACTCCTGTTGTTGATGTGTTGTTCTGACTACTGACTTCTAGTATTTGTATGCATGTCTACCTGTCTTCTCAGGTTATAATTTCTGTGTGTGT